GCCTTGTGCATTGACAACAATAACGCCAGTTGGAATGTGAACATAGTTTAGTAATAGCATTTGGGATATTAATTGAATATTACAACCTGAAGAATCAGCGAAGAAGACGGACGTTCGGAAGATGTTATCATAATTATCAACAGAAAGACGACACCCTTGATGGGTGCATAACTTTGAACTTTGCCGCAGGCATATACACTCTGCTGATTATTTTGTGTATAAAGACAAAGGAGTTACCTTAAATACAAATAATGGTGTAAAGTTGTTCATTATGCATTTCTTTAAACCTTTCGCGAAATTTGGTATGTTGGGTACCGTAAGTGTCAATTGGAATGCCGCCCTCTAGAGGTTAAGGTATACTATTGAGAAAGACGACCCCCTCGATGGGTGGTACTATCAACAGAACACCCTTGATGGGTGCTACTACTGAGAACGACGACACCCTTGATGGGTGCTACAGAGAATGACGACACCCTTGATGGGTGCTACTATTGAGAAGGACGACACCCTTGATGGGTAATACTATTAATAGAAGACCCTTGATGGGTGCTAATATTGAGAAAGACGATACCCTTGATGGGTGCTACAGAGAAAGACGAACCCTTGATGGGTGCTATATACTATATTGAGAAGAACGACACCCTTGATGGGTGCTACTATATCACGACACCCGAACTTGATGGATGCTAAGATTAACATAACACCCTTGATAGGTGCTTTACCGAGAAGGACGACACCCTTGATGGGTGCTACATCTCCAACAAATTAATTAAATGTAGAATTATAAATGTATAATATTTATAAATAATGTTTATAAATGTATAATGGATAATGGATGCTAAGATTAACACAACAACCTTGATGGGTGCTATACCAAGAAAGACGACCCCCCTTGATGGGTGCTACTGTGAAGAAAACCACACCCTTGATGGGTGCTACCGAATACTGAGAAAGACTATTAACGCAACACCCTTGATGGGTACTACTGTTGAGAAAGACGACACCCTTGATGGGTACTACTATTGAGAGAACGAGACCCTTGATGGGTGCTACCGAGACCGAGACCCTTGATGGGTGCTTCTCTATTGAATAACACGACACCCGAACTTGATGGGTGCTAAGATTAACATAACACCCTTGATGGGTGCTTTACCGAGAAAGACGACACCCTTGATGGGTGCTACATCCCCAACAAATTAATTCCATGTAGAATTATAAATGTATAATGTTTATAAATGATGTTTATAAAATGTATAATGGATAATGTTTTGAAGAAGACAAAGAGGGTCAATGATAATATCTAGATTTTCCAAGGAACCTCTCCGCACGATTCTTATTTGAGACACAATATTACCAAGCATCAGATGGGAAAGAAATGAAAATCCCGCCGCTTGAATGTGCAATATAAATCGGAGATTATTTGTTTTTTAATGCCAACGTTTTTTTCGCGTGTCTGATATACGATTTCGGAAACAATTATGTATTCGAGACGAGTAGTGCGGTCTCGGTTCAATCAAAAATGACTTTCAAAAAGATGAAATATATATATTTAAACTTAAGGTAAAAATATAAATAAAAAGGTACAAATCCTCAAGGGTAGTAAATAAACGAGGAAAAATTCGCTGCGGAACCGCGGAATCTGATAAAAAATGGCTGTCAATCATTTTGTCCAATCTGTGTACAGGAAATAAAAATAAGACGATGGATATCGACCTCCGGCCGGGTAAGGATTAAAGTGACACATCAATCATTCGTTACGATTACGAGTTCGTGTTAAGTTACATGAACAGAAGTTCGAGGACGAAATATACATGTATTGGTCTACTGTAGAATCGAAAAAGACATGCATGGTTGTCAATCATTTGTCCGAAATGTGTATCAAAGAAATAAGACGATGGTTACGACCTGTGGGTAAGAATTCAAGCGACATATTAATCCTTCGTTCCGAATACGTGTTCGTGCAACTGGTTGTCAATCATTTTGTGTATATGTGTAAAGAAGAAAAAACGGCGATAAATATCAACCTGCTAGGATTGGATAAAAACAACAAATGTATTGTTCGTTAACGATTACAGGTTCGTGTTCCGTTTGTAACAATATTCGTTAAGGCCATGTGTACGCTATCTAACTTTTCCAAATTTCAGTCGCGTCTATCATGCGTTTTCTCATCATCAACATTGATACTTATTGTGAAAACAATCTAGGGCCATGTGTTTAAATTTTCATCGACGCGTTGTAGACGTTTCTGCCAATTATTTTCTTGTGTTTTCTTCTGCACTTATGCGTCAGATTATTAACAGGATTCCAAGGTCACGTAAACGTATCTTCTTTGTCTTTGTAAAAATTCTTTCTAATTTTTTATGCAAAATTATTTTAGGGCCATGTGGAGTAGGGATCTTATCCGTTCTGTAATTAGAAAGTCCTCAAATAGCCCGACGTGTATTTTCTTTAAAAAATATTTGTGCATTCATCCCATCTTGAGTGCGAATCATTGTGTAAACTACTCTAGGGCCATGTGTTAAGTATCCATAGCTACGGAAACTTGAAAAAACTTAAATGTTGGATCCTAAGTTTTCTTGTATACTCTGTGTATTCCTAACTTCTCTGTGGTTCACACGAGTGAATTACTCTAGGGCCATATTAAAAAAAAAATGTTTTATTTGTCCGTGTTGCAACCATTTTCTCAACTGCAACTCCACATCCATCCAGCTTAACTAAAACTTGATCTGTTGTTTAAAATGCTTTATGTGTGTAGGGTCATGTGCAGATCTTACAGGTTCCTTGAAACATGTTTCGGTCGTGAAACGCAAACGATTACGAGTTCGAGGACGAAATATGTACTGTGGAATCGGAAAAAAATGGCTGTCAATCATTTCTCCGATCTGTGTATAAGACGATGGATATCGACCTGCGATTACGATTTCGTGTTCGAGCTCGAGTGCGAACAAAGTAACACAAGTACAAGTATCGTTAGTAGACGAAAAATGTACAAGAGTCCGAGTACTTCAATGGTGGAAAAATGTTTGGCGAAATTATGGTGTGGCTATGTGACGTATTCTTTTAAATTGATCTCCCTTCGATTGAAAATGACTCTCGAAAAGATGACATATATAAATTAAAAGGTGAAAATCTTCACGGGAAGTAAATCAATGAGGAGAAATTAATGGAGCGGAACCGTGGAATAAAAATAAAAAAAAACTGATTGTCAATCATCATTTTGCCTAATGTTTGTGTACGAAGAAAATAAGACGATGAATATCGACCTGTGGGTAAGAATTCAAGCGACATATTAATCCTTCGTTCCGAATACGTGTTCGTGCAACTGGTTGTCAATCATTTTGTGTATATGTGTAAAGAAGAAAAAACGGCGATAAATATCAACCTGCTAGGATTGGATAAAAACAACAAATGTATTGTTCGTTAACGATTACAGGTTCGTGTTCCGTTTGTAACAATATTCGTTAAGGCCATGTGTACGCTATCTAACTTTTCCAAATTTCAGTCGCGTCTATCATGCGTTTTCTCATCATCAACATTGATACTTATTGTGAAAACAATCTAGGGCCATGTGTTTAAATTTTCATCGACGCGTTGTAGACGTTTCTGCCAATTATTTTCTTGTGTTTTCTTTTGCACTTATGCGTCAGATTATTAACAGGATTCCAAGGTCACGTAAACGTATCTTCTTTGTCTTTGTAAAAATTCTTTCTAATTTTTTATGCAAAATTATTTTAGGGCCATGTGGAGTAGGGATCTTATCCGTTCTGTAATTAGAAAGTCCTCAAATAGCCCGACGTGTATTTTCTTTAAAAAATATTTGTGCATTCATCCCATCTTGAGTGCGAATCATTGTGTAAACTACTCTAGGGCCATGTGTTAAGTATCCATAGCTACGGAAACTTGAAAAAACTTAAATGTTGGATCCTAAGTTTTCTTGTATACTCTGTGTATTCCTAACTTCTCTGTGGTTCACACGAGTGAATTACTCTAGGGCCATATTAAAAAAAAAATGTTTTATTTGTCCGTGTTGCAACCATTTTCTCAACTGCAACTCCACATCCATCCAGCTTAACTAAAACTTGATCTGTTGTTTAAAATGCTTTATGTGTGTAGGGTCATGTGCAGATCTTACAGGTTCCTTGAAACATGTTTCGGTCGTGAAACGCAAACGATTACGAGTTCGAGGACGAAATATGTACTGTGGAATCGGAAAAAAATGGCTGTCAATCATTTCTCCGATCTGTGTATAAGACGATGGATATCGACCTGCGATTACGATTTCGTGTTCGAGCTCGAGTGCGAACAAAGTAACACAAGTACAAGTATCGTTAGTAGACGAAAAATGTACAAGAGTCCGAGTACTTCAATGGTGGAAAAATGTTTGGCGAAATTATGGTGTGGCTATGTGACGTATTCTTTTAAATTGATCTCCCTTCGATTGAAAATGACTCTCGAAAAGATGACATATATAAATTAAAAGGTGAAAATCTTCACGGGAAGTAAATCAATGAGGAGAAATTAATGGAGCGGAACCGTGGAATAAAAATAAAAAAAAACTGATTGTCAATCATCATTTTGCCTAATGTTTGTGTACGAAGAAAATAAGACGATGAATATCGACCTGTGGGTAAGAATTCAAGCGACATATTAATCCTTCGTTCCGAATACGTGTTCGTGCAACTGGTTGTCAATCATTTTGTGTATATGTGTAAAGAAGAAAAAACGGCGATAAATATCAACCTGCTAGGATTGGATAAAAACAACAAATGTATTGTTCGTTAACGATTACAGGTTCGTGTTCCGTTTGTAACAATATTCGTTAAGGCCATGTGTACGCTATCTAACTTTTCCAAATTTCAGTCGCGTCTATCATGCGTTTTCTCATCATCAACATTGATACTTATTGTGAAAACAATCTAGGGCCATGTGTTTAAATTTTCATCGACGCGTTGTAGACGTTTCTGCCAATTATTTTCTTGTGTTTTCTTTTGCACTTATGCGTCAGATTATTAACAGGATTCCAAGGTCACGTAAACGTATCTTCTTTGTCTTTGTAAAAATTCTTTCTAATTTTTTATGCAAAATTATTTTAGGGCCATGTGGAGTAGGGATCTTATCCGTTCTGTAATTAGAAAGTCCTCAAATAGCCCGACGTGTATTTTCTTTAAAAAATATTTGTGCATTCATCCCATCTTGAGTGCGAATCATTGTGTAAACTACTCTAGGGCCATGTGTTAAGTATCCATAGCTACGGAAACTTGAAAAAACTTAAATGTTGGATCCTAAGTTTTCTTGTATACTCTGTGTATTCCTAACTTCTCTGTGGTTCACACGAGTGAATTACTCTAGGGCCATATTAAAAAAAAAATGTTTTATTTGTCCGTGTTGCAACCATTTTCTCAACTGCAACTCCACATCCATCCAGCTTAACTAAAACTTGATCTGTTGTTTAAAATGCTTTATGTGTGTAGGGTCATGTGCAGATCTTACAGGTTCCTTGAAACATGTTTCGGTCGTGAAACGCAAACGATTACGAGTTCGAGGACGAAATATGTACTGTGGAATCGGAAAAAAATGGCTGTCAATCATTTCTCCGATCTGTGTATAAGACGATGGATATCGACCTGCGATTACGATTTCGTGTTCGAGCTCGAGTGCGAACAAAGTAACACAAGTACAAGTATCGTTAGTAGACGAAAAATGTACAAGAGTCCGAGTACTTCAATGGTGGAAAAATGTTTGGCGAAATTATGGTGTGGCTATGTGACGTATTCTTTTAAATTGATCTCCCTTCGATTGAAAATGACTCTCGAAAAGATGACATATATAAATTAAAAGGTGAAAATCTTCACGGGAAGTAAATCAATGAGGAGAAATTAATGGAGCGGAACCGTGGAATAAAAATAAAAAAAAACTGATTGTCAATCATCATTTTGCCTAATGTTTGTGTACGAAGAAAATAAGACGATGAATATCGACCTGTTAGGTATGGACTAAAATAATATCGTTCTTTAACGGTTACGAGTTTGTGTTGTGTTGAGTTAACATCGAAGATATTGCAACTTGTTGTCAATTGTCTGATAGGTTTTTAGGTAGAAAATAAGACGGTGGGTTTCGATCTTGTTAGGTCTGGATTAAAACAACGTTCGTTGTATCGTTACGTATCGTTCGTTAACGATTAGGCCTACGGGTTTGTGTTGAGTTCGAGTGGAACCGTGACATTGAAAACATTGCAACTTGTTGTCAATCATTTTGCCGATATGTAAAGCAGAAAATAAGGCGAGAATATCAACCTGCTAGGTTGGGGTTGAAAAAACAAAAATATTTTTCGTTAACGATTACGGGTTCTTGTTGAGTTCCGTTTGTCACAATTTGTTAAGGCCATGTGTACGCAATCTAACCTTTCTAAATTTCAGTCGCGTCCATCATGCGTTTTTTCGCCATTGAAATTGATTGTGAAAAGAAATCCTGGGGCCATGTGTACATGTACAACATTTTCATCGACGTTTTGTAGACATTTCTGCCAAACCCATTTTTTCTTTTGTTTTCTTCTGTACTCATGCGACAGGTTATTAACAGGATTATAGGGCCATACGAACATTTCTTAATTTGTCTTTGTAAAAAAAAAAATTCTAATTTTTATGCAAAATTGTTTTAGGGCCATGTGATGTTGAGATCTTACCGTTCTGTAGAAATTCCTCAAATAGCCCGACGTGTATTTTCTTGAAAACTGTGCATTCATCCCGTCTTGAATGCGAATCATTGTGTAAAAAACTCTAGGGCCATGTGTTAAGTATCCCCAGCTATTTTGAAGCTTGGAGAAAGCTGAAATGTTGATCCAAGTTTTCTTGTATATGCCTACTGTGTGTATTCCTCACCCGTTGTAACTTCACGGTACTCTAGGGCCATGTTTACAAATGTACTTTTGTTTGTGTTGCAACAAGTGTCTCAACTGCAACCTAACCCATCCATCTTAACTTGAACTTGGAGATCTATTGTTTAAAAAATGCTGTACATGTATAGGGCCATGTGCATGTCTTACAGATTCCTTGAAACATGTTTTGGAAATGAAACGTAATCAGAATTACGGTTTCAGTGACTCCCAAAGTTTTTATTTCGCGACATGTTACGTCTCTTCTCCTTGTTGAAATGTGTCTGATTGACATACATTGTTTGTGATTGGCGCTTCCATAATATCCGATTCGCAAAGATCGGCAATTGTTTTTTGTGTGTTAAGGCCATGGTGACAATGTTGCTCATGTAAATCAGGTGTCATTCCACCTGATACACCTCGGATACACCTCGTAATCCCTTTGTAAATGTATCCTTATTCTATACAGAGTGAAACCATCTGCATTAATTATTTTTTTGTCACACCTATATCATTAGTGGCGGTTTGATCAACGTTAATAGCTTTTCAATGATGCTAGCAAGTCGGCAATGTGATGCTGTTTCCCTCTAAACAGGTGCGCGTTGCTTTGCGCAAGCTGGAATTATCATCTTCGCGACCAGTAGACCCCCAAATGATCTATTGAAAATAAAATAAGCTTTCTTTCTCTACGGTTGAATCCATTACAGTGGTCAGGTAAGGGCCACTCGTTGGATTATCTTCACATTGTATGTAAGATATTTCTCTACATTTGGTCCATTACAGTGGTCAGGTAAGGGCCACTTATTGGACTATCTTCACATTGTAGGGCCTATGTAAGATATTTCTCTACATTTAGTCCATGACAGTGGTCAGGTAAGGGCCACTTATTGGATTATCTTCACATTGTAAAATCTTTTGCAGCCAGTTAGGCCTAGAGATCTTAGTATCATAGAAAAAATGGAAACTCATAAGTTTCAATTTGTTCTATGATCGTATCATTGTAGTGGTCAGGTAAGGACCATTAATTTACGTTTTCCTTCTCTTTATACCATTGCACCGGTCACAGATCTGATCAGGAAACCACTGTACATTGTACTAACAAACCCTAGCTCCGCTAGGAAGATTTTTTTTATTTTCAGCATCTTGCAGTCAGATTAGGAGACCAGCAAGCCAGTGTGCTCATGTCAGGAGCTGATCATGCGGAGGAACCGGAAGCAGGGAGGAGGAACAACGGATGACTGACGACCCTGCTTGTCGGGCAACCCATTACTGATCTCTCAGGTAACAATTATCATGTTACTTGCCTTTCGAAAAATATTATCTTAGGACGTCCTAAGTTGTTGTGCTTGTTGTGTCTGCAATAACTGATACCAAACAACTTTGATTTGAAAGAATAATCACCTACAATTGTACAAATCAATAATTAAAAAAGAACAGCAACAGGTGCATAATTGTACCACACTCAGTTTCTAACATTGTGTTCCTTCTAATCTTCTGGCAGAGATGACGGTGTGCAAGATGAGATGTCACTGTGGACGAAGAAGGAACCGGAAGCAGGGAGGAGGACCGACGGAAGGACGGAAGACTCTGCTTGCAGAGCAAGTCTTCACCACTTCTTGAGGTAAATTTAAAAAGCGATAATTACAAGTATTTTATTTTTTTCATTTCAATATGTTCGTCTTAGTCCTCCGGAAGTGGCCTTTTCATTCTTATGACAGATTTTTACAATCCGATAGGTTGGTTGTTTTGCGATTGTGACAAAATGTAAGATATTATAGATATATTTATTTTGTCTTTGCAGATTCCTCTTGCTTCGTGTTAGCAGTGGAGACAATGGTGCAGTTGTTCACTGGGGCAGGACACGAAATTCAGCAACACTCGACTGAGTTTTGCAGTGGCTACTCCTGAAAGTTCCCATACGTTTCTCTTAAAAAAGTAGTCACATTTTACCCATCCGAGGGATGTGATGAGCCCTACATGTCAGTAACAAAAGAGGGAAACATGGCGCATTCTAAAGTTACCTGCAATTTTGTACAACCAAAATAGCAATCTAGTTATTGACCTATGCCCATGTTAAGATGCTGCTCCGTCAAAAAGGAACTAGAATCGGCCTACGTCAGCTCTTGCTCGAATTCATAATTGATGCGTAATAAACAATCTTACCTAAAATGCCAACAAAACTAATTGTGTGGACATTGGTTCAAGACAGAAAATGCCCAATCCCGACCTTAACGTGTGCATTACCGATAGTCTTATTGTTGAAAATTAAAGTCTGTTAATACTTTTGTCTTGTTATTTATGAAACTTTAGAGGTCCATGCTATGTAACTTTTTATAATGTAATCCTTGAAAATGCACCTTGTCCCTTTTAAGCTTATATCATTTTTCGTTTTGTTATTTTCAGGGAGATTGTTTGGTTTTCATACTAATGCAAATTTCCATATTAATGAGAAAAAAATGTGACATCATTTCATACACGGGGGTATTTCCCCGGGTGAATAGTCAAAATGCCCCCATTGATAGTATGGTATGAACCCCCCCCCCCCACCCCCCGACTAAACTGTGTTCCACTGTCTGAAAGAGTTCGGTCTAAAAAGTCTATTCTTGTTTACTAAAGACTTCAGTATTATTAGTGTTTTCAAATTCTTGAAAAAATGACTCCTTCGGGTATGACAATTTGTTCAGACCACCAGATTTGTGAAAAAGAAGATAATCAAGTAAATTGGCATTGAAAGTCTCTTTCACCAAAAAAAAAGAATGCTGTGCCACAAACTTGCAATAATATGGAATAATTTACATGAACAACTAAAAACCATATTTAAGATACATTCAAACCAGAACAATACCTAAAGCCACCAGCCACTGATATTTCCGCCAGTATAAACACTAGTTTATAGTCAAAAATGCGCTGTTTTACACAATATGTTTATTTTCAATGTAACTGACGTGCAATATTAGGTAATTTAAATATTTCTGATGGTTTTTAAGATAATATGAATATGGTACAGGTAAATTGTTCGTATTATGTTTGTTTTGTTTTTTAAATTACTGCAATCATTCTCTCTTGAATCTGTCAATTGTATTACTGTTTATTCAAGGAGGCATAGGGTAATTTTTGGGGCCGCAATGGAAATAAGTTTGTATAACTTTTTGTCGTTATCCCTGCTTTTTCCACTGAATGTGGAATTCTGCATGTTTTATTTCTAATTTACAGTATATATATTTTTTTGTTATTGTTAAATCTTAATTTACCTGTATCATTATTGTGGAAATAGCGAATAAATCAAATCAAATAAAAGAAAATACCAAGGTATAATCATGGAATTTTCGCATACACAACGCCCTCTGTAGTTTGCGCATGGAGTTTAAATCTATATAGACCATTGTCATGTTGTGGCCATCTTGATTTTTTCCATTCAAATCAACATAACCAAAGCGAGGCTGGAAGGGAAAATAGTCTGGTTCTTTTTTGCACACAAAGCCATTATCGTCAGTACTGTTATTGGATACCGGGAACATGACTGAAATGGTGGCAGCACGATGAAGGTCTATTGAGAATTTATTCGCACATGGTGTTTCCGCAAACCTTCATTATTTCGATCACAATAATAAATCTCATAAATTATAATTATGACTCAAATTGTGATTATTTTGGGAAAAGTTTGCTTTTTTAAATCTACAAGATTATTAATTGTAATGCTTATTTGGCGCTGTCCATTTTATAAGTATCAAAGCGCTTGGCAGTTAATCCCCGTTCATCAGGATATGAGACCACGCGGCAGCCAATATCGGCGCACATTCGGTCCTCTACCCTCACAGGTATCCATTAATAGTCCTGGGTGGAGAGAGGTAATTGTAGTCAAGTGTCTTGCCCAAGGGCACAAACACCATGTTCCTGGCAAGTTTAACTCGAACTCGCGCAACAGCGTACAATAAACACCACAGCCACCTTTCTAACTATAATGATTAAAGTCATGAAAATACCCCTGCGGTCGATTTCATAATGAACAGCGCAAGCGTAATTGGACCTCTCGATCACAATCTCTGAATAGTTTCATTAGCTTCGTTTCCCACTGATTCTTTGCACTATATGAATGTTGATAATGCAATCTTATATATATAAGTGTGCAATCCTGGGATTGGCCTACACAAACCCTCCGTAGTTCGCGTAAGGAATCCGTTAAGAGTGCAACCAAGTAAAATAGGGCAGAAACCCGTCCGCTTTGCTCATAAAATAATTGTTTTACATGTACATTCAAATCATTTTATGTAAGACGGTTTAAAGAGCCATCACGAATTGGAGGATTTAGTACATATGGCACTGCACTTGGCCCGGACTTGGGCTTCCAATTCTGAGGATTTCGGATGCAATTGGGTCCGAAAGTGGAGCTATTTTAGCCACGTTAAGGAGGGATCCTTTTCAAAATGGCTACTTTTCCAGTTTGGCAAATATCTTTCCGCCGTTTTTGGGATTGTCGTCTTTGGGTGATAATTTTTCCAAAAAGTCATTGGTCAACCCACCAAAAATTGAAATAAAAATGAGAGACGACATGTTGATAATCATGATTCTGTGACAACCTGAACACCTGTGAGAATTCCGATAAATCAGTAAAAAGAATTTTGAAGTATCGGCAATTTATCAAAGGTAGGAATTCATAAACTTGGTTGCATTCCTAATACGGGAGATTCACAATAACATTTGGCATCTAGAGGTTGTCACTGAGAGTTCATTTTTCGCCGTGCATCGAGGAAAAGAGTGGGTAAATTAATTGTTTAATTGTTTTGTCCGGTCAGTAGTTTCGTAAGCGTATGATTCGAGTGTCTTTTGTTTTCTTTTCTTTTTATCAAGATGGTGTTTTTTTCTGAGGCGGTAGAACATGCTATTGCCTCGACATCTATTCAAAAATGTATTCAAAGTTGTCTGCAGACAGTCATTCAAGTCGTGGCATGTCGGTCATGTTTTTGTCGACCGTACACTTCAAAAATATGACTCTCTGTGGCAGCCTCTTGGTGGCGCACTTTATTGTGAGTCGGCCCGTATTCTATAAGGGTCATTGACCGTGTATGTCCAAGCCTCAGTGCAGTTTTCCTCTCTTAACCAACGCTGATCTAGTGAACGTAATCCTTGTGTTCCTCGTCGAGGTGGCCGTAGGGTGCTTCCTTCATCCTCCGCTTCCTGATCACGAACACGGCGATTCCAACGATGATGGCGATGAAGGCCAACACACCGATGACTATGCCGGCGATCATGCCCCCGTTGTTGGGGCTGGGCTTGGTAGGGAACGCCGTGGTGGTCATGGTCGCGTTGGCTGTGGCCGGCTTCATGGTCGTCGGCTCCATAGTAGTTGGGTTTCCCATACAGTCGTCTACTCCTGTAAAGAAACATTACAGATTAGGTGTCAGTCAACTGTCTGGTGCAAAATAATTTCGGAGTAAAAATAAATGTCTAGATATTCGTCAAGTGATGACTGTCTTTGGGACTCCTGAATCCTGCTTCATTCCTCCCTATAATTTGACAATCAAACCTAAATCTATGACTGTGATTTATTCCACTGTTCACTTGTTCTTTTAAATTTATAGCCCATACATTTTCAGTGGCCTTGTGTTAAGATTCAGCGATGTGACTGATTTATTAATTCATTTATTTATTTTCCTTGGGGGGGGGGGGGGGGGAGGGGCCTTACCATTGCCGAAAGTGCCATTTGCAAAGTTCGCGTAAGGCTGTAATTTCACGTGATCCATAATGATTGTCACCGGTCCCGCCGTGAGTGTCCAGTTTGAGCAGCTGTACGTCTTTCCCCTTCTACTCGTGTACACATCGAATAACTCAGCGGTGTCCTGTTTTCCTGTTAACAAATGGAAAATACGAGTAACAAACGATGAAGAGACTCTCATACAGTTAGTGAACCCCTGACAAAAATACAAATCTATATAAAATCTATATATGACTTGAAACTTTGCATGGCGATGAGAAAAATTAGAAAGTTTACGGGTAACACTACGTGAAAAGTAATCTCTTCTTGGAAGAAATGTGTTTCTGAAAAGAACCGGTATGGTTGGTTGAGTGTAGAAGTGACGTTTCGGACAGTGCGCTCTGTCCGTCCCGAGTGTGCTCTGTCCGTCCCGAAGGACGGACAGAGCACACTATCCGAAACGTCGAGTTCTACACTCAACCAACCGGCTCTTTTCAGAACCACACTTCTTGCAAGAAGAGATATGGTTCTTATCCGAAAATTGTCGAATTTATATAACATGTAAATCGGCATCACAAGGCAAGTGGACAATGAAAGTAAAATTTGGGAGTTCGTGAAGTGCATTTGACAATTGAGATATCATGCCGAAATATTGCGGAGTTAAGACGACTCAAGGTCCAACTTAATATCACCTAATAACGAATTTGCTTCGCTTTGACATTCGCGTGTTATGAACTGGCTTTTATGCAGATAAAAATTCTCCTCCTAGAGGTGTTCATGGCAAATTTCAAGCCGTTTACATTACGCACAATCATATTTTCGAGTTTGGTACATTGTCAATGAAGTTATCACAGTCTAAGCAAACTTCTGCGACTTCATTCACCCCCCCCCCCCCAAAGACCTTGAAACTTACCGTAGTTCATTACATCTCTAGGGAAGAGCGGTTCGGAATACGTCCAAAGGGGAAACACACTACAGTTGTAAAGAGGATACTTTGGGACGTTCGGCCAGGGAAATATCCGTTGGAAATCGAGCCACAACCCCATCACACCACTGCTTGAGTTGGAATCTGGTACGTTAAAATGTGTTACAATCATTAAATCCCTGAGTGTTCCGTCGGCAGACCAGCTCGACGAATTAGTACTCCACTCGAATTCCGTTCCGTTGATTTTCCCGCCGATGGGAATAACAGCCTCGCCAGTCTGCAAAAACAAACCAGACCACATTAGGGAAAACCAATGTATGAACTATAGATTGCTCTGTTTGCCCTATTATTGAATGGCATTGAACGCTTATTATAACCTCTCCCCTAAAAAAACACAATCAGTAATTATAAGACATAGGGCCACTCACCTCATTGTTTGTGGTGTTGTATCTAATTTTCAGCGTTGCGTTCAGGACGAACAACATCATCACCTCGCTGCCATTCTTAAACTGATAACTGAAACGAAATTTGAACAGATATGTAGAACAATAAAAAACCGAAAAGTCTTAAAGTGACGGCATTCAAAAAAGCCCTCAAGCTTATTCAGCATGTGTGAATACGAGAATGCATTATTCAGGCTATTCAGATCATGACAGACGTACAATGTGAAAGTTGTTCTGTTTTTTTGGACTGCAAAATAAATCTTCGCAATAATGAAATCTTTGGACTCGCGATCTTTTGGATGACCAGTTACATTGCCTAACCCTACCAAACACATGCAATTTATAATTTTTTTTCTGTAGGAAAGGGTGTTTGCTATTTACGTCTTAAAAGATTTAGTTAAAGTTACATCTACTGCCGAACACAATACCTTGGTATAACATTTTCTGGTCTAGGAAGGGTAGTGCCTGCCGGTGCAGTTGTACCAACAGTTGAACCGGTTGCATTGGATGTGGTATTAGCAGCCACAGCGGTGGTGTGGGTCGGGGTTCCGGTTGTGTTTCCGGGCGTGTGGAAAGCGGTCGTCTTTGGTGCGGTGGTGGGGCGACTATGGGTCGTTTTGGGTACTGTGGTGGGCTGACTATGGGTCGTCTTTGGTGCAGTGGTGATGCGACTATGGGTCGTCTTCGGTGCAGTGGTGGGCTGACTATGGGTCGTCTTTGGTGCAGTAGTGGGGTTACTATGGGTCGTCTTTGGTGCAGTAGTGGGGTGACTATGGGTCGTCTTCGGTGCAGTGGTGGGGCGACTATGGGTCGTCTTCGACACTGTGGTTGGACGTTCAGCAGTGGTATGGACGGTTGCTTTAGGGGTAGGCGTTGTTGCCAATGTCATTGTCGTTGCTATAAATTAAATTTGAAATGAAACAAAAAGAACCCCGAATAACTAGCATTCAGTTCAAATGTTCCAAAATACAGACTGATTGTTTTTGTTCACAAAGATGGGTCCAAAAGACAGAAAACAAATCGTGCACAAAATTAAGGCTCTGAAATCATTCATTTTCATTTCTGAAGCAACATCCAAATATTCTTCCTGTGTCTAAAATTTCTCATTGTGTCCATCAAAGTAAACAAACTGAGATAGGAAACACTTTTTTTTAATCATCCCTGGCCCTCATTTGGAGTTTGGTATCAGTCTTTCGCCCGTATCGTTGGTGTTGCATGGCACCCTCAGTGGAGACAGTTGGTATGTACGCGCGAGGTCAATAGTGCACCATGATCATTGTCTGCTGATCGTTGACGTCAATCCTAATCTTGTCCACGTATGCTCTGACGTAAATCGTTGGTCACGAGGGGCCACCTTCACGTGATCATGATACGGGCACGATCCCGTTCGTTTCCGAACCTTTCTGAATAGCCTACGTTGCCCAGTTAACTCGCATAATGTTCGTGATCGTTCGAGTACTTCAGTGTGAAAATGGTTTTATTACTAAAACATAACGTTTCAACCCTCCGACGCAGAAAGCCCATTTACTAACACGCTTATATTTAGCGCCTTGGTTTGAGGCTACACAACACTGTATCTATGGGTGCAGTGAACTAATTCAAGTGAGAATTTCTACGCGAGCTGATTAGCATAAAAAGTGACCCCACAGTTTCTTTTGAAAACGGAGACCGTTTGGCTTTAAAAACGGTGGAATTGTGTAAATATAGCCAAGGATTAACTCCCTGGTTTTTGGGCTTCCATCTGAGGGCAGGCTTGATAAAATTACGGTTGAAAAATGGGTCCTATTTGCATGAGAAAGTGGAAGGATGCCACTTGTAAAACGGCTACATGCAGGTTTGGGAACTATCACTTTTCGGGAGGTGATTTTGTTTTGGTGTGAATATTTAAAAATGTAATCGGCTAATCTTCTCAAAATTGAAAGGAAATGAAAAGATGAAATACAAGACAAGAATTTAATTTTTGTTTGAGAAACCTCAGTGATGTCGGCTTGCATGTTATTTGGCCCTGAACTTTGTTGATTTTACACTGTTTTCAATGGGGCTTGAATTGGTTCAGTGCACCCCTATACGTACACAATCTCGACATGTCTGTAGACTATAAATAAGGAGGTCATCAACCTCGCGTCCCCAGGGTGTCGAGCAGTACGCGCCCACCACTACCTGCTCTCTCACCCTGGTATTGGATCATTTGCATGTGCAAGATTTTTGAACACGTATGCAAATTAGGAGTAGTCTGGTGCCTTCCTGTGCGTTACTTTTGCGTTTGTTTTTGTATGCGGTGTCTGGGGTAAAAACAGAATCAATTCGTCGCAGCGCGAGCATGGCGTGAGTTACGAAAACAATTTCATTTTAATTAAAATGTAATGATCTTAACGAGACAACATGCAGTATCATAACAAACTGGAAAGGAAATGAATATTTTCGAGAAGGCGTGGACGAATGATCGCGAAAACACGTACTGCACGTTGTGAATAACAACACCAAGTGCACGATATAAATCCATTTCTAGCCAATTGCGGTATCGAATCAGGATGCAGGAAGGAAGTTTCCTATCCAGGGTTTACTATTGGAAACAACGTTGGAAATAAAGTCAGCACTGGGGACGAGGTTTGGAGGTCATTGACAGGAAACAGATGTGGATACATAGTCTGTGGTTAAGTCGTGCACTGGCTACCCGCAAGTGACCTTGTTTTGTGCACGTGTATATGGGCAGCCCAGGTTGTCAGGTTCAGATGTGCCTGACCCGGGGTCACACACTAAAGGTGACTGCATATATCCGTAGTGGGTGTCTCTGGCTAGGATTAGATGGAAGATCACCAGAATTGGTTAGAATTTTTTTTTTATTAAGGTAATTAACCAAATTGGGTCCCCAAAAGGGCTAGGTTCTGCGTCGGAGGGTTTTGTGTCCTGAAACAAGGAGCTCATCAAAATGAGAGTTTCACTTACGAAATTCAATGTCAGAGTCTGCCTCATTTAGTTCATTTTTCTATTTTCAGTGCGACGGTTACCTGTCCTGTACGATCATCATACATTAGGGCTACCCAGTGAATTACTGCAGTACCTTATATGACAGCCATTTTGGCAAGTGGCAATGTTCAAACCGACTTACACTCCGGGACAGAAGCTACATAAAAGAAAATTATGTAAACGTAAGGACATCCATTTCACAGGCACAACACATAGATTTGTTGTATAGCCACTGTTTGTCTAGTTTGGGCAGTGGGAAATTAGGGTATATTTTGTAATCCAGAAATATTTGAGCTCCGTGACAAAGTCCAGCAGGAGGCTACACCCACAAAAGTACATTTTGTGCTTAGAGTGCTTTGAAAATCCTATCAATTGTGTATTGGAATAACAAATTCAACCTTCACTGTGAAGCTGGTCTCAACTTTAGTCTGGTTAAGGTATGTCGGGTCTCATTTAGTGTACAGGGTGAGTAGAAAAACCCGAAACCCGAATGTTGAGACCCGTTTTAGTGAAGTTCTGCATGAAGCACTTTCAAAATGTGAGATATGAATGCCGAATTCATAAGCTTTCTTTTAGTACAAGAATCATTCAAATCACTCATGTAATTTTCAAGTTACGGAATTTTAAACACAACCACCTTTTTAAAGTTCTGTCCACGGATCACAAAATTGTAAGTGTTCTTTTAGCAAAATGAAAACAAATCACACAGGGATGTGAATGGTTTTCGTTTTGCTAAAAGAACGCACATTTTTTTATGATCCGTGGACAGAACTTGAAAACGGTACTTTGTGTTTAAAATTCTGTAACTTGACAAGTACATGAGTGATTTGAATGATTCTTCTACTAAAAGAAAGCTTATGAATTGAGTTTTATACTCTAGATTTTGAAAGTTCTACATGCAGAACTTCACTAAAACAATAGTCCCGACATTTGGGTTTTTTTCTTTTTACTCACCCTGTATATAACAGGCTCGAACACCCGCAGCAAAATGCTGACCCCAATATTAAACTTCCCTGGAATAATATGTTGCACCACGGCAACTTCAAGCGTTTCCTAGGTAACAAGTGGCGAATTTGTTATACTCCAAGAATAAAACGAAGATTTGTTTCCAAGTGGAGTCCCGAGAATGAATTACTTTACTTTCCTCCAACAATACTTCAACATTCCTCGAAACCCGAAGAATGTTGGTATATTGACGGGGAAAAAATAATTCATTCCAGTAGTACCCTAAAGAGTTCCCGAAGCTTGTAGTACATTGGATTGCCTGCTAGCTAGTTGCCCGTAACAATTGCCTCATGTGACTCGGCCATTAAGGAGAATAATCCGACTAGACTCTTCGAAACATCTTACCTCCAGCTACCAGAAGGAAAAGGCAAAGAACAGACGCATTCATCCTGCAAGTTGAGTAGTTTCCTAATCGAGAAGAGACAAAATTCGGACTTGTCTGATGGACACAGAGCTAAATAATACTGCGCAATGATTGCCGTGTACCGACAAATACCTGTTTGGTTTTCAGAGTGTTGCGCAGTAGCTGTGGTCGGTCTATATAAAGGCCTATATTGCTCAATTCTGTACCGACATTGGACCTGCTGTTTCTGTATGCGCACTTAAACTTTGATCTGTATGTTAAAGGGCCTGTCACAATATATGCGATCTCATAGGAGACCTTACGGCGACCATTTTCCCCCCATAAATTTAACAATCGCAGCGAGGACGCAATAAAATGACAACTTTCTGTCTCAAAGAAGCTCAAGCTATGCTCATACTGTGCTCTTTAATTCCGCGCTTACGATGCGTTCAACTCGCTCTCTAATGCGCCCCTGTCAAGCCCAATTACTCGATCTAGTCGCTGCCGCTGCGCTGTCACTGCGCCCACACTACGCTCTGCTCGCTGTTGATACGTCCTAGTAGCATGCGTCGCGCTCTCTATTCGACCAAAATACGCTCATGTGACGTTACTTGCACTGCATAAATACCACGATCAAATAAACGGTCAATACAAAGTCCAGTTTAAAAAAAAATATTCTACAAGTTCATCGCAGTCGAGTTACCTTCTCATGAAGACTAGGTCGACTGCCTTGCGCCTAAGCTGCCTCAATGCCATGTCGCACAATTCACGCTCGCACAGCGCCCGAGTTGCGTCATTACGGCGCCCTGGCCAGAGCGTAGAGGTGTTGCGATTGTTTTGAGCCGTGTTCAAAGACCTTTGCGTTCATCGGAGACCATTAAGACCCGGGAATTACGACTGACGAGGAACACTAGAGGGAGTGGTTTTTGGACCAGGGTGGCATGGATGAGCAAGTCACATTGTCCGTTGAGTATCCTCTGCATCCTGGCGGCGACAGTTCTCTTGTATTTGTTCTTACAATAATTGGCTCAGAGGGGTTCGACTTAGAACCACCTGTGCTTTAGCAGACATAATGTGTTGTTCATTTCACTTGGTAATCCTATACAATAACCACCGGTATTAGAAACCTGCCTCCAAAACAACGCCTACAGTAAGTCAACAACTGCCACCATTTCATCTGCTGTCAATGTCATCAAAATTGTTCTTTATTAGAAATATTATGTACAATTAAATCACAGCACTTGATCGTCTGATTTATACCCATTCAGCCTTTCTCAAGTTTGCACTGCCTTAACATAACCCACGTGATCATGGCCTCGACTATCATCCCTTTCAAATTGTAGCTGACGTATTTTTTCCTAAAATTTAATTCATGGAATTACACTTTCCGTATAGCATCTCAGTAACGGTAAATATTTTATCCTTTCAAAAAAAGCACAGATTTAAGTCAATGACACAAATTTCCAAATCTGATCAAAAGAACTTCTTGAAATTTATTCGGCAAAAATTCATATTTAAATTGTGCTTGGCGATTCTGTATTAATCAATCATAATACATCTCAAATTTATGATCATTAACTTTTTTTGAACAAGAAGCTGCCAAAATAATAGTACGAAATGTTGCAATTTAGGCCCTCAGTGTACAAGATCGGACTTTTCCAAAGGGGCGTATACTTTGATCCAAGTCGTAAAAAATACAGAGAAAAAAGTAAGCCTCTTATTTTACTAAATCTGTTCACTATATCAGTTCTGATAATTGGAATTGTATGTACACGCGTTCAATCCTGGGATGAACAACGCCCTCTGTTGTTCACGCGCTACGTCTGTTAAAAGTGCTTTCAATTAACTTATCGCGGTAAAATCGCGTCAACGCAGCTTGTGAAATACTGTCCAATTACATGATAAACAAATGGACGCGGAACACACATATTCTGATACAAACAAAAGTAAAAGTATACAATTCCATAGCGTTGTCTAAGGGGCGTGGCTTATTCGCAAACTGCGATTCGGTGCCAGTGTACGTAGCATGAATTTAGGTTTTATGAAATACGGACTCATTGGTGGAATTGCGCATGCTCATGCATGGATAATTAGGAGAGGGACCGGTCACGTGAGAGGGTTTAACCAATAAATGGGAAAAAGAGTCCGATTTTCATATGACACCGTTTTATCAAAATGTCCAAGGCCGTAGATGTCCTCACTCTACTGATGCTGATCTGGTGAAAATCGTGCCGTTTCACTTTCCAAGCTACCGTAAGACACCTCCTTCACCCTCCGCTTCCTGACCACGTACACGGCGATCCCTAAGATGAGGACGACAAAGGCCAACACACCGATGACTATGCCGGCGATCATGCCCGCGTTGTTGGGGCTGGGCTTGGTGGGGGGATGAGGCGTTGTCATAGTCGTCGGGCTTTCCATACAGTCTTCCACTTCTGTAAAAAAATAAAAAGAAGAGGTTAGGAGTGGATTTCATTAAACTGCCTATCACAATATAATTTCTGAGTAAAATTAACTGTCTAGATATTTTGTCTAGTGACGACTGTCTTTGGAACTCTTGGATCGTACTTACTTCCTCCCTATAATTTGACAATCCAAAACAAAAATGAGAACATGTACTTGCTGTCACTATGACTTATTCCATTTTCTACTGTTCTTTCTAAGTTATTGCCCACACCTTTGAGTGGCCTCGTCTTGTACTTTAGCGATATCCATAAACGTGTGACCTTCGGGTTTTTTTTTGGAGGGGACGGGGGGGGGGGGGGGGGGGGGGGGGAGAGGGGCCTTACCATCGCCGAAAGTTCCATTTGCATAGTCCGCAAAAGGCTGTAACATCACGTGATCCATAATGATAGTTGCCGGTCCTTTCGTGATCGTCCAGTTTGCGCACCTGTACGCCTTTCCTATTGTACCCGTGTACAAATTCTGCACCCCTGCGGATCCATCTTTCCCTGTTTACAAGATGGAGAAATATGAATAAGAAACGATGAATAGACGCTCAAGCAGTTTAGTAACCCCCCCCCCCCCCCCAAGTCTGATATCGAAAGGCAACTGCACAGTGAAAGTAAAATTATGGAGTTCTTGAGGTGCCATTTTATTACAGTTGAGATATCATGCCGAAATATTGCGGAATATAAGACGAGTAAAGGCCGGTTCATATCACCTTATACCGGATTTGCTATATTAACAGGTTTTTGCGTATAGATAACAATTCTTCCCATAGAAGTGTTCCTGACCAAGTCTTAGTCGTATATTGGGTACAGTAAATTTGTCTTTCAATTTGGTATATCACCTAATCATTGAGGATATCACGTTACACAAACTTGGTACGACTTCATGTAATCTACCCCCCCCCCCACTTCAATAACAACGAGATGCTCAAAACTTACCGTAGTCCACTACATCTCCCGGGAAGATCGGTTCGTAATAACCCCAGAGGGCGGTTACACTAAGGTTGTAAAGGGGATACTTTGGGACGTTTGGCCCCGGAAAGCTCCTCTGGAAATCGAGCCACAACCCCAAGAAACCACGGGTTGAATTGGAATCCGGCACATCAAAATATGTCACGATTCTAAAATCCCTGAGAACATCATTGGGGGACCAACCCGATCCATTTGTAGTCCACTCGACTCCCGTTGCGTTGATTTTCCCGCCAAAGGGAATAGTGACCTCGCCAGTCTGCACAAAGCAAGATCAAAATGAGGGAAATATCAGCTTCGGTTCAAAAATTGGGCCACCGGTATCAAATGATCGAAAAGAGCAATGTTCATAGCAATTTTGTTGCAATCACTTTCTAGAATTGGAAAATGTGAGATAGCTTTGTTGTGTGAGCGGTGGTAGTTTTTGTGTTATTACTTTTAATTGTTTTTCTTCAAAACGGCCGCCAATATGCTTGAACAGGATTAATTATATGTGGTAACAAGCATGTTTTGGCTGCCATTTTTTTTGAAAAAGTGATAGCATCCAAAAAGCTGCCACCGCTGCAATGTTATCACATATTTCCCAACTACAGGGGTGGATACCTTGCCAAAATCACAATGACCATCATTCCCTCATTTGATACCGACCGTTTGGTGATGGCCTAAAAACTAAAATTAAAGTGACGACCAGCGATTCATTATCTTATTAATTCATTAATTGATTCCCCAGTCTTGAATCAACAACACACATCTTGCTACCTGTAATCAAAGGAGTGGTGGTGTATGTGTTTACCAAGTTTTTTTTTATCGATTACAATTTATACTAATCCTGATGGCACCTATTGGCTCCGTGCATAACATAGATGGCGCTGTTTGCCCAAAACAATCAGTAAGGAGTTTAATTAAAAAAAAAAAGGCCACTCACCTCATTGTTTGTGGTGTTGTATCTAACTTTCAGCGTTGCGTTCAGGACGAACAACATCATAACCTCGCTGCCATTCTCAAACTGGTAGCTGAAACAAGATTTTTACATGCAGATATGTAAAAAAAAAAACACCCAAAACCCGAATTAGTCTTAAACGAACGTCATTCAGAAAATCCCCAAGCTTATATGCTGCACATACGAAAACGAAAATACATCACTCAGGGTATTCATGACAGAAATATTATTTGGCGAAAGTCTTTTTTTATTTTGATTGAACTTCTTCGTATAATGAAACGTTTGGTCTCGAGAACATTAATATTTCATAATCCTACAATTGTTTTTTTTTTTCATATCAGTTACTTCCCCCAGAAAAACAGGGTGCTTCCTAAGTCTTAGACGATTTAGCTGAAGTAACGTCTCTTGTCGACCACAAGTACTTTAAATGACCCATGCAACGAAATGTTTTAAAATGCATTCCTTGAAAATAACTTGGTCCAGGGTGTTAATGTGCCTTTTTCGGTTTTTATGCTGAAGAAAATTTCCATATTCATGAGCAAAAGTTTGATGTCATTTCAGACATAAACCTCAATGTAACAGAGCTCTCAGCATCAAAATTAGACAGAATTTTAGTTATTGCGCTGTCGTAAATTTTCTTTTCTTTGGTATTTCGCTGTTTTTTCCTGGCAATTTTTTTCTATAAGTAAATTTTGGGGTTCATAATTTGAACAGAAAACGCAAAGCTGAACAGCGTCTTACTGAAATGACACCACAGCAAAAGTGCCCTCAGTTATCTCGAAAAGTTTGGAAATGTTTGAGGATGTGTACTTTTTAATACAAGTAACCTAAGAGGGATGTCAAAGGCGTTTGCATACATTTATGAGGGGTAGAAAGTTGCACAACGTATGTTCCTCCGAAAAATTAACTTCGTGGACACTTTATACCTTGGTATAACCTTTTCTGGTCCAGGTCGGGTAGTGCTTGCCGGTGTAGTGGCACCAACAGTTGAACCGGTTGCATTGGATGTCGTATTAGCATCCGCAGCGGTGGTATCGGCCGGGGTTTCGGTTGGTTTTTCGGACGTGTGTCTAGCGGTCGTCTTTGGTGAGGTGGTGGGCTGAGTATGGGTCGCATATCAATTCGTGAGCGCTCCTTTTCGAGCGTCCACACAGGAACTGATTTTTCCGCTATGGGAATTGCCATCAAAAACGGCGCCTCGATTGTTTGTTTTTGTACACCATCGGAAAACGGAGCACCGCTTTGATTTGTTAAAAGAATATAAGACAGATAATTTTATTCTACATCATACTGATATAAAATATTGAATTTATATTAAAAACAAAGCCCGTACTTTTCAGGATATATATTGTTGTTTTAGCAGAATTTAACACGATTCTGTGTGTAAATCGAGGTTTTCAGTAAACCCGCACCGCTTCAACTCGCCGTAAACACAAACAGCGCCACCGTACGGCATTGTTAAAAAAAGTGTTGTTAGGGAAAGTTCTGGTCTAACTAATTATCTAACATGTATTTTGATTGGACATTGTTAAGGCCCGTACATTGAGGATTGAAGAAGATGATCGCCAATCATAACCCTGCTCAAATACGTCGTGGGCATTGCGTTGTACGTGCGTACACTACGCTCAAATCTTGTCACGCCGGCCGGCCGCTCACGTCCACACACAGTACACGTTGCGCGTACGCGCATTTGTATTACATTTTGTTACAATCGTGCTATGCGCAAAATCGGTTGAATCAGGTAAAATAATAGGAGCGGTTTTTGCCATAAACAAATTGATATGTCTTCGGTGCGGTGGTGGGCTGACTATGGGTCGTCTTCGGTGCGGTGGTGGGCTGACTATGGGTCGTCTTCGGTGCGGTGGTGGGAAGACTATGGGTCGTCTTTTGTGCTGTGGTAGTGGAACGTTGGGTCGTGGGGCCAGTCGTTGTTGTTGACAATGTCAGTGTCGCCCCTATAAATTAAATTTTGATATTTAAACAAAATGCGAACCCTGTATTAAGAAGACACATATTATTATTATAATAAATTTTTGACAAAGTCATGGGTTGTGGAAAGGCTGTACAGCCCATCTTGAACTTAAACTATCAATGAAAGATAAAAACTTAAAGTAATAATGCTGTAAAACAAAAAGGATAATATTTGAAATTTAACGTATAAGAAGAAAAGAAAAAGTAAAGTTAACATGATAAAATCTATGACCTACCAAAAAACCCAAGAAAGATAGGGGGCATCGGGAACATCCAGACTTTTGCTTCTTATTACGCACGTACGTAATATTGTGAAGTGCGTAAGAAAGTTAACGTGCGTATGTTGTACTATCACGTGAGTATATGTAATATTATCACGTGCGTGCGTAATATTATGACGTACGTAGTACGTACGTAATATCATGACGTACGTACGAGATAATTACGTGCTTTGAATGTCTTCATAATACCCTCGGTCGATCGTCGTACTGGAGAAGAATAACATTCAGTCAAACACATTGTTATTAGAAGCTGGTACCAGTCCCACCCCCTCCCCCCCCCCCCCCCCCCCCCCCCCTTTTTGACTTTACGAAGTGTCTGGAGAAAAGAAAAACACTTGTGTACATTTCAGCACGGATGTGCGAGTGCCCTTTTCACAAACTTTTTACCCTCCCAATAAAAAATACTTTGCTACGCCAGCCCTGCAAGAAAAGTATTTTTTTCTATACCCATGAGTTCCTTAAGCTTGTAGTGCATCATGGTTGGCCTCCTAGTTGCCTGTAAAATACTGTCTTTTGTGACTATGAAGAAAATCTGTCTAGATCTTTCGATATCTCTTACCTCCAGCTACCACGAGGAAAAGGAAAACAACAGACGCATTCATCCTGCACGTTGAGTATCGTTTCCTAATCAAGAATAGAGACGAAATTCGGGCTTGTCTGATTAGCACAGAACGAAATTGAACACTGCGCAACGCACACTTTGTACCGAAAAATACCTGAATGGTTTCAGATTGTTATTACGCAGTCACTGTGGTCGGTCTATAGGCCTTTTGCTCAATTTTGTACCGACATTGGACCTGTTCTTTCTGCACACTTAAACTTTGATCTCAACCCATGCTTATTGACTCATGCTTATTTACTGCTGAGATAACCTTCATAGGCGTAGCAAGGTCGTGTTTATTGGGAGGGGGTAAACAGTTTTTACCGTTTAGGTAAATAGTAAACGGGGCGCTCGCACAACCGTGCTGAATGGAAGACAGGGATTTTTCTCCTGATTTTTTGGCCTTTGTAAAATAAACAGGGGTGGGGGGGGGGGGGGGAGGGGAAGGCTGTACCATATTTCAATGGGGGCGCTGTTCAAACCGGACGATAATGCGCACTGTCTGATAATAGATTCCGCTTTTCATGGAGATACAATTGCCAACGATCGCGCGAAATTCGAAAAAAAGGCACTTATAATTGAAAAAGGCACCTGATTGATTCTAAAAAAACAACATGACACTCTCTACAAATATTTGGGGGAGGGGATAAATGTCGGTGAAAAAAATGGGCACTTGAATGCAAAAAGGCAGACCTTTCAACAAATATTAGGGGCGGGGTGGGGAAGGGAGTAAATATACCCTCCCCCGTCTGGGCCGGGCTACGCCTTTGACCTTAATTCCTGAATCAGATGGCCGCAAACTTCAATACAATAATAACCACCGGTAATTATGTCAACAACAACTGAGTCAACAATTGCATGTGTTGTCAAGAATATTGTCAACAAATGTTTTCCATAATTTCAAACATGAAAAATTAAATAACTAAAATTGTTCACAGGTTTATATAGATTAATTTTTTTTCCAGTTTTCTGTCCTTTAAAATAAAGCACACGAGACTTGAGCCGCCACTATTTTAAGGCACTTAAAAAGTTAAGACCACGAAAATATATATTTTTTTAATTTCTGGAAATCCACTGAAAGCATAGCATCTGATTATAGTTATGTAATGTTAAATCTTTCTATATTTCTTGAAGCGGTTCTATACATGTTACAATTGCAGAATTACATATATTAAATACAAAATTTTCAAATACTAAATTTCCAAATCCAATCAAAAGAACTTGTTGAAGATTATTTGGCAAATATTCAAATAGTAGTTTCAAATTGCGTTGGGAGATTTTCAATTGATCAATCGTAATAGTGAATGTCATAAAATTTTGATTATTAACTTAAGCAAAAAAAAGCTTATTAAATGTAGAAGATTATGGACTCTCCAACGAGGCATACTTTGATCCAAGTTGTGATAATACAGATATAAAAGGAGATTTCACAATGAAAAGCGCATGCATAGTCGGACTTCTCGATCAAAATAGTTTCATAAGCCTCATATTTACAATTTCTTTTCACTATATCAATGTTGATAATTTGTATGTTATTAGTCTGGTTCCCAGACCAAATGATTCTGACTATTTCTGACGATCATTAGGTCAGGCAGCCGCCAATATCACATGATCAAACAATTCCTTCCGTTTCCAAAAATGCCCGAAGTTTACCGAATGCATTTCGTCAACACTCTCAGATAGCGCTCTGGTATTTCCGGATACAAATAGGCTGTATTTACCTGCCATGCATATTTAAAAAAAAAAGATGAGTTCATAAATTCATTGTTTGCATTTTAAAAACTGGAAATTATCGGATTGTACGAGGGGCGAGCTGAAACTAATGTGTACTATTTAGAATCTGACGACGGTTAACATCCAAAACTGGGCTTCTCCATTTCGTCTTCGCCTGCTAATTGGGTCTCTTACTTTGGAGATTCCAGTTCAACATCAGTCAATGTTTTCTTACAGACATATCAAATTGTTTGATATAAGGCATTTTTTTATTTGATCGGAACATTAAAAGCTTTTAATGATTAAGCCAAATTGGAAACGAAACCGAGCAGTGGCGGCTACCCGACCTAAGAATATTTTTTGGTCTTGGCAGGCACGGATCCAGGGGGGGGGGGCTGCTTATAGGTCACCCCCAGCTCTATCAAAAACTTTGTTCATAGAAATTCCTTAAAAATAATGCGACCCCCCCCCCCCCCTCTAACACCCCAAACAATTGTACTGGTTATAATGTCCGCCTGTGCACAAAATACGGACAGAGCCAGCTTGGTTAGGGGGTATTTGTACACTATTATGTAATACAGTGTTAACAATAGTCCGATTTGAACAGCACCCCCATTGAAAGTATGGTACGAGCCCACCCAACGGCCCACACCCCCCACAGCTATTGATTTTTCGGAGGTCAAGTTTCTGGAGAAAAAAAAACCTGTCTACATTTCAGAATTGCATGTTTCCTGTTGAAAATACCCCCCCCCCCCCAAGCGAAAATTCCTTGATCCGCCTCTGCTGGGAGTGAGACTAGAATATTATATAGGGGCCTACATGTATAAATTCCTGGGGTGAACAAAGCACCTGTAAAACTCGCGCACTTCGTCTGTTAAAGCTATAGTCCATCATTTGCAGCCATCCGAAAAGTAACTGGCGTAATTATTGTTGAAAAACATACTTAGTTGAAAGATAGTAAGGGAACTAAACTCCCTGTGAAATTATTCTTTCTGGGAAGCTGTCATTTTGAAGTAATCAACGAAAGAAGGCATTTCCAACGGTGATTCTTAAGAAGCACCGTAGGAAAATTTAAATTAGTATTTCGTTTTGTTATTCAGCGCAGCGCGCGCAAGTATTGGAACGACGCACACGCGCGCGCGGTTGTTATAATTCGTCGGACCAGTGCGCGACGTCGCGTATAGCTGCAATTCAAAACATGATTCAGTAACTTTTGATTTGAAATTGAGATCTTAGAATGCTGGTTTTTCTCGGAATGTACAGCTGAAGCTTAGCTGTTACTTTTTCAGGTTAGTTGCTTAGTATCCTTTATTAGATTTTGAACTCTTTTGTTGCTTCAAACGAACAAAATGCACTAATTACAAATGATGGACTATAGCTTTAAAAACACTTTCAATTATAACAAGGATCAGAAGCCATTTTATCAATAGTCCAAAACTGTAGACTTCCTGGCGCTTCAGGACGCTGAGCTAGTGAACGTAATCCTTGTGTTCCTCGTCGAGGTGGCCGTAGGCTGCTTCCTTCATCCTCCGCTTCCTGACCACGAACACGGCGATTCCAATGATGAGGACGACAAAGGCCAACACACCGATGACTATGCCGGCGATCATGCCCCCGTTGTTGGGGCTGGGCTTGGTGGGGGGATGAGGGAACGCCGTGGTGGCCATAGTTGCGTTGGCTGTGGTCGGCTCCATGGTCGTCGGGTTTGGCTTAGTACACTCTTCCACTGTAACAAGGGGGGAAAAACACGGGCGTGTATTGAATTGATTTTCTCAGCATTTTCTCAAGGGCTGATTTCACTGAGTTCTTTGCACAATCATTTGCTGGGAACAAACCAAAAAAATGACATGGCAAGGAAAGGACTTTAAATGGCCCACGCAATGTATTTTTTTGTTAAATGCAATCCTTGAAATGCACCTTTTTAACCTTATTTTAAATTATCGTTTTGCCGTTTTGGAAGGGTATTTTGTTTTTTCATGCTAATGCGAATTTCCATATTCATGAGCAAACGTGTGATCTCGTTTCAGGCAGAAACTTCAATGTTACAGCTATTGCAACATTTGCCAGAATTGTTGTTGTTTTTGTCGTTAATGCTCTTTTCTTTGGCGATTCGATGTTGTGGCAGAACATGGCAGGAAGCCCTTGAGCAAACGTCTTTCATAAATGTTTTCAACGAGCGTTTTCTTGGTTAACAATTTGAACAGAAAACCCTTAAACTGAACAGTGTCTTCCTGAGATGATATCACATCAACAGCGCCCTCGGTTGTCCAAAAAAATTGAACAATTTTAAATGTCTAAAGAAGTGGTTTGGGAGTAAATGTAGTTTGTTGGTCACTATTAAACAAGGCCGGTGTAGCGTGAATATCCGACTCCATGAAATGTGGACTCATTGGTAGTACTGCGCACGCGTGACTACGATACTATGCTATTTTTAGGATCGTTTCGGGAGAGTGACCTGTCACGTGCGAGGGATCAACCAATAATAGGGAAATAGGGGTCCGATTTTCATAGGAGTCGGATTTTCATGTGACACCGGATCCAGAATACATTTTATTATTATTATTTTATTGAAGGGGAGGGGGGGGGGGGCAAAAAATGTGGTGTTCCCCAAAAAGTGGGTCCAAAAATTTTCCGCCACAAATTTAATATGAAAAGCAAGGGAAGGGGTGCACATGTATTGCTTTTGTTGAGTTTTGTGGATGGTGTACGCAATGGCTGGCTTTTTTGAGACGGGCATGTTGCTGTTAAAGTTGTAACTACAGGGCCTTATTTTTGAAGACCTGTTTGGTGCTCAGCAAGGTTAACCTCATGGTAACCGTGCAGTTGTTTTTACTTACCGTCACCAAATGTACCGTTGGCATGGTCCGCGTAAGGCTGTAACATCACGTGATCCAGAATGATCGACACATCTAGCTTCGGATTACTGGTCAGTTTGACTTTGAGGGTCTGGCACCCAAACGTCTTCCCCATCGTGCCCGCGTACACAGATGCGTTAGCTGCCCACACTTCTTTTCCTGTGTAAAAAAGTGTAGCGGTATTAAGAAAGCAGAAACATCAGCTCAAACATTGACCTTTTCAAAACTAGTTTAGTAATACCGTCATATTTCAGGTATAAATCATGTTGTTACACGTTACCCCCGTTCTCGGGTAAAATGAATGCTGGTAACAGTTTTTGTTGAATGGTGGAGTTTCTAAGATATTGGGCCCGTTTTGCAGTCTTGAATGTTCTGACGACCTTTGACATTTGATGGAGTTATGTTGTGAACTTGAAGATAAAGCGTGGGTTGGTGTGACGACTTTTGACAGGTTCCCGTTGGAGCATGACAGCATGATGATATTATTTGTAACACTTAATGTCCTACTACAGTCATTTTTGACCAAGCAAGATATATGTCTTGGAGTTGTTGTGATAAGGATCCCATATCGATGCGCATTACTCAAGCTTCGGTCTGATGTGGGTCTTGTAGGCTGTTTTCTTGACTGATTTGCTGCATGAGTGGATGTTTCTTTCTAGAAGACCCAGGACTTTATTTGCTTTGTTTGTGACTTGATTCATGTGTCTTGCCCAGTTGAGATCTTTGCTGATCTCTTCCATTAAATTGGGGTGGACTTGTATTAGTCCTCAGTCTCCTTGCATCACAAGTTACTGCCGACAGTATTTTGCTCTAAAGGATTATCAATCGACTTGTAACGGTTTGGTGTATTAGCCATAGACACTTGGTTTAGTACAATTCGCAAGATAATTTTATACATTTGTTACAGATTATTGCTTGAGTGGTTTAAATCCCAACTTAAAATGTGTTCTGTATTGTTTGTTTACTGTTCCACGCTGCTTCCAAGTCTAAAATGTCTAAAGCCAATTCATGTCTCTGGTTGCTTTTGGAAGAGTGCTTAATCTCTGCATAGCTGTGTACGCAAACGCATAGGGAAGGCAAAAGATCTATACAACGAGGAAGCACAGGCAAATCTCAGTTCTAGTTTTAAGGCCACAGAAGTGCACAGCTTTTATATGGAAACTAAGGCAGAGTGACTTACCGTAGTTCTTTACATCTCGTGGGAAGAACGGCTCGAAATACGACCAGGTGGCATTCAGGATCCATAAACTGTAGAAGGGCTTATCCGGGTGGATCATGTCGAATTTGAAACCCAAGGACGCATAACCAGTCGCAATGGAGTTAGGTACAGCATAGCCTGCAGAAAGTTGGAAATACCTAAATGCATCACCCCTACATATTGAATTCAGGGTCCACTCAGTGTCCGTCCCGTTGATATTTCCGCCAATGGGAATTGTGGCCACGCCGGTCTAAAGAAAATAAACAATAGAGCGACCAAATGTTAGAAAAAATCTATCTACATTATGTACAAAGAAGTTACAAAAAACACCCAGACGTACAAAACTGATCTTTTCATGATGGGAACCCATGGCCCTCGAAAATTCGAAAAAGCAGGCTCAGGGTTATTCGACGCTTGAGGGCACTGTCCATAAAATATGATGTATAATATAGACTGGTTCCCTGTCCCTCCATTGTTTTTCGGACTTCGAAAGCTGAGACAGGTAGCTAGCAAGTAACCCCAAATTCTCTTGGTTGTTTTCCTTCTGATGTATTCAAATTATAAGCAGGACTGACATTGGTCTGATTCCCGCCTCCTGAATGCAACATCACAACAAAATTTGCAGCGCAGAACCAGCCTATTGCAAAATGACAACAAGGTTTATCACTAACGTGCAGTTTGTGTGGTGATGAGCTTCAATGTTCGCTGAATTCAAAAGTATCTCTGGCAACCATCAATTAAGAGAGGAGCACCACTTTTTAGGATTTGAAACCCATCGTGCCTATGCAGTTAAAAAGCGTGAAAGTTGCCTTCGTGGAGACACTGACGATTTTACCTACTCGTTTAGAGTGAGAGAGTTTTTTGATAGCCATGTTTCAAATGTCATCCATGCACAAAGCTGCTAATATCGTTTTTAAAAGTAAACAGTGATGTTACGCAAACGCAGAGGTGATCCAGCCAGTGGCGTAGCCGGGGGGGGGGGGGGGGGGGGGGGACAGCCTCAGCCTCGTCGACCTCGTCGACCCCAGTCGCCCCCCCCCACTGAGATTTTGAGTTTCTAAAAAAAGTTATCATTGATCTACATGACGCCCCCCCCCCATGAAATGTTCCAGCCCCCCCCCCAGCGCCCCCCCCCCCCCCCCCCCCCCCACTGAAAAATTCCTGGCTACGCCACTGGATCCAGCCAGTCAGTTTTAAACGGGAACTAGCTACCGGTCCCCATATTCTTAGAAGGTGCCAAGGACCAGTCTGTAATGAGCTTATCGGTACATAGTTGTACTTCCTTGTTTAATACGAACAGTTAATTCTTTTCACATAGATGTGAGTAAGTTGAGTACATCATCGTGGTCGTGGAGACGACTTCCAAAATTGCCCACCTGATTGTTTGTAGTTTCATATTTGATTGTCAATGTTGCGTTGAAGACGAACAACATGCAGACCTCGCTGCCATTCTTAAGCTGGTAACTGCAACGGAATTACAGCGTAAAGAATTATAGAAGATATCTTTTTTTATTGTGGGTTTTCCGAAATCCGAGTGGAGCAGTGACTAAAAATAGTTTCCGAATGTCAGAAACCCCGAAAAGACATCGTTGAACCCTGTGAGCATAAACGACGAATTTGACCAGGGCGCAATATGTGTTCATTTGAGCCCGTTGCCGTATTAACTATAAAGGAACCCGTATCAGCTCAGTGTAAGCAGCTGTTAAACTAATCTGTCATCGTGTTTATTTAATGGGTGAGACAAGACTTGGCTGTAACTAGTACTTAAAGTTTGTATATACGTGTTTTTTTTAATATAAATTTCGATTTTCTTTTCTAAACAAATATAATGTACTGCAAGAAATGAAATTGCTTGTGTGCATTTTTTGGCCTTTTCACAATTTTCCAAATGTTTTATTATGAATAGGGCCACGGCGCATCAGTTCCGATAGTTTCGAGTGAAATTCTAAAAATATTCATATCAAGTGACGTTTTCAAGCTATATACAAGTCATGTTTACATGCAAAATGTTAATTTTGGAAACACGCGTTTTGTATTCGCCTGGTACGGCTTCGCAATAATCGAGGCTGGGTCGCGACACTCCTGCGCGATCAGGTATATAGGCATACATACATGCAGCCAGACCAGCCTGGCTACACTTCAGTTCATACGTTCTATCATAATCTCTGATATGTCTTTTACACTCAATGGTTTTCCAAGACTTCCATGTCATTCATGCATTGCGTTGTCCAATGGTACGACACTAGCTGTGTACGAGTACGCACTTCCGGCAGCCTCGACTCCAGGGGCGCGTGCTCGTTCATTACACCCCTGGCTGTGATGATGACGTAAATGACACTGAATGGCTATTCACAGCGTACTGCGCAGGCATTTCGAAGATTGCACGCCGGGCGCGCCCATAATGCGCTCGCGTTCGCGTGCTTAGCTTTGCACGTAACGTCACGTACGAAAAAAAAAATTATGATTCAAAAGTCGCGAAGCCTGTACGATATGGATTATGTCAGCCTAGTTTTTCGCTAAAAAAACCCCTGTATCTGTGGTTGTAAAGGCACGAAAGGGGTACGTACATTTAATACAGATCTTTGCTAATTAACACAACGTCCAAACGTTGTGTTTGAAAGGATTGATTCTTCAAAATCACAACTTTTAACATTTTAAAGATGGCGTTGGCACGTAAAACGGATAAACTGCAGCCCTAATTATAATATACCGTATTTTGGTATATTTAAATTACACAATTCCAGGGGTTACGATCGCGCAAGGCATGATGGGAAACAACATGGCGCTGCAAGATCGTACCCACGGGGCACGAGGTTGCACTCCCGGTGTACACGAACATTTTTGTACACACAATCTGAACAGCTGTTGATATTATCATTCATAAGCCGCACTGTCACAAAAGTGATGCGCACACTTAGGTCCTGCTGGCTTCATCCGAATTAGGAGCGTCCCGCTCCTAATTCAAAAGTTGGAATTAAGTAATTGATTGCTTGTCATAGGGCGATTTGTTTTCGTCCGATGTCTCATTTAAAAACTCATAACTAATGCTAGGAAATTATCACTTCAATTTTAAATATCTATTTTTTCAAGGTGCCACTCCCCAAAAGCACGTATATACCCACTTTAACTTACGTGGGTATAACATTTTCTGGTCCGGGAACTGTTGTGAGCTCCGGTGTTTTTGGACCAACAGTTGAACCAGTTGCATTGGATGTGGTATTAGCAGACGCAGCGGTGGTATGGGTTGGGGTTTTGGTGGTTTTTCCGGGCGTGTGGTTAGCGGTTGTCTTCTGTGCAGTTGTGGGGCGGGTATGGGTCGTCTTCGGTGCGGTGGTGGGGTGACTATGGGTCGTCTTCGGTGCGGTGGTGGGCTGACTATGGGTCGTCTTTGGAGCAGGAGTGGGGTGACTATGGGTCGTCTTCAGTGCGGTGGTGGGCTGACTATGGGTAGTCTTTCGTGCGGTGGTGGGCTGACTATGGGTCGTCTTCGGTCTTTCAGTGGTGGTATGAACCGTCGCTTTTGTGGTTGCTTTGTTACCGGTAGTGTGTGCAGGCGTTGTTGCCAATGCCAGTGTCGTCGCTGTAAAATAAATTTGGATATTAAACAAAATTGACCAACCTGAATAAACAGCATTCAGGTAAACATGTTGTTCCAAAATAAGGAGAAAAATCTCTTCGATAGACTTTAAGATATCTCTTACCTCCAGCTACCAGGAGAAAAAGGCAGAGAACAGACGAATTCATCCTGCACGTTGGGTAGTGTTTCCTAATCGAGAATAGAGACAAAATTCGGGCTTGTCTAATAACTTACAGAAACGAAATTTAACACTGCGCAACACGCACCGCATACAAAAAAGGACCTAGTTTTCAGAGTGTTAGGCATCGCTGTGGTAGGAGTGATACTGTTATTGCTCACTTCTGTACCGACATCGGACCTGGTATTCTTTCTGTCTGCGCACTTAAACTTTAATCTATACACATGTTGTATTTACTATTGAGATAACGTTAGACAAGGCGTAAGTGTAACAACCTATTAATTTTTTTATACGCTCTCAATCACCGATACCACTTAAGAATAAAACTTCCGCATCCCCCTGGCATGATGGCAGTATACATTCAGTTATGGTAAGCAGTGTACCCAACCAAAATCAATAATGACCTCATTCGACCCCTAGATGACCCTTGACCTCAAATGGCTCAAGTCATCTGAAGTCCCCCTACCCAAAGATTATTGTTACAAAGTTTGGTTGAGATTGAAGTCTGACTTTGCATATGACAACACTTTTCAGTTTACTTAACCAAAACCAACAACGACCTCATTTGACCCCTAGATGACCTTTGACATCAAAATCTCAGGTCATCTGGAGTCCCCCTATATAGCCAAACATAATTGTCAACAAGTTCGGTTGATGGAAGTCTGACTTTTCACATGACAAGACTAAACAGTTAACCTAACCAGCATGGAACACACGGACACACAATGCTCTCATTGCGTGTACACGGACCCACAGAAGGAATACACCGTCGCAATATCCCCCTTTCTGGCTTAAAAGCCGGGGGGGGGGGGCTGGGTTTAAAAACTGAGGCAGAAGAAGTTTTATTTGTGTCGCAAGAAATTGTTTGGCTGAGGAAGTTTGTGCGCAACCACACATTCGGAGTGATCACGTTAACACGTGAAGTGGAATCGGCCTATCGTTTATCAAGCAAACAGAACTATCAAGTGGATTTATTTTTAGGTCTAGTTTCGTTTTTACACATTGTATCGGTTGTGACGTGAGTAGGCCTGGTCGCGTGATCGGGACAAACAAAATTCTTTCCTTTTTATCAGCGTATACTTATCAGCGTAACCGTGATGAACACGGGCATCTGTGCGAGAATTGTTACAAAAATGTATACGTGTTAAGGTACCACTAAGGAGACACGTTATCGTAATTTCTTCGCAAGATGGGAGATATCGGTCATTAGGGAGACATTTTTATGTCTCCCTAATGTCACAGCCCCCCTTTAGAGGCACAATTTAAATGCGCAATTGGGTTATATTATTTTGTTGCTCGTGGTCTAATTAGTAAGCATACCGAAATTCATGGAAAAAGGACAAGGGACTTTGGGTTAGGGCACATTTAAGTTTGAAAAATTGTGTGCACAAGTCTACGGGGATGTCTCCCAAATGTCCAATCCAGGGTAATTATTATGATGTGAAAAAAATTGTCGGGTAATTTTCCGGACGACCACCAGTGACGCTATAGCCAGCGCTGTTCATGATCTAAACTTATGCGTACAGATTGTTTTGCATTCAATCTAACAAATTTTAATAAGGGTTGGACGGGTTCCATATGACATTTATATTATTATTCCATACTATATTCTAGCAAAAACAAAAGACGGAGATTTTATTCTCTTGAAAAACACAAATTAGAAGAGTAAATAGCAAATTGTTTTCTTTAATCATACACAGTAATTTTCTATATCTCAATTATTATAATTACCAAAACCTTAAGTTTTCATTTGTTAATTTATAACTTGAGTTAAGAATTTCGAAAACTATTAAACGGCACAGAGAAGAACAATACAAGTTTACAATATTTTGCAAACAAGAATGCATAGTAGTAAAAACACAAAGAAAGAAATATAGGAATATTAATTACCAGTTCTTTTCTCTTATATACAGAGTAAGATTAATATTATTCTTCAGATTAATATTAGGCTTCAACTTTCATTCGTTAATATAACTTGCGTTGAGAATTTTGAAAACCGTATACGGCACAAGTAACAACAATCCAAAAATTTACAATGGTTGGCTAACAAAAGTGCATAATTTGTTAAGTAAGGAACAAAAAAATAATTGTTATTATACGTCAATTCTGCCAAGAAAGGAAACATGTGTCAGCCTCTATGTTGAGATATAAGTTATGTACAGCTACAGTACTGCTCAAGATTTGTTGGAACGCCAATTTGACCCCAAGAAATCTGTACCGGTATATGCATTTTGCGAATAGGCAGGCCTACTCCCTCAATAGTAAAATAAAGAGCAAAAGACAGGCGGAGATCACTTGGTGCTCAGCGACTCGAAAATCAGCACGAACATCAGCGAAGTGTCATTCTGCTAGACTGGTTCCCGCCATATACAATCTTTGAGACACGACAGGGACCAGCGAATTGTTACTTATGTCTTTTTATCTTCTCCGAGGTTCATGTTCTTCGAGGTTCAGGAATTTGAAATTATTTTTTAAAGAATGTTTTGTTGGAAGATTGCGTTAGAGACGAAATGTTCAATTTTAACTTGCACGTATACAAAAGTGTAAAAGTGTCAAATGTCATAATTTCGTTCACATTATGGGTCAAATTAAGAGTGTTACAACTGATAATGTAGTAACTAACTGATAACGTATCACTAACCGATAATGTCACACAAATTGACCGGTTGTAACGAAGAGTATGGCTGAATTGCTAAGGAATTTCTGTACTGATTAGTTGCTATTTGAGCGAGAGGTGCCCAGTAGTTTTGGAGTTAAACAAAAAAGTATTGAGAGGGGACTTTCTTTTTTGGTTGAGTGTAGTATAGTGAATACGTGAATTGATTTTCAAAGTAAGTTGGTACATGGTACGTAAATTAATGATCAAATTTCAGTGGCTGATTTGCAAATCATCATTTAGATTTCCTGTCTAAACCAACGCTGATCTAGTGAACGTAATCCTTGTGTTCCTCGTCGAGGTGGCCGTAGGCTGCTTCCTTCATCCTCCGCTTCCTGACCACGAACACGGCGATTCCAATGATGAGGACGACAAAGGCCAACACACCGATGACTATGCCGGCGATCATGCCCCCGTTGTTGGGGCTGGGCTTAGTGGGGGGATGGGCCTTGGTGGCCATGGTTGCGTTGGATGTGGCCGGCTCCATGGTCGTCGGGTTTGTCTTGCACTCCTCCACTGCAACAAGGGAAAAACAAAGGCGTGAATTGAATTGTTTTTCTCATCACTTTCTCAAGCATCTGATTTCACGGAGTTTCTCAGCACGTTCTGTGAACAAACCAAAAAATGACATAGTAAGGAAAGGACTTAAAGCTCATGCAATGTATTTTTTATGCGATCTTTGAAAATGCACCTGTGCCTCTCATTAAACCTTGTTTGCAATTATCGTTTTGCTATTTGCAAGGGTGTTTTGGTGCCTTTTTGGTTTTTATGCTGATGCGAATTTCCATATTAATGAGCAAAAGTGTGATATTGTTTCAGGCAGGAACCTCAATAGTACAGCCATTTCAGCATCAAAAGTCTTGTCGTCGTAAAATGTTCTGTTCTCTGGCGATTTGTTGTTGTGCCAGTATGGCAGTTATGAGCAAACTTTCTCACAAATGATTTCAATTAGCAATATTGTTGGGTTCACAATTTTGAACAGAAAACCCCTTAACTGAACGGCACCAGCGCCCTCAGTTGTCCGGAAAAGGACAGCTGTCCTGAAATGTTTAAAGAAGTGCACTTTTGAATAAAATTAATCAAAAATGGATGTCAAATAGTTTTTGGAAACTTTAAGAGGAGTAGAAAGTTGCACAAAATGTGCTCCTTCGAAAAAAATTCATCTCATGGACCCTTCCACTATCGTGTGACCTTTCTGCTTATAATTATTTTCAATAGTGATCTACTTAGGGGCCTATCAGTTTGTCTGCAATTCTGAAGTTTGGGAGTAAATTTAGTTGGTTGGTCTCTGTGAAAGTTGCGGTTACAGTGCCTTATTTTGGTACTAAAGACCTGCTTGGTGCTTCGCAAGGTTTACCTCACGGTAACTGTGGTGTTGTTCTTACTTACCGTCACCAAATGAGCCGTTGGCACGGTTCGCGTAAGGCTGTAACATCACGTGATCCAGAATGATTGTCACATTTTTCTTCGGATTGGTCAGATAGAGGGTCTGGCACCCAAACGTCTTCCCCGTTGTGCCCGTGTACACTTGGGTGTAACCTCCCCAATCATTTCCTCCTGTTAAAAAATGTAGCAGTAAGAAAGCAGAAACGTCAGTTAAAACATTTACCTTTTAAAAACTATAGTTTAGTAATACTGATCTGTCATAACTCAAAGTGATCTGACCTTCGCCTCTAAATTTTATACAAACCAACGTCAGTTTGTTTTGATAGTTTTTGTTATTAATGTAAAGCCCAAGTCACACGTTCACGGCTTGGAGCTACGGATATTCACAGTTTATTCATGATAAACCGTGAAAGTACCGTATTCATCCTTAGTCCTTCCGTGGTTATCCGTCATCTTCCTTGGGTATCCATGGAGGGGCTACGGAGGTGAATCGTCATGAAAATCAATTCGAAATTCAAACGTGGGACATCCGTAGGACAACCGTACTATGTCGTGGTGTTATTCGTGGCTATTCGTACTAAAGTTGGAGATTCGTATCACATTCGTGGTAGAAATCTCTACAAATTTGCTACGAATGTCCTATGGATATGCCCGGATATGCTATAGGATTCTGCTAAGGTTGTACTATACGAATATGTATGCTTTATTCGTAGGAGAACCTTGGTCATCCGTGGCCCAATCGCAGACAACCGTGGCGTTAACGTCATTATTCTTAGCCTATACCGTCGATACTCTTCAACAATCCATTCGTACTCCTGACAAACCGTGGTATTATCGTAGAGCAACCTTAGGACTGTCGTGGCTCTCCGTCCTGAACCGCAGTGCATTCTTAGAAAGTCGATTTCTCCACGGAATCTCGACGGTTCATCGTGATCGATTGATTCTTGGTAAACCGTGAATATTCGTAGCTCCAACTGTGAACGTTGGCTGGCTTTACAGGCCTACCAAACATTATTAAGGAGAGGGGTCTGAGAAGTCCACAAACAAAACCCTCAAGTTCAAAGAAGATGAAAGACCTCAATCAGACTTTATGAGCACCATCATTAATCTGCCAAACTCGCCACGAGCAAACACAGACAAACTCCAGTATTTTTAGGCCGTAGAATTACTGTTTTTAATGGAAACGAGTACCGAGAGTCTTACCGTAGTTCTTTACATTTCGCGGGAAGAACGGCTCGAGATACGACCAACTGGCAGTCAGGAGACCCAAACCGTAGTGCTGCATATCCAGAGAGGTTATGCCGAATTGGAAAACCAAAGACACATAACCAGTCGCATTGGAGTTTGGTACAGCAAAGCTTCCAGACAGTCTGAAAAACCTCATTAACTCTTCCTCGCAATATGCGTCAAAAGTCCACTCAATGCCTGTCCTGTTGATATTTCCGCCAACGGGAATTGTGGCCACTCCGGTCTACAGAAATAAATCAAAAGCAATAGAACGATCATAGTTCGAAGAATTAGCTATAGTTAACACCCTCCTGTGACGTCAGACTATTTTTTCCCTGGACATTTTGTGAATTTAGGACTATGATACTGAGTCAATGGCAGTATTGCGCATGCCTGCGTGAGGATTGTGAACGTTTAACCAATAAAACGGTAAAAGGCACCGGATTTCATAGGAGTCCGAAGTTCATGTTACACTGGGAAAGTGTCTTTAGCATCCGTTCAAGACCGACCACGTGACGGGCCCTCAACCAATAGGAATGGGTAAACTGTCTCAGGCATTTATGAATTATTCTTAAAAACCATTATTCGAAGATTTGTACGGAGATGAATTTAAACACATGGCTATAAACAAACTGACTCCATACCATAACCAGAATGCAAATTCGTCAGTGCCTCCACGTAGGAAACTTTCGAGCATTTCACATGCATAGGCGTGATAGGTTTCAAATACTGAAAAGTAGTGCCCCTCCCTTTATTGATAGTTGCCAGAGATACTTTCGAATTCAGCGAAAATAGAAGATCGTCACCACATAAACTGCATGTTGGAGGTTAACCTTGTTGCCATTTACAATAGGCTGGTTCCGCACTAACATTATCGTTGTGATATTGCATTCAGGAAGCGGGAATCAGACATGTGCTTGTCCTGCATATAATTTGCATATATTAGGAGGAATACCTCCTAATGTATTCAGGATTCATTGCTAGCTACCTGTCCTTACATTCGAAGTTCGAAGGACAATGGAGGGACTGGGAACCAGTCTAGAATACACGATTGCACCTCCTTGTTAATGTGTAATGTTATTTTTTTCCACATGGATCTGATAACTTTGATGACATACCGTTATTATGAAAACCACTAGCAAACTCACCCACCTCATTGTCTGTGGTTTCATATTTTATTTTCAGCGTTGCGTTGAAGATGAACAACATGCAGACCTGATCGCTGCCATTCTTAAACTGGTAACTGCAACGAAATTACAACGTGAAACATTATAAAAGATATCTTTCTTTATCTTTTCATTATAGAAGATATCTCCAACATGACATCTTTGAACATGTGGGCATGAGCGACAACATTGACCGGAGGGCGATTTTAATTAACCTATCGCGGTATAGAATCGCGTGAACGCAGCTCGTGAAATATTGTCCAATTACGTGATATGCAAAACATGGACGCGGGGCGCGCAAAATCTGAGACAAACAAAACGTAACGTACACAATTCCAAAAGTTTGTCTAAGGGGCGTGGCTAACTCGCAAACGGCGATAGGGCTATGAGAAACCATAACATCCAACTGAGCAATCCGTATCAGCTCAGTGTAAGCAGCTGTCATGGTTTTTATATCAGGAAAGGGACACGACTTGAATGAAGGCTAGTACTTACCTGGGTATAACATTTTCTGGTCTAGGAATGGTAGTGCCTGCCGGTGTAGTTGTACGAACAGTTGAACCGGTTGCATTGGATGTGGTATTACCAGCCGCAGCGGTGGTATGGGCCGGGTTCTTGGTGGTGTTGCCGGGCGTGTGGTGAGCGGTTGTCTTCGGCACACGAGGAGTTGTCTCAGAAATAGTTGTGGGTTCACTATGGGTCGTATTTGGTGCAGTAGTGGGGTGACTATGGGTCGTGTTCGGTGCAGTAGTGGGGTGACTATGGGTTGTGTTCGGTGCAGTAGTGGGGTGACTATGGGTCGTCTTTGGTGCAGTAGTGGGGTGACTATGGGTCGTCTTTGGTGCTGTGGTGGGGTGACTATGGGTCGTGTTCGGTGCAGTAGTGGGGTGACTATGAGTCGTCTTTGGTGCAGTAGTGGGGTGACTATGGGTCGTCTTTGCTGCTGTGGTGGGGTGACTATGGGTCGTGTTCGGTGCAGTAGTGGGGTGACTATGGGTCGTCTTTGGTGCAGTAGTGGGTTCACTATGGGTCGTCTTTGGTGCAATAGTGGGGTGACTATGGGTCATCTTCGGTGCAGTAGTGGGAAGACTATGGGTTGTCGTTGGCGCGGCTGTTTGGTGTCGAGGGGTAGTCGTTTTCGGGTCTGGTGTTGCGGACCCCAATGACATTGCTACCGAAAGAAATATTTCAAAACCAGGTAATAAATCGAACCAAGTAAAACCAAAAAATCTCACCAAAGTTCAGTTGTGTTCTTTCAAAGCTTTGGCAGTTTTGAAAATAAGTGTTGAACATAATGGTCAGTTCACCGCAACATATCTCGGATCGGAAGAACGGTACCGTGTTTTTTTCCAAAACAGACTCTTTAGGTGGTACTGGGTGATATTTTCTGATACGTTGAGTTGTCACACATGGGACTTTCACCGAAAAAAAATCCATATTCTACCATAATTATGTTGGATACATAAACTCCATGCCTTTCAAGTTGGGTCAAAATCAATGCGTGTTGTTAAGGAACTTTAACAATTATAGACACATGAAAACATCTTACCTCCAGCAACCACGAGGAGAAGGCAAAGAGCAGACGCATTCATCCTGTACGATGGGTAGTGTTTCCGAATCGAAAATTGAGACGAAATTCGAGCGTGTCTTACTACCACAGCACAAAAGCGGATTCTGCTCAGTGTTCACTGTGTAAACCTACACATAGGAATACGCTTATGCGACTTTGAACTGTTTCACAATCGCTGTAGTTTTTTACCACACACCGCGATATATTTGGAAATTATTTTACTGTATTGCTCACTTAGACTTTGGTCCTCTCAGTGTCGTGTTGTTTTCAATAAGAAATGCCTATATAATCAGCACACAGCAGTTTAAAGGCACAACAGTACTGCATCCGGCTTTTTCACCCTTATACCAGCTTCAGAGGTGGCGCTGTGAAACCATCCACGAATAAATTTGGGCAAACCATTATTTTCTCCCTGTAAAACTCCATGATGAAACATTCACTGAATCCATGTTTTTAAATGTGGGTTGTGAGTTCATGAAGTCCATGTTTTTCTGACTGACATGAATCCTAGCTGTTTTAAATATTAATGTCTTTGTTTACGTAAGTGTAATACAGTTTTATTGCACTGCGGTGGGGTTGATGACATGCGCTACGTGTTGATTATCTCCATAGTCAACACACGAAGTGGGTACAGACTAAAGTCTAAACGCACAGCCGAGATAGTAAACAATTCCAATGCATGCAGCGACTGCGCAACAAGCTGAAATATAGCCCAAATTGTCATTTCTTTCCAAGTTGCGCATTGCGCAGTATCCGACACGCCTGGATTTGGTCTCTATTCTTATTATATTGTGATTTATGTATTTACTTCAAGGATTGTTTGAGGTGAAAAGTTCATTATTTTCTTAGGATATCTTATTTTGTATTGTATTTCAGCAAAACCTCCTTCCAATATTCCGTTGGGACAGCTTCCCTTGTGAAATCTTCCAAACTTCAGATCTTCAGACGGTTAGACCCACATCGGTGTATTTCACTACAATTCTGGAAAATTAATTGTCTCCACCAATCTGACACGCGATGTGGTATGGCGCGCCACGAGAGCGATGTGGTATGGCGCGCCACGAGAGCCAAAATAGCGCGAAATTCTTATCTCCACAAGACGGTTAGACCACATCAGTGTATTTTGCTATAATTCTTGATATTTTGTCTTCACCAATCAGTGACTTGGAATTTAACCAATCAGGACCTTAAGTTTACAAAGAAAGTGTGATTGTACAATGGGGCGTTTTGTATACACCTCATCACTCAGCCAAGCTGTAGCTGTTTAGTCGGCTACATATGTATTTTTTTTCTTATTCATTGCTGTAATTACCCTGTAATTTCACTAATAGGAAGTTCTTGTCTTCCAAATTTACTGTACAATTTAATTAAAATTTCATGTATCGCAAACGCTTTTCAAATTCGAAAAACAAGCATTCGACCATTTTAATTATGAAATTTACAAAACAATTGTTAGTAAACTATTCAATTTGGAAAGTAGTTCCATCTTCTCTTCTTTTTTTTTAATAATTGAGTATGAAATAAAATTACAAAGTGTCCCACGGACTGTGCAACCCCTTATTAAAATTTGATTGGTTACATTCAAATCTACAATTCATGCACATACCTTAGTTTGTGTCATGAACAGCGCCACCTAACGTCACAATTAAGGCGTTTATGTTTGAACCTTAGGGAAATTGACAAATACTCACACAGAGGCCTCACTCTACGTCACAATTGATGCATTGTCCAAAAACGAAACTAGGGCTATCCATAATACAGTGTTATAGCTCTGTTTGATTGATAAACGTTGATAAGCAGATTGCACTACTTTAATCATATTTGTTTTAATTCTAAAGTGGTATCGGTGATTATGAGCTAAAATGCATAGCTGAAGGCTGTTCCACTTATGCGTTGTTTAAGGTTATCTCAACAGTGAATACAACAGGTGTATAGATCAAGGTTTATAAGTGCGCAGACAGAAAGAAGAGCAGGTCCAATGTCGGTACATAAGTGGGCAATAGGCCTTTATAGATCGACCTCAGTGCTGCGCAACACTATGAAAACCAATAGGTATTTTCCTATACACAGTGCGCATTGCACAGAATTCAATTTCGTTCTCTTTCTGTCAGACTCTATTCTCGATTAGGAAACACCAACCAATGAGCAGGATGAATGCGTCCGTTCTTTGCCTTTTTCTCGTGATTGCTGGAGGTAAGATAAATTTAAAGGTCTGGTAAGTTTTTCCCCCTTAAGGATCTAGTCAAATGGGGCAATATTCACAGGCAGCTATGTACAGGCCGTCCAATGCTCAAGGAGCTCGTGGGTATAAGCTTGTGGGTACAGTATACCAACATTTCCTCGGAACACTACCGGTAAATACATTTACCTGCAGTTTTCTTATCGGAGATTGCCTCGAACAGGTTTCATACCAATTATTTCAAATTTCATTCGCAGGGACCACACTTGTATCGGCAACAGCGCCTGCCTCCACAAAAAACACGGCAAAAGTGACCGTTCCTACCACTGCTCAAAGCGGCACCACAGTACCGAATACAACACATAGTCTTCCCACCACCGCACCGAAGACGACCCATAGTCAGCCAACTGCTGCAGCAAAGACGACCCATAGTCGGCCAACTACTGTACCAAAGACAACCCATAGTCACCCCACTACTGTAACAAAGACGACCCATAGTCACCCCACTACAGCACCAAACACGACCCATAGTCAGCCAACTACTGCACCGAAGACGACCCATAGTCGCCCCACCACTGCACCAAAGACGACCCAAAGCCACCCCACTACTGTTCCTACAACAACTCCTCATGTGCCGGAGACAACTGCTCACCACACGCCCGGAAATGCTACCACGTCCTCGACCCATACCACTGCTGCGGCTGGTAATACCACATCGAATGCAACCGGTTCGACTGTTGGTACCACTACACCGGCGTCTACAAATCCAACCGTTCCTCGACCAGAATATGTCATACCCAGGTAAGTAAAGTACTAGACTTCGCTCAAGTCTGGTCCCACCCAGGCACAAACAAGTCGATGACAGCTAACATACAGCTGGCCTTGGTTATAGTTTGTGAATCGACCACATCGTTAATTGTTACAAAGTTAAAACTGGGTCATTTTGATACGTGATTATCCGACACTTTGAACAAATTAGGAAATGTTAGAAAAAGTCGCACAGAAACACCCGAGTGTGTTCAAAACGTCATATTCCACATCACAGCAGTCAACAATGGTTTTTATAAAACAATGGTTTTTATGGTTTGTGATAAAAATCACAAAAACAAACAGCAGTTAACACAACAATCATGACAATCGAACGTCAACTCACATGCACGTCGCGTGCTCGAAACAGCTGATCGTGTGCTAATTCGCTGCTCCCACTCAAGTGGGAAAACATTGTGAAAATAGCGTGGGTACCAACGATACAAGCGTTTCACACCGTACGTAGCGTACACGTGTACGTGATATCCCACAGGGAGTGTGCCATGACTTTTTATAAACTTAAAACGTGATCGTTCTAGACCAATGAAAATACAAATGTACAGTATACAAGACAAAGGGTATAACAATCCTTATTGTACAATGGAACAGAAACTTCATTCTCTTCCTCTGAACATGTTAACCACAAATTTCAGTATACTGACGACGAGAAGTGGCTTCCCCATTTTTTTTAGAATAAATTTCAAGCACAGTTCAAGTGAGGATTGAAGTTGTTAGAGGGTAGATGCAATCTAGGCTCGTTTTGTTTCAATGATGAGCGACGATTACTCATTATCAGAGAAAGTCGGTGATTCCATGCCTTTTGGAGTAGATTTCTCCTATATAGGCTGATTATACGACACGGAAGTTTATTCCCAACTAATCACCTTTCACATTTTATCTCCGTTCCAGTTACCAGTGTAAGAATGGCAGCAAGGTCTGCATGTTGTTAGTCTTTAACGCAACACTGAAAATAAAATATGACACTACCAACGGCAAGGTACGTGAACTTTTGACAACATAACAGTATAGAAACAATAAAACTCGGAGAGACCCAGACTTTGCTTTTTGGCTACTATATTGACACACATCTAAGGCTGCGTCCCGAATTACTTTGCTACGGGCAGAAACTACACACCCGGCTGCAGCCACTTCCCATAGACCCCTGTGTAATTTGAAGCCTTATCCAGTTCGGACGCGGTCATACTTTGTGTAAAAATGAACAGCGCCATCAAGTGTCGAATCACCCCGCGAGCTTTTCAAAAGTTGTCCACGACGTGCGACTCGCCTGAAAATTCGTAGAAAGAAAATGTAGGGTATCAAAAGTCCTTTGCAAAGAATTCTTGCTGTGGTCTAGTTTCATTTTGGTACGTTATCTTAGGGTGGCATGGTTGTTATAACTGTATGGTTCTTGGTTGGTTCTTCTATTACTTCGTGTGGGAGTTTATACAGGAGGCCAGAAACACCAGGGAAAATCCCTTCTCTTAGTGATAAGTGTCACTGGGTTCTTTTACGTGCATTGCATTACACAGCACACGGGACCTACGACTGTATGTCCCATTAGAAGGACGAAGCAATAATAGTTAAGTGCCTTGCTTAAGGGCACCAGCCACTGTTGCCTCTGAAACACCAGAGCATGAGTCCGGTGTTCTTAACCGCTAGGCCATGACACTGATATATGAATCGCTTCCTTTATAACAGTCCGGCGAGGCCACACTTCCCATTGGCGGAAAAATCAACGGGAAGGAAGCCGAGTGGAACACGACATCGTCCTGCGAGGACGTAGTGCCGAGGATCTTCAGGGTTCGCGCACAGTATCCGGTACCAGACTCCAACGCGATTGGTATTGTGTCAATGGACTTCCAGTTTGGTATATTTGGAACGCCGCCCTACAGTTTGGTGACGCTTATTATGGGCGACTGGACGTACACCGAGCCGTTTTTCCCGCGTGACAGTGTGAACTACGGTAAGTGACAAAGCATTCATCAGGTGAAGTGCTTCTGTGACAGCTCCTCATAGTTCCCTCCCCCCATTCTTTGGACTCGAATATAGAGACAGGTAACTAGCAGTTAAAGGCAGGGTCTTGCCTTACCACAAAAAGCAAGATTTTGATACGATGTGTCAAAGTTTGGTCCGTGCACGTACAAAGGAGATGATTCGAATATAGACATGACACGTGCACGAAGAAAGGTGATCCAATCAATGGCTTTAAATGGGCGCTAGCTATCGGTCCCATATTGGGTTTTTTTTTGGGGGGGGGGTGGGAGGGGCGGGGCGGGGCGCGAACCAGTGCTACTCCTAAAACTTCACAAACTGCATGCAATAGGCTATATTTCTGGATCAGTGAGGGCGCTGTATAACGACGCCATTTTATGGGTTCGAACGCTTGAAATATCCCTGTTCAAGATTATGGCCTTTTTGTCTGCATTTATTCTTTGTAATTTTGTTGCTTATTATGGTCGATTGGTGTCTTCAGTCGTCTTGGAATCGGAATTTCAAGGTGGTTGTCATTTTCGATTGAATATACACATTTCATGAGCCTTGACCATGCAACTTGTTTTTCCCTTAAATTACATTCCTGTTTTACTACCTTTTTTGGTGATGATTATTTTTTAAGAGCCTTTTGCTACAACACTAACAACATTAACAGTCCATAACTATATACGCCGACGTTTCTGTTCATCTAGGAAAACGTGCATTTGGAGCTGTCCAGGTGGAAATGGGCACAATGGGGAAGACGTTTGGGTGCCAGACGCTGAATCTAACTCAGGGACCTCTGACGATCATTCTGGATCACGTGATGTTGCAGCCATTTGCGGACTTTGCTAATGGCACATTTGGTGACGGTAAGCTACAAAATGGTTATCCGAGAATAAAACTTGCTTGAACCAAGGTTAGTACACTACTGACTAAGAGGCATAAATTAATTACAACCCGAACAGAGACTAAACCGGGATAGTTACTCCGATACAGGGTGAGTAAACAAAAGAAACCCAAATGTCGGGACCATTATATTAGTGAAGCTCTGCATGTAGCACTTTCACAATTTAGGATATGAAAGCCCACCTCATAAGCTTTATTTTAGCAAAAGATTCATTCAAATCACTTTTTTCAAGTTACGGAATTTTAAACACAACCTCCGTTTTCAAGTTCTGTCCACGGATCACAAAGTAAGGTGTGCGTTCTTTCAGCAAAACGAAAACCTTTCACACATCCCTATGTGTTTTGTTTTCGTTTTGCTGAAAGAAAACTGAACCTTTTTCTTGTCCGTGGACAAACCTTTAAAACGTTGGTTGTGAAACTGGGCTTTTATATCCTAGAATTAAGGTGTTACATGAAGAACTTTACTAAAACAATGGTCCTGTTATTTGGGTTTCGTTTTTTACTCGCCATCATGTTAGAAAAAAAAATAGGTCACCTGTTATAATACAAGTACACAGATATCACGCTGCATTTTAGTACTTTCCTTGCTAAGTCATTAGTATGGCGTGTTCCAGGCAAGTTTGCCAAGAAGCTCTGTGACGTTGGCCGTTTGAGAAGGTGACGACTAAGATAAATTCAACATATTTTCATTCTTCAACAGTGGAAGAGTGCAAGACAAACCCGACGACCATGGAGCCGACCACGGCCACGGCGTCCCCTCATCCCCCCTCCAAGCCCAGCCCCAGCAACGGGGGCATGATCGCCGGCATAGTCATTGGTGTGTTGGCCTTTGTCGTCCTCATCATTGGAATCGCCGTGTTCGTGGTCAGGAAGCGGAGGATGAAGGAAGCAGCCTACGGCCACCTGGACGAAGAACACAAGGATTACGTTCACTAGATTGCTTTTTTGTGAAGAGAGGAAATCTAAATGATGATTAGCAAAACAGCTCCTGAAATTCGATCATTAATTCGAGTTTTCACTTATTATTACTCATAATTAGTAATACAATTCATAAATTCATTCAGGAAGCGGAGGATGAAGGAGGTGGCCTACGGCAACCTGGAAGATTAGCAAAACATCTCCTGAAATTTGATCATAGATTCAGGCATTAACCTTTTACTATACTTAATAAATGAATAATAATAGGCCCTACATGTATTCACAAAGAGAGCTACATTTAACCAATTCGCATTGTCCCCATGGGCCTTATTCACGAGTCGGCCATATTGGATTGAGAGTGAGATAAAATCTGGAATTTTGGAACTTGTGTAGAGAAATAAAAGCAAGTTAATTACTAATTAATTCCACTCTGCTTCAATGAATAATTTCAAATGTGTAATTAAAAGTTCCCTAAAATGTTTAAAGCCAGATTTATAAAAAGAAATGACAGTAAAATATAGCTGCATTGTGCCACATAAATAGTCTGGCGCCATCCCATTCAACAGTTAACAATTAATGAAATACATTTAGGGAACTCGGCAAAAATGGCCAATTCGTGGATAAGGCCCATTTGTGTCTTAAACGTTGTAAATGGCGGGAACCAGTCTAGCAGCATGACACTTCGCTGGTTTCCGTGCAGTAACGTCAAACGAAACGAATGAATGAGCACCAGGACAGTGACGGTATTTACAAGCTCATCTCGAGGGGTTAATTTTCAGCCTCGTTTCCAATACACAATTTTTTTTGGGTCATAAACAAAATTAATGAACAGTTTGGCAAGCAGAACATAGTAAGTAGAAATTGTGAATGAATTGCTGTTATTTTGCGAAGCGAAACCTTCCTTTGTGAAATCTTCCAAAGTTCAGATCTTCAGACCTTAACTAAACTAATCAGAACATTAAGTTTAACAAGGAACGTGTAGTAAAAAATGGGATTTTTTTTTTAAAATACGCCTCATCGATCAATCCAGCTGCAGCCGTAACCATTGTAGTTGGCTCCGTATGCATTTTTATTCATTGCTGTAATCATCCTGTATTTTCACTAATAGGTAGTTCTTGTTTACGAGATTTAAAGTACAGTTTAACTTTAAATTCTTGTGCCACGCATATTCTTTCCAAAATTCTGAATACTTTGAAAGACTGAAGCTTTCGACCATTTGAATTATACAGTCTTCAATATTAAATAAACAAAATTGACATTTGTTATTAAGCTATGGTTCTGTTAATAGATATCTTTTGCCTTTGTCAAGAATTGAGTATGAAATATAATTACGAATGTCCCAAGGACCCATAGCATGCTACCCATTATAACATTTGATTGATTCCACTCAAATCTACTATCCGTGCACATTAGTTTATATCATGAACAGCGCCACCTAAAGTCACAAGCTGGTAATGTTTGAACGTAGGGAAAATTGCAGATAAAGGTTTTCCATTTCTCGGACGCCAATTCTAATCTGGCTATTGATTAAAATTCCTTTGGTACTGCGCTGGTATGATCAAGTGGAATGCTCAAGTCATAATTGATTTTGTGACTTTTCCTCACACAGAGACCTTGTTTGCTACTGTTCAGTACGAAGATTAATCACGCGCACTGCTTACGTCACAATTGATGCATTGTCCAAAATCGTAACTATACATAAATGCACTCTTATAGTTCTGTTTGATTGATAAAGTGATATCAGCGATTATGAGCTTAAATGCATAGCTAAAGGTTGTTCCACTCACGCCTTGTTTGAAGTTTTATCTCAACAGTAAATACAGCCGGTGTGTAGGTCAAGGTTTAAGTGCGCAGACAGAAAGAAGAGCAGGCCGGGCCAATGTCGGTACATAATTGAGTAATAGGCCTAGGCCTATCTACCGACCACAGCGACTGCGCCACACTCTGAAAACCACACAGGTATTTTTCTGTACACGCGTCGGCCCGCATTGCGCAGTATTCAATTTCGTTCTGTGTTTATTTCGTCTCAATTCTCGATCAGGAAACACTACCCAACGTGCAGGATGAATGCGTCTGTTCTTTTCCTTTTCCTCGTGGTAGCTGGAGGTAAGATATATCTAAAGGTCTGGTCAGTTTTTTCTCCTTCAGGACCAAGTCAGAGGAGTCAATATGCACATGTCGGCAACTTCAGGAGGCCGTCCAGTGCCTAAGGAGCTCGTGGGTACAAGAATGATTTTTTTTCCATCAGTATACCAACATTTCATCGGAATACAAACGGTAAATAAAACAACCCTATGTTTTCATTTCGGCGATTGCCTGTAAAAGGTTCCCTTAAATGTATGTCTTTCATTTTATAATTTACAGTAACTACACTGGTAGCGGCAACAATGCCTGCCCCCCAACAAACCACCACGCCAAAAGCGACCGTTCATACCACTGCTGAACGCCCCACCACAGTACCGAAGACGACCCATAGTCACCCCACTGCTACACCGAAGACGACCCATAGTCACCCCACTGCTACACCGAAGACGACCCATAGTCGCCCCATTACTGTTCCTAAGACAACAACTCATGTGCCAATGACAGCTACTCATCACACGCCCGGAAATGCTACCAAATCCCCGGCCCATACCACATACCATACCCCAGCTGGTAATACCACATCGATTGCAACCGGTTCAACTGTTGGTACCACTACACCAATGCACACAAGTACAACCATTCACGAACCAGAAAATATCATACCGAGGTAAGTAAAGTGAAATACTTCGCTCAAGTCTGGTCCGGCCCGTGAATCTTTTTTTCCAAACGACATCCGTTTCCCATCTTCAGATTGGTCCATAACATGCATATCTAATGCCTTGTTCCCCACAACACAAACCCAAGATAGGCTTTATTTCTTGTGAGAAATGTTACTTCCTCACTTCAGTTATTTAAAAGGTAAAATGCGAAGAAGTGAAAAACGCTCACTGAGATTCGAACTCGGATCACCTGACTAGAAGTGAGGACTACATTCAACCAGTCCACGAATCAGCTGCCAATCGTCCGTGATTTCAACACCATTATTCCTTGTTATATAACTTATTCTCTAAAGCCCTGGCCATCCTTAATATGCATAACGCAGTGAGAGCGCCCTCTTTTGATATTGTCCGATCTCGTTTGGGAATCAAAAAAATCGCGTCCTGCCCCACGTACAAAATGTCGAAAAACTCGACTACATTAATCTTGTTACAAAGTTAAAACTGAGTCATTTGTGGGACCTGCAATATAAGAAACCTTTTAGGGAAAACCAAAAGTTAAGGTAGTGTTAGAAAACTTAGAACCGAAACTTCTCATGAGATGCTGTTTCTAATAAGAACACAATAAACTTATTATACAATGGACCAAAAACCTTCATTTTCTCTCTCTGAACAAGTTAGGCATAAATTTCCATTGCACTGAAAAACGAAATGAAATCACCTTTTGTTGTTGTCGAATTGCAGCCAGTTCTCGGTTGAAAAAAAAAAGGTTTTAATGTTGAGTGCGAAGATAACTAATAATCAGCCCTCAGGGTAAATGTGATGAATCCGAGCCTTTTTTTCGGAGGAGACTTCTTCTAAGCTGCTATATACAACACAGAAGTTTATATCCAAGTGATCACCTTTCACCTTTGAATTCCGTTACAGTTACCAGTTTAAGAATGGCAGTGAGGTCTGCATGTTGTTCGTCTTTAACGCAACACTGAAAATAAAATACGACACTACCGACGGCAAGGTAGGTGAATATATTGACACAATTACAGCACAAACAGTGTAACTTAGCGAAACCAGCTAGAACTATGGCTTTGCGACTACAATTATTTTCACACAAAATATTGGGTACACCCTCTGCAAAGGTTTCTCGCAGGCTACGGTTTACATTGGTGAGTTGACTTAGGGGCGGCTTGTTTTTGGGTGATCGGTTACAACCACGTCACCATTTTGAAATGGAAAAAAGTAATCACCCTTACGTACGTACTTTGTGATCGGATAGACCATGCCTTTATAAACAAAGTCAAAGTCATCTGAGTTTTCCTTTAGGGCTACCGGAAGGCCAAAATTAGGCGAGTTCAAAATGTAGAAATGAGCCTCAAATCCAAGCAAACTATGACTTTGTTTACGTTGTTATCATTTTATCTGCTTTTCTTACAGACCGACGTGACCACAATTCCCATTGGTGTGAAAACCAACGCGATGGCAACTAATTGGACCACAGTTTCGTCTTGCGAGAAGATAGCGCCGAGGTATTTTGATGTTCAAGCAGTACCAGACTCCAATGCGACTGCTTACGTGTCACTGCAATTCCGCTTTCTCCTGTCAGGGCCCAATTACACGTTGGGCATCATCGCGGCCTACTGGAGATACACCGAGCCATTCTTCCCGCGAGACACCGTGAACTACGGTAAGATACCGCGCGTTCCGTTCAATGAGGTTGTACTTCTGACTGCGAAGGCTTAAAGTGCTTAAAAACGCAACCGCCTATTTGTTTAGGAAAGGGATGGGGCAGGAAGAAACAAAGGAGTTTAGTGGTGGGTGATCGAGGATGTGGGGGGGGGGGTGTTTGAGAAGGGAGGGATGGCGCTTTAAAAAAAAACATTTTTAAGGTAATTGTGAGACAGAGAAAAGCTTTTCTTCAGATGAATTTGCGTCGGGGTGATGTAAATCAATATAAGTTTTGCCCTTCACCGACGTAGGAGAGGCTTGTTTTATTATGCCACTCGAAGCATTCAATTATTGTTGACTATCATCCGTTTCTGCTTGCCCCTACCTGTGTATTCAATTAACAGGGACACTAGACTCGGGTGATTTCGAGGATGTGTACACGGGCACAATGGGGAAGACGTTTGGGTGCCAGACGCTAAGGCTAGCTGAGTACCGGTACCCTTTAACGATCATACTGGATCACGTGATGCTGCAGCCATTCGCGGACCTTGCCAATGGCACATTCGGTGACGGTAAGCCAAAACCATGGTTATCCAAGAGTTAACTTTGCAGTGCAAAGACTTTGGTGCACTACTTAGACAAAAAGGTTATTATATTGAACAGAAGCAAATGGAGTCCAGTTGCTCATCAATTTCAGAGAATAAGAATTGCAGGCAATATTACCAGACATAAGACAAACCTGTAGACCACCCTTAAACATTTTAGCGTGGGTCCATGATATTTAAGTCCATTTATTGCTAAGTCATATTTTGGTGTTGTCTCAGCAAACTTGTGCCACGAAAAGCTCATGAGAAAGTGATGAGAATGTAAATACAACATGGGAGCTTGTTTTTTTTCCTTATCACAGTGGAAGAGTGTATTAACCCGACCACCATGGAACCGACGACCACGGAGCCGACCATGGAGCCGGCCACAGCCAATGCGACCATGGCCACCACGGCGTTCCCTACCAAGCCCAGCCCGAACAACGGGGGCATGATCGCCGGCATAGTCATCGGTGTGTTGGCCTTTGTCGTCCTCATCATTGGAATCGCCGTGTTCGTGGTCAGGAAGCGGAGGATGAAGGAAGCAGCCTACGGCCATCTGGAGGAAGATCACAAGGATTACGTTCACTAGATTGTTATTGTCAAAGAGGGGGAATATTTAAAAAGTTGGTGCAGGACAAGTCAAAAGGCCCTAGAACCTCAATCGGTGATTTACATAATTATTATTATTATTATTTGTTTGACCAGGACAAATCTTACAAACAAATATGACAAATAAAAACAAGCACATGCACATTAAGGAAAACAAAACAAAAAGAACCAATAAAGAAGTCAACAAAGAAACCATCGAACAAAATCAATAAGTAAATAAGTAGACAATAAAATAATATACATAATTATGTCCGTACATTGTCAATCGGACAAGCTGCTAACATTGCATAATCGTCTGGCCAGATTGATTCTTAATGCTCATCCCTGAACACATAATGATTTACATGAGGCACTCTCTTGGTCATCATAACCATCTAGTTGGGATTGTCATAGAGTGTGTGAGGTTTATAAACCTCGGGCTCTATAACCTCAGTCCAGCGTACCTCTCAGTGCACGCTTTGAAATGCCATCTCATACTGCCAATGAAATGCCATCTGGCCTTGCCAATACTCGTTCTAGCCAGAGGTATTGAAATTAAAAGTCTTCAGGTCTTCAGGCTTTAATTCCAGGCATATGCCTCTCGCTTTGGTTACTTGTAGTTTGTGATTTTTGTTTGTTTGTTTGTTTATTTTTATGCTGAATAATGATAATAAAACGGCTTATTACATCTGGCCATTGGTCCCAAAGCAAATGCCGCCAAGCACACATTTCAGTATAGTGGAACCCTGGGATGGAATACCTTAACCACAGCCAAGCGAAAGGCTAAGTCTGTAAAAGTTTTTAAATCTCTTTTAAACTAATTTTGCATGCCTATTTTTTTCTTGTTGATTTCATTACTTTTCTGTTTACTTTAAAGTTTTTTTTTTATAGAGATGCAAGTGACTCGTGTTCCTTTTGCTAAAAGAACACTAACCTTTTCTGTGATCCGTACACGAGTGATTTGGATGATTCTTAGGCTGTAAGTAAGCTCATTGATTGGGCTTTCACTATATCCTAGATTTTGAAAGAACTAGGGGCAAAACCTCATTCAAAAATTGATCCTGCAATTTTTTTTTTTTTGACTCGCCCTGTATATTGTATTCTGAAAAGAAAATAAGCCAATATACATATATATTTTTTATGAGTATGAAATAACGTTCCTTCATAGATAGTTGTTTTTAAATCGGTTGTTTATTACTATGTTGTAGCCAGAAAAGTAAACAAATAAGCCAATTAGGACATTTTGTCAAGAATGTTTTTTACGGAATGTCCGAAAAGATGCACATTTTGTTCTGAATTGCATTTATTATACTAAGAAATCGATACTCAATTACGCAATTATTATGGAATAATTAAAAAGTCATTATTTGAGTTGGTAACAAATCCTTTTATAGTTTAATTATTGTCAGACATGCAGATAATATAAAGGGAAAAATTAAGTCTTATCAGAGTTTTAATAATTGCTCTAGGCGGTTTGACTTTGTGTCGTATTTTAGCTTGTAAGGTTAAGCAAATACAGTTTGTGTAAGGATCAAAGTTTAAATGCATAGACAGGAAAGAAAACAGGTGTTATTTTGGTTTGCAATCGGGCAATATAACACAGCGACTGCGTAACGCTGGGAAAACACAAGTTATATAATTTTTGATACAAAAATACGTGGAAGTTTTCTTTCTCACTCTTTAGTCAATCATTAATTGGGTCAATAGAGGGCGCCCTATCCGAGTGCCCTCTATCCAAGCGCCTTCTGTGCCGCTTAAGGGTCCCGAAACATTAAGGGTTCTAGGCGATTTATTGTGCGATCTGAGGCAATTTCTGACCGCTTAAACAATTGTTCTTTTGGCAAGAGATTATCAATTAAACATAATTTTCGAGTTTGGAGTAATCGAATCAGCTATTCTGAGCTATATAATCAAAGGTAGGCTACACAATTCTTTTTTAATTTGGGGACGACAATGGTTGGGGCGGGGGGGGGGGGCGGGGAGAGAAACGACGGTCATGTCCCCCATCCCCCTCCGATCGACGCCCAAGGTTTCCACAGTGTTTCACAACGACAGACTTTAAACGTCCATTTTATACGCAGGACACACATGTATGCCTACATGCTGTACAGCTTCAGTTGGTGAAATCGATGATTATGAGAGAGAACCTAGAACTTGTTAAAACTTTTCTTTGGATTTGGGTGCACAATCCAGGGCAGACACACAAAGGGAGAACAAAAGATCCTTTCAGTCCTCTAGCGTTGGGTCTTTTGTTGAAAACGGTCCTCGGTCATATATTACAGGGACAAAGGGAATCACAAAGCATTGATAATCCTCGAGCGTATAGCAATCATCGAGCGTATAGAAATTCACGACAGTGAACACACCGGCAACGTAAACACCTGCAATCGTGGACCTTGGACAAAAGGGTTAGGACACAAACAATACGTCAACGATTGACCGATAGTCCACGATTGAAATTCGTGTACCAAACCAACAGGAGCTTTGCTAAAAGGTTTAGAGTCCAAACAAAGGCATGAGGATATAAGGGACAATATTATAGGGGGTCCACGATTACTGGTGTTTACAAAGATGCGTGTGTGGGTAGGCACACAGATACTTATTCCTTAATAGACCATTTCGAAGGATCCATTCGGAGTTATGTTTTTGATTGAAGTTGGTATCGAAGTTGGGGTCTTCGAGGATCCTGAGTCGATTTCGGCTAATTTGATGTGCATTAAAGGAGACCATAAGCACTACAATTTTGGCACTGAACTATTGACGATCTGATCGTAGGGTACATGTACTTCTTTTTTCTTCTTGGCCCTCCTCACAAAGTAGCAGGCAAGACCGATGACTATCACGGCTAGTGCAAAGGTGCCGACGACGATACCGACAATCATGCCAACGTTGATACTGCTTGGCTTAGTGGGGAGGAAACGAGTGGTCGGGAACGCCGTAGAGGGCGGCATACCGGTCGTTTTGGGTCGGTCGCAATCTTCCACTGTTCAGACAAACAAAAGAACAGAACAACATTCAGTTTTGATGCTTAAAAAGCCAGTGGAGTTGCAATCAAGTAATCAAAATGCCGTGTCGATGACAAGTCATCAGCCAACGAAATGAATAAAATGTCCTTATGTCTGACCATCCTTTATACCCCACAATCCACCCAGAAATGCTGGTTCCCAGCAACCCTGTCAACTCGATAAGTTAAGAAATTAGTTGGGACAACACACAATTCTGTCTCTGAATTGAATGAGCCTTCATTTTAACTAACCTCAGTCAATCACAAATCAACATTCGATTCCCGATAAATTTCCAGTCAAGTGACACCATTCACGAACTGAGACAAAGATGTCATAGTTTAACACATGTTTGTAGCCTGACTTGTGATAGACACGGGTTTTCCTCTATCATAACTGAGTCGCATATTAATTAATTGAAACACCCTGTACACTGTGCAGTAGAAAAGCGTAAAAGAAAGTGTAAAATGTTCCAAACAAGACAGAGCCTAGATTAAAGTACTTATATTTGCTATGACAGGGAGAGAAAGTATGAGAAGAGGAAAAGTAGTGGATGAGGCAAGATGGTTGCAGATTAGACAAGAAGAGTTGAAAGGAGATGAGAGAATGAAACGGGGGACGACATGAGAGGAAATGAAGATAATAGAAATAGAAGTCAGAGAGACGACAAAACGGACAACTGACCATATTATGTTAGGATGAGGGATGAAGTTATAGGTAGTAGATGAACAATGGATTAGCCATTGTGTTTAAGAATGCACGACTACTGCCAAAGTACGACTGCACTTCTAAATGTTGGTACTAGAAGGTAGAAGGAAACTCTGATGCCCAAGAACGACACAGAGCCGAACTTATGAGGAGAGAAGTATAATGTGAAGGACATGGGGCGAAGCAAGTCCATAGCCAGGCACATGACGTGCTGGAGAAGGGGACATGCAGTTTTAGGTCAGAAGAGAATACCCACTTTTAGGTAATACTAACCTTCTCCAAAGCTCCCCTTGTCTTTTGAAAAGTCGGCATAAGGCTGAAACATGATGAGTTTTTTGAACACAAAAACCCCCTCCATTCCAGTTTCTTTGATTGTCCATGAATAGCCCACCTCGTGGCACTTGTACGTCTTCCCCACGGTGCCGCTTAACAGGTTCATGTCCATCTCAAGGGTACCAAGTTTACCTGAGTCGGGTGCACAAACATGCTGAGGTTTTAGCACAGCGGATTCAATACATGCTCAGTAAACATAGACAAATTCGGATGTTGTAGTCTCGTCTATCATCAATTCTGTTGCCAGGGATTCCGATTCAAAGGTTGCCGTTTCATATTATTTTTGAATAGGACCCTCTCGTGAAAAATCCATACATCAACACGCGGGCCTTAATTCTTAGTCAGTTTGTCAGAGTTTGTGAAATGGACCGATCCAGTAAGCCCCTCCCACTGCGCACGTGGGCAAATTAACACGTGCTCCTCTCCAATGCCACACTGCACTTTCCTGCCGCGCGCATCATACGCGCGTGCACGCATGTCGGACTTTTGTGCACACACGTTGGACATAAATCACGGCTGTGATTGGTCAGAATACCATGGGGCGGTGCTTACTGGATCGGTCCATTGGGATCCAAGCTGATGGATACAACTCGGGGTATTTGGTGTAGTTATAAGAAGTGTGCCCGAGGGCTCACATCTTTGACATCACATGTAATTGTTTTCTTCCAAACGGCACCATTTCACTCACAGGGTATATGGCACCAGCCGCTTCTCGTCCGGAGCACGGTGCATGCCGTTAATGTTATGAATCCACAGTAAATTCATTCCACAAGAATGGTTGTACATCAGTTGTTACTGAATTAAGTAAAAGTAAAGTCTGCCCCGAGCCTATATGGCCCATCAGGCCGGCGTTTATCTCCGGTTTCAGTGGCATGAAACGACTGAGCATATTTCTATTCCCCCTGGACAGGATGCCAGTCCATCGCAGGTTACTCCCAAGCTAATGCCGGTACCCATTTATACTCCTGGGTTGAGAGAGAGGCAAGTGGGGATAAAGTGCCTTGCCCAAGGACACAACGTATGGCCAGCAGCTGGATTCGAACCCCTAACCATCTGATCATGAGTCACGAACCCTAACCGCTAGGCCACACTTCCCCACTGAATTGTTACTGAATTACCGCAACATAATTTCAGCGAAAATGGCTGCTGAATAAAACATAATTATGCATGGAATTCGAGGCCCCCGTAGCACAAATTATAAGATTCTCAGATTGGCTACATTTTTAAAAAGCAACTCACCATACATTACTGCATCCTTGTCGAAGAACGGCTCTTCGTAATACCAGCCACCCAAAAGCTTCGACAGTGCATACGTCGTTTCAGTGGGCTGATGGAAAATGAACGTGATCCCAGCACTCGAGTTAATAGGAGGCGTGGCGCTATTTCGACCAATTGTAAACTTCCTCTCGGAGGTGCCACAATATCCGAATGCACGGGCGTTGTACGACACAGGGATGGTCGTTCGAAGTGTCTGTGAACCAAAAGATTTACGGTTACTGTTATATATTACAATGGTTTGAATGCCAAATCTGCTGCAATCAAAGGATTAAAAACTGAAGTTGTAGGACAAAGAGTCGTCCAATCTTAATTACATCTTGTAGCACCTTGTTTCTTGAAGTGTAATAACATTGTATACAGGGTCGCCCACAAAAAAGGAACGGCAAACTTCCACTGCCTTGAGACTCAAAACATCTGTATCAATGCATGGAGAATATTTTTAGAATAAAAATCAACTTTGTTTCACAAAAAAGCTCTTGAACAAAAACTATTGGATCGAATCGGGTGATCATGGTTCCCCATGCATTGGTATAGTTTGTTTAAAGGTAAAGTCCATCCTTTGTAATTGGTGCATTTTGTTCGTTTAAAGCAACAAAAGTGCTCAAAATCTAAAGAAGGGTGCTGAACAACTAACCTGATGAAGTTTTAGCTCAGCTTCAGCTGTATATTTCGAGAAAAACAACGATCTAGGATCTCCATTTCAAATCAAAATTTGCTGAATCGGGTTTTGAAATGGGCCTGAATTCAGCGTCCGAGACACGTTCTCACTGAGCCGATTGCAGCAACGCGATGTGGCGTACTGATCCGACGAATTATAGCAATCGCGCGCGCGTGTGCGTCGTGTCAACGCTTGTGCGCGCTTCGCCGAATAAAAAAACCCGAACTACTAACGGACATTTCTAACGGTGCTTTTTTAGACGCATCGTTGGAAAGGCCTTCTTTCGTTGATTTCTTTAAAATGACAGCATGTCATGAATAATAATTTTGAAGGGAGTTTAGTCCCCTTACTATCTTTCAACCAAGTATGTTTTTCAACACTAATTACGTCAGTTACTTTTTGGATAGCTGCAAATGATGGACTGTAGCTTTAAGTCTCAGGGGAGCGGAGGTACGCCATCCAATATTTTTTGGCTGACTCCTTAGCTACTTTTTAAATTCCTGAAGGCAAGAGACAAGACCTCACACCTATCTGAAGACCTAGCAGCCTACATTACACTAGGGGGCGCTGTTCATTATACAAATGTACATCTTGTTTATAATTTCGTACAATTAAGGGATTTGTGCTATATGTACACGCAAAGGTACGGCCGCGCGTCGCGGCAAAATTGCAGTCAGGCAAGATGGCGTGGGTCGGTCACCCCTAACTGTACTTTCTTTGCAGGCGAGGGGGGTACTTGTGAACGGAGCGGATATTCGTACCGTTTTGTTCTTTGTTTTGTAGTGAATCTCCAACTCTGCCTCCATTACGGCTAGCATACAGACACCGATAACTCCACCGGAAACTCCCTCTAGGTAGAAGCTAGGAAAATGGAGTTCAAATGAAAAATATACCGTAAAAGGGGGACAATTTAGATATTGACAGTTTTACACGAAAAGAAAAAAAACTGGGAACAAATTGATTTCATAAATGTATGACATGTTCACACTTACGTTGGAAGATTTATTCCTGGAGTGACTTTGGTAGTGTTGCTTAGCGGAAAAGTTCTTGCAGTTGAAGTCCCGGAGGTAGTGTTTGTTATTACTGTACTGTTTGCGGTTGATATTACCGCAGTAGTACCGTTCCCGGTTGGCATTACCGCTGTACTGCCGTTCGTGGTTGGCTTTACTGCAGTGGTAGGACCATTCGTGGTTGGCATTACCGCGGTAGTACCGTTAGCGGTTGGCATAACCACGGTAGTTCCATTCGTGGTTGACATTACCGCGGTGGTACCGTTTGCGGTTGAAGTTACTGCGGTAGCGGTGGTTCTTGGGGTCGTATTCGCGGTCGTTCCGGTCATTGTACTCGGTAACGCCGTCGTCTTGTTCCCTGTCTCCCCAGACGGTTGGAGCGGGTTAATGATAGGCGGCCTTGTGATTCGGCATTCTACAACAGTCCACTCTGTTGTTATAAAGGTTGTTATAAAGAATTATTAATTCGGCATGAATTATAAATAAAGCACAAAGAACATAGTGATAAATTTGATTCAGAGTTAATCATGTTCGACTATATTTTCTTTCATTTCCCTATAAAAAAAAATGGAGTTACAATGTGAAGAAAATTATTATATTCGACACTCATTAAAAATAGTTATTGTTATACAAACAATTGATTGACGGTAACTTACTTTTCAAACTTGCTTTGCCCGTTTTTTTCTAACACGGTTCATATTAGTCCATTTTGTATATCAGTGCACACAACATATACAATATACAATGTATCTTACCAACAAATATGACGATAATCAAGCAGAAAAGGGACGAATTCATCATCGAAATAGACCTCATTGTCTTCAGATCAGGTGCGAAATGTCGGCTTGGAAAACTAACATTGAAAACGGCGCCCGACGGGGTGAAAAATTAACAGATTAAACTAAATGCACGCGTGACAGCTTTGTATTAAGACCATCCACACAGGGAGCTGACGTACATTGTGCAATGAATAGAATACAACCATTTTATCACATGATGAAGTGCGTCAACACGAATTTGTTTACATATATATTCACCTTTGGTTCTCTTGACCGCGCACTTGCCTTTGCAAACAGTTTAAAAAGTAATTTACTTTTTACAGTCCAGAGTCCTTTAAACTACGCCAGAAAACGAATGCATGACATCCCGGCTGATAATACCGCCCTCTCGTGGTGGCACCAGAAGGAATTGCTTTTTGATGTATTAATCATTGGCCAACTCGTGCTTCTGTGAAGTACCCTTACTTCAATCTAGAACTCAAGATTGGAAAAAGAAAAAAAATAGGTGCAGTTATTGTCACTTGGTATTTATGACAAAAACATCGCTATCAATCTAGGTATGAATTTTAAGAAGGGTGTTCCATTATGTGCCGTCGGCATCGCATTTTTTTTGGCGTCGCAATTTTTTTTTTAGCTCTGGCAGGGATCATTTTGATAGATTTCATGCAAGACTTTCATGCAAGACGGCCAGAGCCTATTGTGCACTCGCACTTAATTGTTAATCTACATAAATGACCTTCCAGACGCTGTTTCATCGCAAGTAAAACTCTGTGGTGGTGATTGCATCATTTATAGAGGCATAAACTCACAATGTTATACAGCTATTTCTGCACCAAATATCGGCAGCATTTTGGATAGGCTGTGTGATTGACTCGACTACATCCCTTGGCCCTATAACATTGATCGGCACAGAAACATATGGAAACCTCCCGTTCTCCTTAAGGCCGAAACAGTGGGAAACTGGGGTGTTTCACGCTCGTTCTTCAATCTCATAAAGCAACATCGTTATGTAATTCACTGAATGCGGCCGACGCAAACACAATCTTAAAGCTGCATAGTTATTTTATTGAACTTGAAATGTTTTTGAAATCTACAAACAAAATATTAAGAAAGAAAACCCTTTAAGGGAACTAGCAAAATGTAGAACTCAACCAAAACCCAAAGATTCACGTTTAGTTGGTCTGTAGCCTTTAACTACCATTGAAGCATTCATGAAGAAAATGTTACAACTTTTTTAAAACAAACTTCGGATAGTGAAACATGTTTCAAAAACAATGAAGTGTTTATAGTAAGGCTCTCTAGAAGACAGAGCAAAATGGGAAACCCCAGAATAGAAACTACAGACAAAATTGAGAAATTCTCAATAACATTTCAGTCACAACCCTGAGGTCAAAGGTCGACATGTCAAGACAACTGCGAACTCTCCATAAACATACCAAAATCCACCGTTCTTGATTAACGTATATAATCTTAAGAAAACCAGAAAAGATACACTGATAGATCTACTATTTCAGCTGTTCAGCAATGCAGAGAAGAGTAAAGAAGCCTCTGTGTTTCAAGCTAACGCTAAATATTTATAAAGCGAAGAACGTCATAAAAACTCAGAACCGTATAAATAATTTTAGTGCTTTTAAATGTGCCGGCAGTTCTTGAATATTAATGACAACCTAATTAAAATGAGGTGATTACGATTCTTCAGTCAAGTATCGAAATCTTTAGAGTACTGCCAAAATTACCTCTCGCTTTAATAGTGTATGTAAACGTCTAGGTACTTTACTATAACCTGTGTATTTATAAACGAACCTATGGGATTCCCCAATTCACGGCTTCGCATCAGCTTAGGTTTCGGTTAACTATTTAACACCCCAGCACATTCGACACCCAAGCCGCAGCTGGGACAAGGCCAAGGTCTGGAAACAGCCCTTTACATGCACGTCCCGTCTCAAAATATCCCATGAATTCGAAACACTAATCTCATACACAAAAAAAAACGCTCTATGACAGCTCCCTGGGCAACGGCTGGTACAATGCGTTCGCCATTACGGGGGGCCACTGAGTATTATAGGCTGTATGCACGCAGTCATTGGGCTGTACTGTTCCGTACTTAGACACGGTTGGGGGCAGTGCCATTTAAACTACTTAATCAATGACAGTGGAAATTATGAAATATACACCAATGAAAGACAGAGTTATGGAACACTTTCCACTGTCATCATTTTCATTCTTTTAAAGATCCAAAATGGTAAAGCTGTGTGTGCATTCATATATATTTCTATATACACAGTTATGTGCAAAGTAAATTCCCAACGAAAATCTTAAAACACTCAAATCTTAAAATATTTTAACATTTATGTAAACTCATCAAAGAATAAACTGATGCGTAAAACCTTCCTTTTAAAGTTGTGTTCGTAATTCTGTGGTTTTGTTTTCGTCTTGATCTCATATATAAACGTAATCACTCAATTTTATTAAGGGAATAAATGTGTGCTCCGGAGGTTTTTATCACTCGTTTAATACCGCTTAGAGTCTGGGTGCTGATAATTACCCGAGCCGGAGGCGAGGGTAATTATCAGCACCCAGACTCTAAGCGGTATTAAACGAGTGATAAATACCGACCGAGCACATATTTATTCCCATTCATAAATACCTTATCCGTAAAAAAATTTCAAATAATTCGTTCAAAAAATCCCGATTTTGTTCAACAAGTTCACTTCATGCTTTTTGAAACAACCCTCTAGCAAAATAATGGAGTGTTCAGCTGGCGAGTAAGATGTAAACAACCCTTTTATGGAGATTGACGCGCGCGTAACATGTTCAGCGCGATGTCACGCAGAACGCACCTGGGGCGTTGCGTTTTGAATTTAGAACTATAAAATTCTGACTCGCTTGTAGTGTTGCGCATGCCTACGTGAGGATTGTGAACGTTCAACCAATGAAACGGTAAGAGGCACTGGATTTTTAGGAGTCCACATTTTATTGTGACACTGGAAAAGTGTTTAAGACCAGCTAGCCATGTCTTTATCATCCGTTTAATACCGGCCACGTGACGGGCTCTCGACCAGTAGGAATAGCTAAACTGTCTGAGGTATTTATGAATCCGCTTTAAAGATGATAAAACTGTACTTTACAAGTAAAGTAAAATGTAAACGTTAGTCAATAAACTTTGTTCATGTCTGCTTGTACCCCCGCTATGGCGTAGTATACATGTACTGCCCTCTTTTGCTCAAGACTATGCTCTGTATATTAAAGTCGCCGGGATTACACTGTTCTACAGACTGATTCAGCGACCAAGATAAGGAACCTTTTTTAAAGGTAGAACCACGTTCGCGCTATAAACTAGTACGCACGCATCTCGAGCCCCTTCGACCAATGGGGTAACCAAAATGCGCGCGCGCCTCGTCTTTAAGAACGCGTGCGACGCGCATGTGGCACGCGTGAGGCACGCGTAAGGCACGCGCGCGGACGTGGTTCTACCTCGCCGAATTAGTCTATATGGCGCGAGGAGGATCCTCGAGGAGGTTGCCATAGGTTACTGCCTTGTACCGCCGCTTCCGCACCACGTACACGGCTATGGCGACGATGGTGCCCACAACGGCCACTACGCCGATGACGATTCCGACAATCTTCCCCGCGTTGCTGGGACTGGGCTTGGTTGGGGGATGGGGCTTCGGAGTCGAGGGGACCGGTGTAGTCGGTAGAGCCTTAGAACAGGTTTCAACTGTTTAATTTCACAGAACAGAGAAATGGGAAAAGACTAACGTCACTAGAGTTCTGCTATCCGCCAAATGGTTGTTCTCAAGTCAGTGAAGGTACCACACTTGGAAAATCAAAGCTAGCTGATCTTCATTACTTGCGTCATTCTGTACAATGTGCAATAATTTTTTTACCACTTGTATGATAAAATTTGTCGCTGCGGAGATGTGTCAATAGACCATAAACATAACGGCATCACGTCATTTGTTTACATGTACTCCTTCCTATGAAAAGTTGCTAGCTCTTGTCCCTGGCCAGAGGCTCCAATTGGTAAGCGCACACTACAGGTTAAAAAGGCATGACGCAAAATGCCTCAGTGCTATTCATCGATGGGTTTTTGCCCATCATGTACCCAAAATGCATACGCAGTGTCCACTGAACGCTGTCTGAAAGCTTGATTCGGACGCCCTTCTGCTTGGCAGGACAGACGTGTTACCGCTTTATCTGCTTGCTTCTTTTGAATAATTACAAACACTGCGTTCGATTGCGATTGAAATGTCAAAATTTCGATTTCAAAATTTCAATTTCGAAACAAAATGCTAATTTCCATTTCAAAATTTCAATTTCGTTTGAAATGTGAAAGTGTGAAATGTGAATATGAAATGTTGAATTGTCAACTTACTCTCGCCGTAGCTTCCCTTGTCCACTGAACTCTGAGCGAAAGGTTGAATCAAGATGTCGTCCAACACAAGGGTCAGATTAAGCTTTTTGGAAACTTGTGATATGGACTGACACCTGAAGCTCTTGCCAACGGTCCCTTCTATAAATTGTTAACAAACGAATAAATAACAAACACATAAACACCCCAACGAACATATAAAATAATGTTGGTGCTTCGTTGTTGTTTAAGAACACGACAGTACGTCAATGGACACATTGATTGATCCACAGTGCTTGTGCATTGTCAATGAGCAAAATTTGAGGAGTTCAAATTGGGAAAACACCTTAACAGAAGAAATGATACCTAAAGTGGCATCACGCCAACAGCGCCCTCAGTTGTCCGGAAAAAGTATGGAACATTTTCAATGTTTGAAAAAAGCAATGTACATACAAAAAACAAGGATTACTCATCGTTTTCATACATTTCGAAGGAATGAACATTTGCACAAGATAGGTCACGGTGCAAATTCATGCCATTGTCCCTTTAAAATTTTCTACACTTTCATACATGACTGTTTATGTATCAGAGTGGAATGGGAGGAATATTATCGCACAGTAAAATCTGGACTTTTCCATTACACGAGGCGAAGCCGAGTGAACTGGGAAAGTCCAGATTTTACCGAGCGATAATATTCCTCCTATTTCACAATCTTAAGCCACTCAATATTTGTTTTGTAATTATAAATGACATACAGATCCTTGTCATTTGATAAATTTGAAATTTTATTTCTATAGAAAATTGGTGGAAAATGTATTCCTCTCTTCCAAACCACCCCTTCACGAAAATGTTTGAACTCAACTCTGTAGCGCTGGCTCATTGGAACAAATACGCGCAACGCTGAACGCGCTCACCAGCATGCATTTGCACACAAATACCACGTCATGGAACAAGAATGATCCTAATAACTGTTAAAAAGTATTTCCCATTCCTCATGGGCCGGGCGAATGTGACTTCTTTTTTTTAGCCCCGCGGCGTGAATGGGAGCAATAACGAATGTCACGTGATGTGAGTTCCACCAATCAAATGACAAGGATTTGTAAGTCAGTTATATAATAAATCCCCTGGGATTTTTTCCGCCCAGTGTCAAATGAAAATTGGACTTGTATGAAATCGGACTCTGTTCCCCTTTTATTGGTTAAACCCTCTCACGTGACTGGTCCCTGTCCCAGTTATCTATGCATGAGCATGCGCAATACCACCAATGAGTCCGTATTTCATAAAACCTTCATGCTACACCAGCGTGAATGGGAGTAATAATGAATGTCTTGTGATGTTAGCTCTAACAATCAGATGACAAGGATCTTTATGCCAGTTATTTAATAAACATCAGTATTTAGTATGTAGGGGACATGCTCTTGGTGTTTTTCATGCAATATTAAAACTCACTGTATGATGGACTAGGGAAGTGTCCTCCTGTGGGAGTATCTGCAACGAACAAACAAAGAGAAACGTTTTTTTTCAATTCATTAAAATGAAATACATGTATAGAAGAACTTAAATTGGTTTAATTCAGTGAACAACATACTCCCGTCTTTATTCAGCTTCTCCCCTGGCACTAGCCACTGGGAATGCATTTAATAATATTGCAATAAAAACAGAACATCGAATCATAAAAAAACAAGTGCGAATGCACGATAAGCATGAAAGTCTTGCATGAAATTATACAGTTACTCACTTGGTGTGATTGTCAATTGAAATATGAATTTCCTATTTTGCTGAAAGTCACAATGCAAAATAATAGTGACTTTAATAATGCATTTTGTATCCTCACTCGTACGCTTTGGGCCTCGTAAAAAAAAATGACACAGGACCAGAGGCGGTGTGATTTTATAGTGACAGGTGTAATGGAAGCCTCCTAACTCCTAAGTTTGTAGCGCACACAAACATATTTTTTTGGTCCTTTTTTTCCTTTTTTTGACAGTTACAATGTGGTACCTACAGTTTTATGGGTGAGTTAGGGTGGTTTTGGTCAATGGGACGGACCGACCGACCGACCGACACACAAGTGAGATTTAAAAGCTTTGTTGCCATTAGACCTGAAAAACGTTTAGGAAAGTAAACACATACCGAATTGGGTTGCATCCGACATGAAGCAAGGCTCTATGTAGCGAAGATAAAGTCCTTCACGATTGTAGTATGTTGTGTTGCTAGTCATGTTGAAAGACAGGGTCAGGGAAGCACAATACGTGTTGTTGCTTGGATAATACAGGGTGAAGTTTCTCAGAGTCCCGTTGTTGCATGATCCCTCTGTATAGTTTGAATTCATGATAGGAATCCTAGCTGTTTGGATCTGTAGGGGAAGGAGAATAGCCACTGTGATCGCTCACGATTGATAAATGACAATCTTTCCCCAACCCAGCCAAACCAAATTCAACGCAATTAACCGACTTATCCCAACTCGACTTAACTTAACCCAACTGAGCCCAAGCAAACCCAAACCCCACAGACTGGAACCAAGCCCAACCACCTAACTCCACCCAAACCCAACTAAATCTAATCTCACCCAACCCCACCCCACCCCACCAACCCAACCCAACCCAAACCACCTAACCAAGTCCAGTTTAACACAACCCATGCATACCCAACCCAACGTAATTCCCGACCAATTAAAGAATGCCTCAAACCTGCCCAACCCAACCCAGCCCAACCCGATGCATCCAAACCAAAACCTGCGCAATCTAACCCAATCTCGAATCAATTCCATTCAAGTTAATTCCATTCCATCCTTTCCTATCCTATCCAATTCTATTTTATTCCCATTTTTTCCCATTCCATTCCTTTCCATTCCATTCCATTCCGTTCCATTTCATTTCATTCCATTCCATTCCATTCCTTTCCATTCCATTCCATTCCATTCCATTCCATTCCATTTCATTCCCTTCCTTTCCATTCCATTCCATTCCATTCCATTCCATTCCATTCCATTCCATTCCATTCCCACTCCATTTCATTTCATTCCATTCCATTCCATTCCATTCCATTCCATTCCATTCCATTCCATTCCATTCCATTCCATTCCATTCCATTCCATTCCATTCCATTCCATTCCATTCCATTCCATTCCATTCCATTCCATTCCATTCCATTCCATTCCATTCCATTCCATTCCATTCCATTCCATTCCATTCCTTTCCATTTCATTCCGTTCCATTTCATTCCATTCCATTCCATTCCATTCCATTCCAGGCCATTCCATTCCAGGCCAGCCCAGCCTAGCCTAACCCGAACCTGCCCAATCCGACCAGACCCTACCCCGACCCCACCCATCACATTCCCCAATGTATAATTTTGAAAGGAAGTCTTGACAACCAGGAAATGCAACAGAAGTGCACTTACCCCCATGCTTTTCGTCGGATATTTCACTGTCAACGTTGCGTTGAAGTTCAGCAACATGCAAGGTTCGCCATCAGAATTGTTGACTTGGAACCTGTATGAGGAACACACTCTAAAACGTTAGCTTGGACAGCACTTCTGCAGGGGATGAGTTCATAGCATTACCACAAGCAAGGCTGTTTCAATATGCTGGATCAAGAAGACAGTTTTGAAAGCTATAGGCCAGCCCCTGAGCTGAGGTACAGAGATGCGCAAATCGCTTCATCCATGAGATTGCATTTTGGACTGTGTTTCCCTGACGCATCCAATCCTCGGTGCAAGCGCAGCAATTCGCAATTTCAAGCGCAATTTTAAAATTCAGTAGGCCACGGTTTGGACCAGTCTAGTCGACTATTTGCCGGCTGTGGCAGGAACCAAGTTTATTTGGCTGTGGCCGAAAGTGAAATATGCGCCTATGAAGCAATAGACTGTTTCCCAGCCCCCTACAAAATGGGGACCAGTAGGTAGCTCCCATTTAAAACCACTGATTGGTTTAGGGGTTAATAGGGTGAGGGCTAGGGTTAGGGATAGGAGCATGTGTAGTCGGAGCACAGAAGTGTCGGAACATAGGGGTATGCAACATAAGTGTGTCGGAACAAAGGTGTGTAACCGGTTCGACTGCTTTCTAATCAAATTTAACTAGTGTTTTCAGAGTGTAGGTCACCTGCCATCAGCAAATACGTACATTTCATGCGCACGGGTCGTGCGCACACTGAAACGCTGACCCCGAGGATCGACCCCAGGTCACTGGCCATACAAAAAAAATGTATCCAATGAGAAGTTCAGGAAATGTGTTAGAAGTACAACGCTAGTGGGGATGAGTGAGGCGCAGTTTTACCTTGGGGTATCAGGCAGGGGGACTGCGGTAGTTGGCCCGGCGGTCGAACCCGTTGTGTTCTCGGTAGAGTTGCCGGCCACGGCTGTGGTGAAAGTCTGGTTCCCAGGCGTCATGGTCTGGTCTCCAGGCGTCATGCCGGTCGTTTGGCCAGCTTCTGTGGTTGTACCTTTGGGGGCCTGGGTGGTCAAGGGAACGCTCGTGGTGGCAGTTGCAGGAGGCGTGGTTGGAGAATGGGTCGTCATCACATGTGTAGTCCCATTCGTGGAAGGGGTTGTAACGGCACTCACAGTCCTAATGCCAACCTCACACGTAACAACTGTTTGGGATATTAAGAGAGCCGTCATAACAATCTATTTAACACAGTTAAACAAACATTAAATACCATTCAGAAAAGAATGGCGGGAATCCACGTTAAGCAAAATGATCGCGATGATCGTTAAAACCTTTAAACGTTTAGCCATCACTTTACAAAAGCTTCGGCTGGGCAAGCGAAAGTTCCACGTGCAATGGAGTCACTGCATGAACATATACTTGCTATGACGCGTCGGCATTTCGAAAACGTCAGACATAATTTATTCTGTACAATATATATGCGTGATTAGTCATTGATAAACTGTGTACATTAAACTTTCTTGAATGTGATCAATTTCCAAATGGTTCTCCTACAGCAGGTCTAGAGACACTCATGATTCGTACTTAACTGAAAGACGTTGAAATTTCGTTTATCATTTAAACTAAGGTTTCAAGATAGGAATGCGTTAACACACAGGTTGATAGAGGTAGTAGTTTTTATTTTGAAATTAATGCTGAACAGTAGCAATGCCATATCTGCTGCTCACCTTTCATGATGTAACAATATACTGACACTGTTGTTTCATACATTTAAAATTCACCATACAAACATTCAGGAAGATACGGATCATAATTCAATACCCTAATAATCAGATTTTTCCTTTAAACTTTAGTTTATCCCTCAGCAAAATTTCTCTTTTCTTTGCTATTGAGCCCCTTGGTTGACTTGTTTTTGATTGTCAGTTTCACGAATATTCCTGTATTCTCCCTTTCTAGAATGGAATTGCTCGTTTTCATTCTCTGTCTTCACATTCCCTTTTTGATCTCGCTCGCGACTTGACCAAAACCGTGTAGATATGCATTACTAAAACTACTTCTTATCCCTAAATTTTCATGTCTCATTAGAACACAAATCGTGCTGAATTTCCACGAAAGGACTTTTATCGAATGGATATTATTTATCAATGGGTGCGGATCTCTGGCTTTAACCACTTTGATATGCAGTACAAATTTCACTGATCCGTGCTCCAGTAAAATTGACTGGGTTTAGATACGTGTCGGGAATACATGCGCAACGATGCATTCTGTACTCACTTAAATTATCTAATACATTAACATAATTTATTTTCGTGGATATATATAATAATGGCAGATAATATATAATGGCAGATATCGGTGGCTTATACAAATAAACAAATCATGAAACATTTGACTGTTGACTGAAAAGCCCAGTTTCAGCAATTTAGCATTCCTAGTGTAGGCTACTCCGTCATAAAAACAAACCGATTCAGCCAGAAAAACGAGACAGGTGTTTCGTTCCCATCAATGGAATTTTTTCAGGGACATATGCTCTTCGCCAGCCAAACGGAGATGGACTGGGGAAAGAAATTCCTCTACTTACCAATGTACACCACGAGGCAAAGCAAAATTGATCGGGAGCAAGTCATCATGGCGAGTTGCAGGTAGCAATTCCTTCTCAAAAAAATACCCGCAACAACTGAAGCCGTGCACGTACTTTCACTTCCACCTAAAATACCTGTACGGTACGTACGTGGATATACACGTTTACTGCATTAATCTACCTGCACGTTTAGTTCATGGCACGTATAGTTCATGTACATGTACATGTACATGTACATGTGAATGCACTATTGTAGTATGCGCACTATATTATCCTGTGCACATGTACATGTATTTCTACCCCCAAAATCCCACACGATATGAAAAGCTATATTCAGTAGCGGCGTGACCTGCGTTCAAGGTGAAATTGCGTCAGGCGGGTTCGTTCACTATTGTAGGCTGCATATTTATGCAAAAAAAATCCTATTGACCCGGGCAACTGGGTCACATGTTTGAGCACCTGTAATAACGAAACTCCCAAAGCACTTATGAAAGCGTCTTTGTGTTTACTCTCTATGCCGTTGGAGGTCGACGGGGTGTTTGTTGGAGAGCTGTGTATGGATGTGGCGCGGAGCCAAGTTTTTGTCGGTCTTATGACAACCGACACAGGCAGATATAAGGCTTAGCCTATATAATATGTCCAAACTTACCGTCCATACACGGGTTCTAAAATTTCCGGGACGACACATTTCGCTTTCATATGATGCAACTAAAACCTATGCGGACCGCATGCAATCGATATAGTTATATTTTTCTCATTCCCCTATTATTTTGAGGGGGAAAAAACCCCAAACTACGCGCTACAAATCTATAGTGTGTTTAGCAATTATATACACTCCTCTAAACACTTTCTTAGTATCAGTTACTAAACAAGTTTAAAAACATAACATGTTTGGAGTAATTAAGGATGGATAGTGTTTAGCAATTGAACATTGATGTTTAGGAGTTGAACACATATATAATGTTTAGCTTCCAAACATGTTTACAAAGTGATAGCAATATTGTGTTTTTAAACATATGTGTGTGAACATTGCATGCATTCAAACATAAAAATCCAGGAATGTTTCAGATATAGTTCATGACATATTTCTTTTCATACATAAAGAATAAAAAATGAAGTCATCGAAGTTGCTCATCACAGGTGATTCAGGGGGAATTCCAAGTGCATACTCAATATTTTTGATTGTGTTCAAGAAAAGGGCGCATTTATCGATGCCTGTTAAATCTCTATTCGTATGATACATCAAAAAGGTGCACAACGTTTCGTGGCGTGACATTAGGAAGAAATCAAGATTTCGCTCCGGACTAAAAAAAAATACGCACGTTATACATACCCAGTGTGGACATTCATTTGTTTTCGTGTAGTTAAGTTAGGAAAACCTGTGAAAAAAAACTCATTACTCACGCTGTGAAAACTTTTTCAACCCAATTTTTATTTTACCATGATTCCTTGTCAAGCTTGAGTGTTTCTCTTAAGTTTGCGACGGATAAACCTGACCAAAAAATGCCTCTTAACCTGTTTTCCAGAGAAGGGGAAACCTTGTGTGGACGTGGGCAAGTCCACACAACGTACAAAACTGGTTTATGTGGACATCTGTTGTTCAGAAGTCCACACAGTGAATTAATGTATATGCTTGTACTTGCCACTTCTTTACACAGCTGCAGCAGCTGCTAATGTCATGACACCACAATTCCAATGCTTAAGTATTTCTTGTTCGTGTAAATAGTGGGTGCGAATGCACAACCCGGATGAGATCTGTATTCAGCGCAATGAACCTGTGAACCTGTGAACAATAATGATATCGTTGTGGATTTGAATAGCAATCCGGGTACCAGCCTACTACGCGTGTAGACTTCGCCCAGTCGCTTCTGTTTACTTTCTTTCTAGGAATCATTGGAGTATAGTTTGTCATAGCTCAACGGTGCTTAAATAAAATAGGAGGTATATAGCCTAAATCGAGTGCATTCAAGTTTTCGAAACAAAAGTGGTTTGTTGATACGTTGTACCAATATCAAGCTTCAGTCAAAGACTGGATTTGGATCTTTACACGATAACACAGCCGGTAAACATCATCCGCCACTGAGGTGGTAGAGGGCGCTATTGACAATATATACTAAGGTCAGTCTTAGTACTCTTGCACTGAAATTCCGAGAGCATACCACGTGCGCTAGAAAATTTGAATAGAAAGTATATATAGGTCTACACTGAAACTGGAAAATGCATAATGGAAACAAAATTTATTTTGACAACATCTTCGCTTCAGTTCTGCTATTGTGTTATGTGAAACACTGTAATTTTACTAGTACATGTATTATAAGCACATTATAAGTAAGCCAACTCCTGCATACTTAAATTATAGTTTTAAAATTTGATGTGGTTTTGCTTTTATCACTGGAGAAACGATGGATGCTTTTGGAGCTTGTTATATAAAACAAGATGTTTCTTGGGAGAGGCTCAAACGGCCCCCAATCAACAGCATTGGCCAAGCAAAATGTAAACATGCAACATTTCGACAGTATACCGGTAGCGTAGGTCTATATGGTTGGAGATAAGTAAATAAACTACCATGAAAAGTAGTCACAACTCTGCAAGGTGTTATATGAGACACGCATCGAACTAAAGCTTAATTATTTCATCACCTTTCATTTTCTGTTTACCTTCAGTTCTTTTTTTGTTGGGGGGGGGGGGTGGTTAATCAATGACTTTTGGGAGAAAATTCCATCCAAACAGTCATGATCACCCCTAAATTCCTGTAGTCTGTCGCCATTTTGAAAAATGTTGTGTACTCTCCATTGCAATTTCATCCGAATTACACAGGAGTAGAGCTCACAGTTCTGCGCACGGCTTTCCACCATTCTGTTTTACCCTCCCTCAAATTCATGGCCCACAGAATGCTCTAATAAATAGCAACAAACATTGAGGGCATGCAAATTGTGATTTGGGCCGGCGTAGACATATTTTGAGCCTATATACTGGCCTGCAACTCTGCAACGAATCGCTTCCGCATTCTGTTTTACCCTCCCTCAAATAAATTCAATTCATCACAGAATTCCCTCTTAGCAACAAACATTGAGGGCGTGCAAATTGTGATTTGGTCCGGCGTAGACATATTTTGAGCCTATATGCTGGCCTGCAACTCTGTAGCAAATTGAGTTTCTTCTGTTGAGAACATTTACAACGACGTTACTATATACATCGGCAGGTTTCGGCCCTAGTTAACAATTGAAAGTCACGTGCAAGAGATCGAGATCTTAGGTTTTTGTTGACGGCGTGACCACGTGACTTTGCATAATTATTATCACGCCCTTCGTAAAGCTTTAGGTTCCCGGTACGAGAAAGCAGTAGCCAGTCAACTAAATGTTACAGTAGCGCAAACACCTACACGGAGTCGTTCCAGTGTTAAGACAATCTTCCGGCGCGTACAAGGTAAGGGGCCATTCAGAATTTTCAATGTTTTAAAATTTCGATCTTTTTTTCCGATTGTGGGTGGGTGGGTCAAGCTAAATAATTGAAAATCGAAATTCACTTTCCATGGAAAAAAAGAAAAAAGAAAGATAGATCTTTTGACTTGCCTGAACTACGCGCAAGCGTTCCGATATCGCGATGCGTGTTTCTTTTCCAACTTCGTCCCCTGTATGTACTGTCAGTGGCGTAGCCAGGAATTTTTCAGTGGGTGGGGGGGGGGGGGGGGGGGGGGGGCTGGAACATTTCATGGGGGCGTCATGTAGATCAATGATAATTTTTTTCAGAAACTCAAAATCTCAGTGGGGGAGGCGACTGGGGGGGGGCTGTCTCCCCCACGCCCCCCCCCCCTTGGCTACGCCACTGCAGTTCATACAGTTAAAGTTTGTGTTAACTTGTATGAAAAGTCAAAGAAAAGTAACTCCCATGATTTATTTGACACCAAGTTTGTGTTAACGTGCCGGTAACGCCCTAAAAGTTATCCAGACAAATATTTTTATTTTGTAACATTTTCTGTTCGTCTGTCGGTCTTCTATTATATGCTGTTATGTTTACTTTCAGGTACCTTCAATGGTACTATGTTTAATTAACCTGTTCATTTGTGTAATTAAACTAATAACGCACATATAGTTGCCAAATATGGCACTAACAAGTTTGAGGTCGGTAATTTCGTCTTTAAAAATCTGGTTACGTCGGGTTACCGTACACACAATTGTCCTGGAAACAACAGTACCAAAGTACAGATAGTCGTACGCAAGAGCTCCCCAGCAAGTATCGCTGACGCCATTATGATTCCAAAATTTCTCACTGTGTCACACAGCTCCAAAGGTGTCGAATGTTTGGCTGTTCTCATTATGCACCCTCCCGCTGATGTTTATGGCATGTTGACGCGAGCCGGCGGGAGGAAGCACGCGGTGAGATGGTTCGGAATAAATCAGGTGTTTGTGTTGTGGGTCTCGAGACCGGTCTCGGTCTCGAGACCGGTCTCGAGACCACTTTTTGCTGGTCTCGGTCTCGGTCCCGGTCTCGGAAGCTGTGGTCTCGGTCTTGGTCTCGGTCTCGGTCCCCTTTGGTCTCGATATTTTGGCTGGTCTCGGGTCGAGACCGGCAATATGTAGCTTTTACAGCTCGATCGATTACTTTGTGTTCACTTCGTTCAGTACCGTTGTTATTTAAAACATTTGCTAGCCCGTAGATCAAGCTTGTTTTATATCGCGGTCGGTTTGGACTCGACTGCACGTTGGAAAGTCCCCAAAGTACATGTAAAGCTGCAGCAGTACCAGTCACTGAACAATTTGGAACAAGTTCGGCGTTTATCTGCTGAGTCGGCCACATAAAGCAAAGTATAAACTTGTAACAATTTATACAATAAGGGTCAACCATTTTCGGGGATTGTGTAGTTTAGCCCACCCCTGTGGGCCTAATCACTTGCATTTTGTATTCTGATAATAAATGAGGTGCTTCTATAACTTAGTTATATTTTCGACCCCACACAATGTTCTCTTTAAAGGGAATATACATCATTTGCTTTTGCTGTAATTTTCAGAAATGGATGCAATTGGGGGGCTGGAAATATAAAGCAAATATAGTTACACTGACTTTTTGGAGGTTTTGGGTTCGAAAATGCTATAAAAACCAAGAAAAACGATCATTTTCCTGTAGTCTGGTTCCCTGACTCCATATAAGAAGAAACAGAGCAGTTTACATACATTGGGGAATTGTAAGGTCAGGGAACCAGTCTAGCTGGCTCGTACCCGTTCATAGGTTTGTAATCGATTGCAAACAAGTACAATGGTCAATTGGGGCCAGTATTTGAAAAAAAGCCAGTTGTTTCCAACGCTGATCGGCCGATCAGCGTTGGAAATTGATACAAAAATACCACTTTTCTTGAAAATGACAGTATACCAGGTGCCATAATTTTACAGGATGCTTTAGACTGTCATTTACCAACATCCTATTAAGGTATTTCGCAAAAACTTGGTAGTTTTATTTTTCGATGTTTGCAAATGTTGTATATTCCCTTTAATTTGGGACAGTATTTTGAAGAAAAAGTAAATTTTTCTACCTGATTTTCCAGCTTTGAACTCACACTCTCTTACCATTTACTACTCACTGTTGCCATGAGAGTGTATGATAAGACCCCATTTTCTGGCTGCTCATTTTGAAGTACCCCATTATTCCTCAAAAATTAAAATCCCGTTCAGAAAAAAACTTTAAAATCCGTATCTGGCACATTCTGGCTACGACCTCGCAACTTGTGGGTCTACATGTACAAGTCCACATTCTATGACAGAAATTCAAAAATTAATTCAACATTCTCTAGCTCCCATTTTTTAAAATCAAGTACACAAGTCTTTTTAGAAGTTAAGTCCTAAATTTATTTTAGGAAAAAAGAGGCAATGTAAAATTAAAATTGCATCTTTAAATATCCGTTAGAAGTCATAGCTGAAACCAAGGGGGTGACTGTGGAGTTTAGGATCCGAGTTCCTATAACAGATGAAACATCTACCTTTAACTTTTTACTTTTGTCACGATTGGGTACAGACAACATGTCAAAGCCCATATTTCTTAAGTGTAACTACTTTTTGCTCAAGTAAGGTGTTATGTATCAATTTGTCAACACTGCCACTGGTCAAAATTTTGGTCTGTATTCTTTGTGAATAGAAAGGTTACATTTTTCAACTATAATAACGTGTCTTGTTGTTTTTTTCGACTATTGTTATTTATTATCAGCGGTCTCGGTCTCGGTCTCAGTCTCGGACCATATTGGTCTCGGTCTCGGTCCGCCTTGAAGGGGCTGGTCTCGGTCTCGGTCTCGGTCTCGAATCTTCAGGTTTCGGTCTTGGTCTCGGTCTCGGACTATCCGGTCTCGACTACAACACTGACGCCAGCCCATGAGTAAACATACCTCTCCATGACTCCATGGCCAGGCTATCATGGCTGAACATACACGGAAATGGAACACTGTAAAGGAAACGAAATATTCCCCATGAACTTGTGATTTCCAATTATTTTATTTCCTCAATCAAATTTGTGGTTGGCTTTTCAGAGCCAGCGTTAGTCCACAATCAATTAGGGCCTAAAAAGCGATATTAAATGCTCCGTTTTGTTCCACTACATTTTGTTGATCATCGTTTTGCGCAATTCGGCGCGTTCAATCTTTTTAATTTTTTTTTTAATTTGCGTCAGTTTTGGCATTTAAACAGTAAATGTCGAAAACAGCAAGTTCAATGCAGTCAAGTATTGTGAGTTTACGTGAAAAGTGTTGTTAAGAAATTGAAATTGTTTCCGTTTTTGCATGAGACAAATCTGTGTCTTTAATGCTGTATCAATGTCGGATTGAGATTATTCATTTCTTCAAAGCAAAAGTGTGTTAGCATAGATTTGTTTTATTATACCCCAAATTCTAGGTATCTAAGTAATTCTTTTGCTCTTTTTTGGAATAAGATGATAATTGTTTTGATATGTGGTTGCGAGAACCATTATTTTGTTTGGCGCCAAATGCATGATTTATTACTCCGGAGTTCAAGAGCGCAGTGGCGCCATATACTTGGCGTTCGCTGATTGGACGAAAGGCATGAGCTCAGCGCGTGATACCAACGTGATACAAGCAATAGTAGACAAAAACCACGCCATAAATAAACTGGGGAAAAATGTTTGCGCAACGATGGCACAAAAAGGACCTTTGTTTTGTTGGAATGCTAACTGCCTGGGAATTTCCAGATGTGAGAAATTCCGAGGCTGAGAAAATTCTAGAAAGATATGGATTGCGGAACACATCCGGGGGAAAACCGGCATTTTTTAAGCTTTCGCAACAGGTTGACGTGGACAGAAATTGAATATTTTTTTGCTGCCAGTAAAACTGAACCGAAGGCTAAGTCATTGTAGCCAAAATCAATATATCGTCAACGAAATAATAACCTTCCATATGGATACTAAACTATACATCTGAACCATTTTTGTTTTAAAGAGCATTAGACTGAAAAAAAGAGATACCTCTATCCAGATTCATGCAGTGTTAGGGGATACAACATGACGAATCTTTTTTTAAAGAAATTTATAAAAAAGTCACTCTTTTTACCATTTTTGTGTTTTTGTTTTTGGTAAACATTTACTATTATGGCCTCGAAATTAAAATGGTATTTCTATTAAGACGAAAGCCATGGGTAGGCCAAAAAAAAAGTCTCCGGTTTCTGGTATGGAGCTTGCCCAAAAAGTTTTTTTTACCTGATTTTTTTTGCTTCAAATGTCGGCGGATGACTGCAAATGGTGCCAGACTAAACTTAGTGCAAATATATGGGAGTCCAGAGAGGCCACATAAAGCTTATTCTCGACCATAACCCCATCTAAAAACACAATAAAATTGTGCAGCAGCAGAATTCCAGTCAAACCAGTGAGTTTGGCGGTTTTGAGACATCATCTTTCATTGAAAAAAAAACTTTTTCATTTTGCCGACGCGCATGGCTACGGCGACGCGCGCGCATGATAGAAACCGGAGACCCTTTTTTTGGCCTTATCGCCAAACTAATCAAAAAGCGAATTTGGAATTTTTGAGCTTTTCCCCGGCTTTTCCCCTGCAATTTTATTCTCCATACTGTTTACTGGAGAATGTTTGGAAATTTGCCAAGAGAGACAGAAATACTGTTGGTTGTTGATCAAAACAGTGTAGTCTATGCATGTATACCGACGAGCAAGTATTTCCTTGTGCTGCTTAGCAGCTTGGAAAATGTTATTCACGATCTTGAATAAAAATATTTCAGATATTTTTACGACAAAACCTCTGCCCTGCACTTCCAGGGACCAAAAAAACCCCCAGTATTGTACCACGCCAGGACAACACATTAATTCCCTTTCGCAAATATAACCGTGCGTGCGCACATCCAATTTTACGATTAAGTCCCGGGATTCGCTCGTACCCCCCGCCCTGCAAACAGGACGCTGGGATACTCTGATGAATTCACGCTCTGATTGGATAGATTTTGCGTGACCTGTGACCTGCAAGTCATCACGGCAATGACTCTGCAAGGATTTAAACGGCCGTTAACTTGAAGACTGATTCATTACTCTTTTATTCCAATTTGTAGATACTTTGTGTCCGTTGAAAAGCATAATAGTGTGGGAAAATCTGTTAAACTGATCTGTGTAGTAAATTTGAAATGCCCTTCACTTGCGCTTGCTCAGGCTCCGTTTCGAATTCACGAACGGTCAACGATTGCATTATGCAACGCTCAAAATTTGTCCACATGGTCGGCAATGAAATTAAGGCAATCACATCCGGTATGGATTGTGTACATTATTTTCTATGACAAAGTTTTTGGATAGCATTTGTGCGCATTGGCTAATTGCGGTCTTTGACAGCTGCAGCCGGATGATTTACACATAGGTCATTATAAATACTATACCCAGGATGTCATCCCCACTTCCTTCACAAGATTCTGTGGTGAAGCAACCTCGTTCCCAGTGCTTACTTTATTTCCAACGTTGTTTCCAATAGTAAACCCTGGATAGGAAAGTTCCTTCCTGCATCCTGATTCGATACCGCAATTGGCTAGAATTGGATTTATATCGTGTACTTGGTGTTGTTATTCACAACGTGCGGATTCCCACTGCTGGGTAATTTTAAAATTGTGATCATCCTCCATCCCCCTCCCCCACTCGCCGGCCCAGATTTACGCCACTGCTTATTAGCTCATACTGTGTTGCTAAGGCATCTGAATGGCATTCTTTTTCCTTTACAGGTTTCCGGAATTTCGTTTGTACACGTGATCTAGGCTAGCACAATGTTGCCTGTACTGTTGTCTTTGGTCTTCTTATTGGTGACCAACTTCCCGCAGGCACAGTTGAGTGGTTTGTTTTCCCCTTTCTTTAAAGTAAAATTCAAACCAATTAAATGTATTGGCTTTCTTAATACCTTTACCCTTACTTTCTTTACTTTTCAAATATTAAAAGTGCTCAAGATATATCAAAGAACTAAGACAAGATAAGTTTGCGGTAGCACCATTCACATGGTGCTACCGGCAAACTTATCTTGTCTTAGTATCTTTCCACCATGCAAACCTTCAAATCTCATAATTATTGAAGAACGTTTAATACAGACAATGTCACTGACGTTTGTACACAATCAAATCGTGAAAGACACATTCAATGGAAGTGTTATTTTTGTGGTGTACTGTTGTTTTGAATAAGATTCGTTTTAATTACTTTCCAGGAGCACCGTGTGTACATACTCGTGCTCACAAAGATACACAGTGGATTGTGGTTTTATGGCATGGGGCAAATGCTCAAGATACAGGTAATGTGGGCCTCATTTTTTGATTTCCTGAAAGTTTTGAAATGGACTGCGAAAAAAAACCTTGTTTTTAAATCCTCGCCCCCCCAAACCGCAAGGCGTCACATTCAGTGAGATTACTGTGTCCCCAAAGATTACCGTACTGTAAGTGATTCCTGACAGCATATTGAGTATGTCGGCCGGGGCACCGTATGGTGCCCCTTCCCCTGCTAATGATGTTGGAAGACACATAGACCGTGTCTTCCTTACTGGAAATGCAACTCGCGATGCGGCTCAAGATCATGATGTATATCTTGTTTTGTTCATGTTTTCTTAAATATCCCTTGGAGCTGCTTAATTGTCTTATGTCTGGTTGTGTTCACACTGTTGTACCAATATCCCAAGACGGGTTTTGCATACCGTTTTCAAAACCCAAGGATGACTATGCATTCAAGGTATCAATGGAAAGCTTACAACTCATAGTTTATGATAAAACCATTATTATGGTAAAAAATCATACTTTATTCATATTTTTCCTTAGTTTCTGGTTACCTTTTTTAAATTTTTTTTTTTTTTATAGTAGACACCCTATGCCACCTGAGAAGTTTTGATTTAAGTATTTCTCATACTTCTTTGCCCTAGGAGCCAAACGTGCTACCGATGCTGTGCTGGGTGGACAGGAAGCGTCAGCACTGGTTGCATTACACCTGAACGGTCCGCCGGACAATAGCTGAAACCTCTCTACACAAATAGAAAGATTTTGGCAAACCTGTTTACCAAGTTGATGAAGAGTTTGGCCCGATAAATCAAGACAATTTGGCATCTGTACATAGTTGTATTGTCATGACACGAAGCTTGCTAGGTTATTACCATTCGTTATCACATAATATTCGAGATACATTAATCCTAAATTCCGCAAACAACATGTGCATTGATGTAGTGCAGGGGACACATTCGCAAGGCACTTTGTCACTAATTGCTTCTCCCCACTCGGGAGTGAATGGGTACCTGTGAGGGCAGAGATGGTTATTGTGATTGAGTTAGCTTCCTTGCGCCTAACAGGCAGCATCGAGCTGTATACTCCCCAGGGAGCTGAGATGGTATTTGGAATGTTTAATTGGCCCTATGACCAGGGGTAATAATAATGTAAAGCGCTTTGATCTTAGTTAAAAGCATATAACAACACGTTATTATTACTATTTTTTATTAATACCCAGAAGTATGTTAAAAACTACAATATCAAGTATTTACTTTTTTTTTCATTTAAACGAGATTAGAAATGGCATCCTTAGCAGTATGTACATTATACACTGATTAAGAACAGTTAATGGAAGAAGACACCATGAACAAAAAAATCATCAAAGCAAATGTTATTTTTGATGGTTATTTACCCGAGCATAAACAGTTTGTGTTTCTACATCAGCCCCTTTCCTGTTTATTGTTCAGAAGGCATCTTTGCATTGTTTAAATAAAAAACACCACGCATAATTTGCAATTTCGAGAGTATAAATAAGTAAACGGGGATATTAGACCAAACAAAAAAGTCTCCGGTTTCTGGTATGCGCGCGCGTCGCCGTAGCCATGCGCGTCGGCAAAATGAAAACGTTTTTTTTCAATAAAAGATGATGTCTCAAAACCGCCAAACTCACTGGTTTGACTGGAATCCTGCTGCTGCACAATTTTAACGTATTTTTAGATGGGGTTATGATCGAGAATAAGCTTTATGTGGCCTCTCCGGACTCCCATATATTTGCACTAAGTTTAGTCGGGCACCATTTGCAGTCATCAGCCGACATTTGAAGCAAAAAAATCAGGTAAAATGGGCAAGCTCCATACAAGAAACACGGAGACTTTTTTTTTGGCCTTAAGCAAGTTACTTAGATTACTTTGCTTTTTCGAAAATTAAAAGGAAGGTTAGCCTACGCAAGTGAAAATGCATTATATTGACGCATGTTTAATCACAAAATTCATTTTTACACAGATTTTAAAGGAAGAAGCTTCTATTTCTAATTACTTATCTCGTTGTTTATTGTAGAATGGATAAGTTGATAGATGTAACAACCGAGTGTCTTGAGATAGCTCTTCAGTCGTCGAAGATTTTACTGGTTATCTTTAACAAAATTCTAAGAAAAACATTATTTTAACAAATACTCATTTATAAAATTTGGGAAAATACTTACCCCTAGATTTCAGCAGCCCGTCACACGCTTCATCTCTGCATTATCGGCAATAGTTGGGAAAGACTTTAAATATTAACTCTGACCACGCTGGTAATGATTGCAGAGAAACTAAAACACGTGGGTCATTACATCTGCTCCGATGTATACATTGCAGCTTTCAAAAAGGAAGGTCACGTGTAGGTCACAATGCATTTTTGAATTGCCTCTTAACTGTAATAATGTCTTTCTTATGAAGGCTCAGAGCATTCAAAAAGTATTTCTTTTTGTAAAAACGCACAAGATCCATGTATGGGTTAAATCAAGTCATGTTTTTTGAATCCGAGGGAGTAGCATTTGCTTTATGAGTAGTTGTATGTTTTTTTTAAATGTGAAGGGAAAAAATTTCAATAAATTGCAACTTATATGCCTACATCGTGTATTTTGTTCAATTTGCTAAAGGGTTGTCTTCATTTCTATTTCTTTCATGTGATTTTTTTTAAAAGAAAGTGCGGACGGAGGAGGTAATGTCGAATTGTCTTTCCATCAACTACAGTCCATATCACGAGCATGTATAAGATGTGTGAATAACCACTTTCATCACATCAGTCTTGTCTTTCTTGTGCCGACACACTAAACTAGAGAGTTTTTTCCCAGACGAAAGCTCAAATTGTCTCACATGCGCGTATTTTATAAGCCTTTCTTCCGTTGTGAACGGCTACAACGACGTCACAATACTTCTGCAGATTTCGGCTCGTTTAGTTAAAAATAGAAAGTCACGAGTGCAAGCGATCTTACTGGGTCCAAATAGTTTGTTGGCAGTGTTACCTCGTGACCTAGTATCACGTCATTTTTTATTTAAAGCTTGAAGTTCCTGATACAAAGAGCACACCGTGCCACAGTCTGCTAACACAAAGGCCCACGGAGTCGTTCCAGCGTAATTAAGACAATTGTTCTTCCGGTGCGTACATGGTAAGAGCCTCTTTTTATTCCTTCGATAATGATATGGCAATACATGATACCAATATTAGTGTCGATTGTCTGAGCATGGTACAGTCTCAGTGCTTATTCGGGCATTGTTAGAAGCCCGCACAGCAGGGCGACTATATAAGGAAATGGAATGTTGTTCAGCAACTCGATGCATTATGAGCAGGTCATTGACACATGAATAATGGAAATTTACAATAAGATTAAGTTTATGGTAGCACAGTGTAACAAACCTTTTGTGTGAGTTTGTGAGGCTCTGAAAAGAACCGGGGATACGCATAGTCGTTTCGGACAGTATGTTCTGCCCGTCGTCAGAGACTGAGGCATTCAAACGATGAAGGGTGGTTATGTAGTAGAACTGGAAGCGGTTAAGCATAGAATACTGTTATCGTAATCTTATTGCTCCAAAACTCTTGTCGGAAATGGATAAGTCGGTCATATTACTGATTGTAACAGATTTGAGGTTGGCATCTTCCTACTCTGAATGTTTGTATCGAAGTGTATTCCATGGTAGGGCGAAGAGCAAAATAATTTTAAATGGAAATAGAGTGCATGAGGTGAATGTCAGTTTGGATACAAGTTATATTTCAAAAAGTATTTTCAAGCAGGGGGATGCATTAAATTGAATTTGTTTCATCAGATAGCAGACATGCAAAGTAAAAGTGGCTAAACACTATAGTCAGGGGCAAAGTAATCTAACCCTAAAAGGGCCGCGGGTTATTTTGACCATCTCACAGCTGGGGGGGGGGGGGGCGATTCCGCGCCCCCCTCTAAGATGTCGGCCATCGAGTGACGAAAAAATATGAAACTCGGTACATGCATAGAGCAACTTATCTTAAAAATACTCAGGAAATTTCATGACTATATGTCAAAGGGTTTTGGAATTATGGCTAAATAATTATTAATATGCACGAATGGTAATTTGCTTTGTGTACACTACGTATAATGTGGAAATTCATTTGGTCTGAATTTTATGTTTTTGGTATCAAAAGATGCGCAAAAGACTCGGGTTGCGAATTTGTTTTTCAAGGCTATCGCGGAAAAAGTTTTTCAAGTGTGCATCGAAGCAGCAGCCACTTTTGCCCAGATTTTCCAAAGCGTATAATATGCAGAACATGTAGGCCTGTATTATTTCCGTGTGCTGCTTATTCGCAAATAACTGGATAATTTTTGAAATCTTGCCAAGAGCGACAGAAGTACTGCTTGTTATTGAGCCAGTACACTCTTATACATGTGTGCACCGACGAGGATGTACTTCCTCGTGCGCGTATCGGCTTGGAAAAAAATGTAAATTTTTAGCCATCGCTAATAAGAAAACAAAAACAAAAAAATATTAATTTAAAGACGGAACTAAACCTATAAAAACATCCAAATATTTTCTTAGCGAAGTAACCTCTGAGTTGACACTTCCAGGGACCTCCATACAAAAACAGATTACTATCATATTTTATGGTTAGTTTTTTAATGATAATTGTTTGCAGTAGATAGATTATGCACTTTAAACAAAATACAAAAGGAGCCTGGGAAATAGGGAGGGAGGATCGATAGTTGAACCAGATGGCACATGAATTATGTATACCACATTTTTTTTGTACCAAATGATTTTTTGCAGGATTTGGCGAGGGCTATAGGCAAAGGGGCTTCGGACAAAAAATAGGAATAAAAGACACTAAGATTCGGATCTCATTCTGGGTATAGGAATAACAGACAAACCATGACACAATTTGAGGTAAACCTTATCTGCCAGCGAACATCAATTAGTATCTTCATATATCCAAAAGGGAGTGGTTATTTTTTCGCATGGATGGAAATTACCGGATGGAAATTGGTAACCGGTTGAATATTGGCTCTGAAACCGGAAGAGCTCCTGTCATCAAATTTAAATCTGGCCAATCAGAATGAAGTTAACATCATTGCAATAGCTCTAGGAGCCAATCAATTATCCGATAACTCCACTTTAAGTTCGGTATCGGTGACTGGTACCCAAGGCGATTTCGTGCCGATTATAATCTTGATGTAAACATATTTTATAACCAGTGTATCAATGCGCCGTAGAAGTGTGACGTCACGGGGGTAGTCTCCAAAAGCGACCGTTTCAAACAATGTCTGGTTCCAAATCTCCACCGTGCAAAACATAAGGGAGATTTAGGTGGACATTTTCTAGTTGATATTTCTCAGACATTATGAATAAACAAGACTGGAAAATGGACCTATGCTTCGTAGCTGACTGTATTCATCACTCAGAACTTGACGGGAGCAAATAATTTTTATTTTCCAACGCGTAACAAATCGATGAAAAAGTGGGCTCCATGCTATCGCTACGTAAGTCAAGGTTGAGTGGAACCAGCAGGGGACACCAGCATGTTAAGAGGGGGCACCAAGGGCGTACCCGACAACAACATTTGACAGGCCACCGACTGGCAAGGAAAATGCTGCAAATTAGAAAAGCGGGCCGGGGGGGGGGGCTCTTTATTCACACTCCATCAAGCCGTATGGTTAAAGGGAAGTCCTCTTCTGTTTAATTACTCAAAATAAGACTTTAAAAAGACACTTCCTTGCCAAGTGGCACATTTCGTGTATTTTTGTGGGCGGCACCAGGGGGTGTGCAACTGGGAGTGGGGGGACGTGCCCCCAGGACCCCCTTGGCCACGCACTGCTACTTGCTTTAAGTTAATGCGTCACAGACTACGTTGAGACCAATGTTTATAAACGTTGTTCTTATTTCCTTTACAGGTTGCCGGAATTTGTTGCGTTCATCTGATCTAGGCGGACAAAATGTTGCCTTTATTGTTGTCTTTGGTCTTGTTATTAGTGACCAACTTCCCGCGTGCACAGTTGAGTGGTTTGTTTTTCCCTTTCTCTAACTTAAATTTTATACCTTTGAAGGAATCTGACTAGGCGCATCATAATACATATATTTTTAATTTGACCAACAAAATTATTGCGAACCGGAACGGCAAGCTGGAGGTCGTATGTTCAAAGTGCGCCCCTGTTCATATCTTTGCTCAGTTTAAAAAAAAAGAACCAATGAACAATTTTGAAAACAGTGACACTTTGAACAAATGTGATTTGTTGGCTTCATAGAAGAACGGATCGTAAAGATGTTTTAATTTGATTGACACTGATGTTAGTACACAGACAGACCGTGAATGGAACATTCAACGTGAGTGTTATTCTTAGTGGTATACTGATGTTTTTGAAAGGAATCGTTTATTTTTATTTTCCAGGAGCAGCGTGTGTTCGTACTCGTGCCCGGTATCACGTCAAACGAAGTGTGGTTGGTGGGGATGGGACAGGTGCACAAAATACAGGTAATTTGTGTCATTTGGACATTTTCTATGAATAAAGGTGAACAACGATTTTTTAAAAAAATGTTGGATGTTCTGGGTTTTTTTTTTTTTTTTGGGGGGAGATATGTTGAAAATATGCTGACACGTTCTCAATAGTTGTGTATTACTTGGGGGGGGGGCTAGACGTAGATGTTCGAGACCGCATTTGCCCAATTCATCGCCTAATTTTATTTAGCTAAGTACATATCATTTGTAATTTTGAGTAAATGTTTGGGGGTTGCGAAGCCTGCCGTTTCGATCCTTACAGAAAAGAGTCTAAGATCCTCTTTCACTTATGATCTGAATAGATCAGGTCAATACAACCAGTAGGAGGTTTGCATCAGTTTTCGGTTGTCACTGCCGTGCTAATTTTCTTGTAGAATGAAGTGAGAATGCTCCACAGAAATTAACACTATAACCATTAAGTTTAGATTTAACAAAAAGGTCTTCTCTCATACTCCTTTGTTGTAGAAGCAAAACTTGCTACAGATGCTGCTCCGGTTGGTCGGGCTCTGGTTGCTATACACGTGAGGATGTTACAACGGATAATGTAGTAACCAACGGATAATGTATCACCAACCAATAATATCACAAAAATAACCGATACTGTACCGCTAACCAATAATGTAACAAAAATGGACCGATTGTGTAGTAAAATGCACTTCACTATCGGTCAATTGTTATTTCATTATTGGTAGTAACCGATAATGTAACAAAAATGTACTGATAGTTTTTTGTACTGAATTTTTGTGACATTATCGGTTGGTGATACATTATCCGTTGGTTACTACATTATCAGTTGTAAATTGTAACTGAGGATCTACATATGGAGATCGCATATTTACTTTCAGCCTGAAATTGTTGTTCACAAAATGAAAGATTTTTGCAAAAATGTTTGTTTTGTTTACAAGCTAATGAAGCGTTTGGCCCGGGCTATAGCTGTAGTAGCCCATAAGACAAATACGTTTTTCCTGTCGTTCCCAGTTTGTACGATATACATGTTTGTTTCGGGAACAGCGGTGACTAATCACCAATGCACAAAATATCTTTTCTTCCACGTCCGCAAAAGGCGAACGCTTATCGAATGAAATCACAACTAGCACCCAAACAGCTCGACTTTTGGGGGTTGCAAAAGTGGATCCCGAAATTCTTTTTCGCACGCATAATACAGGAATAACACAAAAGGCCCAGTTTTTAAAGGATAGTTGTGTGGATGTTTATATCCTACTTTTAAGTGTTCTTTCCGGTAAACATCATTTCGTTCAAAGCGCGTTTTGTAGCCCAATTGGGCTGTTCTATGACCTAGTGTCCCTTTAATATATGCAGATTATTTTAGCCGTTAGGCCTATGTGTGTATATAATTGTTCTGTTATTTCCTCGCAAACAAAGATTAGAGCTCACTTACATCCCATGAAAGTTCGAATCAAGTGATTTTATCTTTGGGGAAAGACAGTAAATTTTTTTGAAAATGTGCTATTTAAAATAACATGTTTGGAATGAAATTATAGACACGCGCACAGCGGGGTGTGTTCCGATCCGAAGTAGTCACGTCCTTGCCAGAAACTTTGCCTCCAGGACGACAGGTTTTTCTCACTGTGATTTTTTTGTTTTACCCTTCACAGCAATATGTAGCCCGTCATGCTCTAATGGAGGCACCTGCACCCGTCCCGACTACTGCAGCAGCTGCAACCGTGGCTACTACTCGCCCAGGTGTTATCGTAAGTGCTTGAAACCTGGCAGAACTAGGGTAGTTGAAAGTTGTAAATAACAAACATTATTCAACGATAATGCTGTGATTATGGATAAGACTTCAAATAGCAGCATCTCCTGCCCGAACGCTTTATTAAAAAAAAAAAAGTCGTTGGTGTTGAACGGAACTCTGTGTATGTGCAGCGGTTATGGGGTCTGACTCAATTTGAATCGCACAAGAGTTATGTGATTAAGTGGAGTGGCAGAGTGTGGAAGAGCTGAGAACAGCGGCGATTGAAAGAGAACAGGTGATGGCGGCGACCCAAGGGATACGCCCCCATTACAATCTGAGGACGAGGCGGCCACGGACGCAAGTCTATGCCGAATGATGATGATGAGTTAGAACCCTTTTGGAGACAGTATGGTTTTGGTCTTGGGCAAGGCACTTTTCAACAATTGAGCCTCTTCACACACGAGCAGCGGCGTAGCTAGGATATATATTCTGGGGTGGGGGCACCTGGGGGGGGGGGCTCTGAAGGCAAGGCACATTGGTTCAACGGATATAGCGATTCAAGATTTTTAACGGGGGAGAGGCTGGGGGGCGCAGACCTCTGCTTGGGGCACGTGCCACCTTAGGCCCCTGCCCCCATTACGCGACTGTCCTGGAGTATGAATGGCATGTGAAGGTTTACAGATTAGCCTACGCTGATCTTGAGCTGCATGAACTTGTCTCATTGCCCGATAGACAGGAGGTAACTGTAAAGTGCTTTGAGACATTGTCACCATGAGTGTATTTGTTTTCTCTTGTGTGATCAGGCTGCACTTCCATTGCAAACTGTGTGGATGTGCACTGCAGCTCGTCCTATAACCAGCAATGCGCTAGTTGTGATGGAGACTACGGATCAACGCGTGGAGCAGCCTACAAAAGGTCGTCGGACAACCGACGTTGCATAAGTACGCTTTCTCACAATAGTTATATCTTGTACAAGCAAATTTAACATTTCTTTTCGTTTCTCTTTTCTCCGGTGAATCAGTGGAATAATTATGTAGCAAATCGTAAAACACACTTTTTTATAGTAAGGCATTAGTCAGATAATTGTTTTAATGCTGCTCCTCCAAGACGTAGCATCCCACATTCCTTGTTTTAAATAATGTGATAACGGTCACTACAGTCTTTGCCATAATTCCGATTGAAATACTTATAGTGTATCATATAAGATCAAATCATTTTAAAATTCTGAAAATATGTTTTCCTACTTCTCATATGACCCGTTTTGTCACTTTTATTAAAGAAATTGCAGAGCTAACTTGGACAGAGTGTGTAACACGTTGTTTGAATCGCTCCAACTTTTCTGTTTGCTTTCTCCCTATAGAGCAATGTTCATGGAGGACCAACAGCAATGCCTGTTACCCAGGCTACTGTGCGAATGGCCAGTGCAGCTGCAGCAGTGGATTCTCGGGACAAGACTGCAGAACAAGTAAAGTTTTGTGATGTTTCTAGACACAGAATACAAACCTATAGCAGTTAGTGATACTATAATGCATGTACCCCGAGCAGTCATCACTAATATAACCCCATCAATAAACATGCGAAACATTACTCGTAAAGGGGACATTTCGCGCTTCACGATTCACGCGCGCTCGTCCTTGCGTGCGCCTTCTAGCGTGTATGAGAAGGAAACCCAGCACCAATCGCAACATAATGTACTGCATTTTCGTTGAAGGATTAACTATAACACCTCCAAAATTTGGCCTCATGTTCTAGAGACTTGAATTCAAGGTATGTAGGTAAAAATGCAGTTTATGGGTTCGTGTCCAGCCTGTAGTTGTGATGCGTATGTCCTTGGGCAAGACACTTATCACTAATTGCGACGCAAAGAGAAAACGGGCACCCATAAGGGCAGAGGTAGTTACTTTGATTGAATTTAGCTGCTTTTATTTGCTTGCTAATGGGAGTGGATTTTTTTAAACAATTAGCGGAGTAATAATGATGTTCAGCACATCGAGAACCAAAGATCGTATAAAACGCCTTGTTACTATTATTGTTTTTTTTTTTAGTGGGGTCGAGTCAGGCACCAGTCATATCGGAGCGCCGTGCATTTCTCATCAAGGACAACATGACACTGGAATCCCCTGTCTTTCAAAACAGCACCAGCACCGTCTACACGGACGTGATTGACTTCACTCGCATCCGAGTCGTCTGGAAGGTCTCCTATCAGCCAACTGGCCTTCCAAGCCGTCCTCCCTACATAAGTTCCGTCAACCTAGGCGTAGCGTCTGCAACAACCTCGGTCACTGTGCGCAGTAAGTTGGTTAATTAATGATTGACTTAATGATTCTACGAATTGCAGTAAGAATAAAGACTAGTGACAAGTTGACCTCAACCATTATTGCGGGACCGAAAGGGCAGCAATCCAGCTCTCTGACTGAGCCTCTGACTTACTGACCGACCGACCCGCTGACCGACTGACTGACCGACTTAGGCTGACTGAGTCACTGAGCATAAACAATGTCCTACACCGACATTTTCTGGTCCAGCTACACCGATTAGCCTAGTCTCTTTCTTGTTTTTTAGACCCGTTATTCTGCCGAGCCGAACTCAATTTGGCTTAAAAAAAAATTGGCATGGCGATGTAGCGCGGCGTTAAGAACCATTTGGCTCCATTTGGCTCGGCGAATTGAGTTCGGACGGCAACGCGCCACAGGGCTACCGCACTATCGCCGTTCCGGATGGCAGTGAAACGGCACTGTTCTAAACGCTGTGCCATTGCCGTGCCTCACTCAATTCAATTTGAATGCGGCAAACATTTTAGAAATGCATGCTCACAATACCCTCTTTCGCGTCCGCATCACCGGGGTGAAATTGGCGCGAATGTTTAGATTGCGCTGAAAGTTCATGGAACTGCTTTAATTGTTTTAACCTGGCCCATTATTCCAGATGCATTAAGTAAGGTTCGACTATTACGTTCGGCGTCTAGAGTAACTACCGTGCTGTAGACAAGCTATTGCCGAACTCATTTCAATCGAGTTCGGCGCGGCAGTAGCACGACGTCTAGAACGGGCTTCGTTATTATATTGAAACCTTAGGCCTATAACGACCATGCGACCATCTAACACAATGGGCTCAGTATTAACTTCTACATTTGAGGATTGAGCTGCAACGATGACTAGAGGGCTGCAATCATTTCGCATTGAATGAGATAATAAACGATTACCCTGGTCATTTGGACCACTACCTTTCGTTTTTCTTTATTTTCCTACACATGCAGCTGCTCAGGGTGTTGTGTTCAATATAGGAAGCTCCAAGAGCTGCTGGTCCTCATCATACAGTCCTCGAACGGACCTCTTACACTGTGAATTCCAGGAGGATATAAGCTACAGAACCTGGACACCATCCACTGGAGATGTGTACGTATTCAATTATTCGACAGCCACGATTATTCATTTTTCTCGTAATTTTCTAAGATCCGGGCTTGATCGTAGCTTCTTGTTAGTAAATATTGTTTGCTAGACAGCACTGATTGATTCACTTAGAGAAGATATTTTACATGTCTTTAACTCCAGGCAAACCACCAAAAATTGATTTTGCCTCATCAACCGTTTAGTCACTTTCCTGAGAGTGAGCGCCAAATTAAGAATAGCACCTGCTTAAGGCGATATATGTAATACATTACAGGATAAGATCTGACATGGTGGCTTCAAGTGGTGGAAGGTTGAACCTCTACAATCGTGACCGCTCGAACAGCATCATGTCACGCAACTACAACGGTGCATCGGCATCGGTGCGTGCTTCAGCAAGCTTCACGTTCGCCATGAGTGGCGCCACACACTGTGTCCGTAGCAATCACTGCCGCACCACAATGCTGAACGTCGGGGAAAAAATCATCTCTGAGGTGAGTCTACTATCAGGTTTCATAGGAATGTCCTTAGTGAGCATGTAGGCTCGATATGCATTCTATAGCTTGTTCCTGATCAGATTGACCTAAAATCTGGGTTGTATTTTGGCCTGTTTTCCGTGTCAAACATTACACTAGTTCCGTGTTTATAAAGGACACTTATTAACATGGTTTCCGAGTCAAAATAACTCGGAGAAGCGTTCATTTGACCCGGATTAGTTTTCCTATTGACCCCAAAGAGTGAGGCTAAATACAAACGAGAATGGGGATCCATCTCACCAGGACTTTTCAGAGTGTTAGAAGAGTTAGAAGTTAGAAGAGTGTTTCCGCAGTTAGAAGAGTTACGATATACGACCTTGAGAAAATACCGATTATTTTGGTGTAATTTATTAACAGTGACGTCCGAAGTAAAATAGGAATCTGGCAGAAACGATACATTTTAATAATAGCAATTACTTGCAAGCAATTGGCCACAAACCCCATTGAGCAAATAGGGGTAGAATAAAAACAGGATAGAAGGTCACATCGTCACAAATATATTTATATTTTTAAAATCTTACTGCATTTCAATTGTGAGACTTATTCATTCGACATAAAAGTGGCTTTTAAAGCAAACACATTTGAAATAGCTGTCACAGCACGAAGTGACATTATCGTATTTACAAAATGCACAGAATAATTCGTCATACCGTTGTGCGTTGATAGACCGTTTGCGTCTATAGCAGCCATATTAGAGGGCAGTGGCTATGTTTTGCTAGGATATGCACGAGTGACCCTTTTAAAGATTCATTGTTTCTGAATAGAAATAACAAAAGATACCGCTCTATAAATTTGCGTGTAAGCCTGGGATAACAGTGACATGGGAGGGATGGAGCGATAGGCATGCTGGCATCAAGGAGTTCAGCCTAGATGTGCGGCAAATGTCGGGTACCGTTGGCGACGAGATGACCGAAATACTAGACACCCCTGCCGTCTACCAAGGGGTCTCTGAGAGTGGTCTGAGCATCACCCTTCCTCAAGCTGGTAAGTTCGTTTGGAAAGAGTAGGCCTAGGCCTACGCCGATTAAAAACCATTTTCAATAAATACTGAGCTTGAATCTGATAGATGACCACATTTTTTCATTTAGCGAAAGATCCTGCTGGGTCCAAAATGTTTATAGAATAGCAGTCACAGAAGGTTGTGGATTTTACAGGAACTTGAAATTTGAACACTTCACGGCACTGTTCAATGTAAACAGGAATGTCTTATGAATGAAAAGGTATGGAAAGATAAATTGGGCTGAAGCTTAATCCTACATGTATGCCTGTATTATCATTCCAAACACCTGCCTTGAAGGGGTGACCGCCTTTCAGTACACGATGGCTATTCGCTCATTATTAGACCATTCTTTGCATGTCAGTGCGGTACATTGTCTCGACGTGGCGATCATCAAAGCATTTGATACATTTTCACAAAACAAATAACTATCGGCCTAAAGCAACAGTATTCGAGATTGAGATGCGAGGATTAACTTGTTGACCATTCCCCAGGCGTTTATTCCTTCGTACTTTCCGTGGTCGACAACCTCGACAACGTACGGCGATGCAGGCGCTTCGTGTTCTTGGACAACGATCCAGACGATCTTACCGTCCGGACCGACTCCCCAATGCGTGTCCAAGTATTTTCCCATGGATGGGAAACACAAGGTGCGTGGCTCAACGATATAAAACCCGTCGGTAGTACCAAGCTGCTTCTGGACTGGCAGGGCCACTTCACCAACGAAATGCATCACTCACGAGGGCTCCTGAAACCCATCGGCGTATATGCCAATGGCATCATTGATGCAGGTAGGTTCATTGTGTCACTGCAACATAGACTGGCCAATGGACCGGCCTATTATGTCCCGCTGCGCCTCTGACCAATCACAGCCGTGATTAAAATCTGATTTGCGTAAACAAAAGTACGACATAACCGGCACGCGCGTATGATGCGCTGCTACGCATGTACGTTTACTATTATGCAGTGTAGACTGGTCCGCGCCCCCTGGCTCCGTGCACAAGTACCCCTTCAACGGCCGGAAAAGGAGAGTTGGGGGAGACCTAGACTAGTTCCCGGTCCATCCACTCCGGACTTCGGATGTATCCAAAGTTATTGGGGGCGTGGACTATTTTGGGAGCCTCGAAAGATACATTCGAACGCGAAGACGCTGTGGCTAATATCTTTGTTACATTTGGGTAGTCATGCGTTCTTTGCGTGCAAACCAGTACAGTACGCACACAGCGTGCCCCTCCACAGGGCTCTCAAAAGTGGTAAAAAGCGCCCTCTTTTGCTGGCTCATGGAGCCCATAGAATATGTGGACCGGTAGCTAGCTTCACTTGGTTAAGAGGTATACTAATGTAAAAACAAGGCATTCAAAGTAAACCAGAGTAAAATAACAAACAACCAAATTAACACTCCCTCTGCAGATTACGACCAGAACTTTGGCAAGCGAGGCCGTGCAGGCGTCCCCAACGCCCTTGGAGTGAGGAAGTTCCGTGTCTTCAGCGACGTTGACCACAGCGGTGGCCGGACCATTAACAATGCGAGCGACGACAAATCAGACCACTGGAATCATGTAGGCGTATATACAAATGCATTCGTTTTCAGGCGCCTAGTAGATGGCGATTCCATTCGCCTCTGGGTGGAGGCCAGGGACATCGCCGGTCACTATGTGAGGGACAGTGTTTTGGTTCACGTCGACTCATCTCCACCGGTGATCGAAGACACGAAGATAGCCGTCACTGAGTTTGCCATAAGGTACTTTTCTCTATTTAGTGTCATATGGGAGGCGAGCCACCTTTCATAAGAACTGTCGAAATAAATACTTCTAATTCTCAACGACATAACGCAGAACGGAATCCCCCAGTATTGTGAGAGAGACTCCTCGCTGGATGTATTTAAGACAATTCTGCAGAAAATAAGCCTGCCAAACATCGAAAGCAGAGCTTACTACTAAGTCCCCAGCCCACACACCGGGAACCTTCACATCCCACAATGGGAGTTTGTAGTATTTGATCCAGATCCATCTCCATCTGCGTCTGGAGTAATCCTTCCCTTGCAGAAACATTAAATAGACATGAGCTTTGCCATCGTTTTTTGAGGGTGTAGTATGAATGATCCAGATCAAAATCCACCTGCGTCTGAGGTGATGAGCCTTGCCATAATTTAAAAACTGTACCCTAATTAATGATCTGTTTTCTTGGTCCTGTTCAGCGTACATTTCAGGGCATTCGACGAACACAGCGGTATCAAAGCAATTGACTGGTGGCTATTTGACAACGAAACTAACTCGGTGGTGGAATCCGGCCATGAGGTGGTTGTTCCTCTTAACGTAACCGAGGTACACATTAACAAATAAAACACGCTGAATCTTATTAACCTAAGGAAATACAATCCACACCACTCAGAAACGAAGAGAAGATTAACTGTCAGAAGTGAAACATGAATTAATTGAAAGAGCCTATTGTAGCAGTATCTCCTCCACATCTTGCGTTAACTTGTGTGGAGGAAGCAAAAAAGAATAAGTTAATTTGGGTGTCATGTCCGTTTCTGATGTCGGTGACGACCGGATGCTCCTTTTTGCACATAAATTTCCCAATGACATCATGCGCAGTCAATCCAATAGATCATGTCATCCAGGTCAAAAGGGTGCAAGGAATGTTGCTTTAAGATACTGTCAACAAATCTTAGATAAGAAAAGTGACAAGGTGGTGGGGTTATATATTTGTACGTTTGGCCTTTATCCCAATGCTCAGAATATCACCACTTGTGACCCGCCTGCCTGTCTGTGCACACCTCTCGGTGACTGCTACGCCACGGCACAAGCTTTCAAACCAACACTACCTGCTGGTATCGAGGAGCGCGATTTCTTCATTGAATTCTCCGTGACGAATAACGCCGGACTTGCGAGAAATGACACCATCAAGGTAATGCTTGTCATTTCTTGTTTGCTCTGTTTCTTGCTGCTGCTGTTGCTTCTGCTGCTCAGCCGACCACAGTTACTCTTGGAACAAGATCCACCAGCCGTCAGGATCTCATGCCATCATCCTGGAGACCAATTCGCATTTTTGGTTCTGCTGTCAGGGTGGCAGTTTTCAACGTGATTATTCGTGGTTTGTCCCATTGACATGAATTTCACCAATATCAGGCTATAGGCAAACAAAAGCTATAATGTTGATTGCTTAAAATGTGTTATTGTTTCCAAATTTCTAGCCTACTTTGACAGCAGAGAACGTGGGCACATTCGCCGAAGCCCTTGTGAAAGACACCAACGACACTTCGTCCATCGACGACAGTGCTGTGGTCTCCACGGCTGATTTACTGGACAGTATCGTCAACATTCAGGACACTTCCGCCGAAGTAAGCTACATAAATGCTAATGTGATATTAAATGCCTTCTTAAATCAATTTGGGGCTTCAAGTGGGCTATTACAATCATTGGGAGATTGTTTTTGGGGCGTCACCAGATGGAATGATATTAAAGAAAAGTGGGACATACCAACGGTTTTTATTTGTATGTCTCAGCCAGTTTGCCATCCTGTCGGTGGTCAGAACATTATGCCCGAAGCGTGAACTTAATATCCCTAAATCGTTTGCTAAGGTATTATTGCTACGAATACATGGCTCCCTGTTCATTTTGAAAATGACCTTCTTGCCTGTCCGCTGGTATATCCATCTGCCACGTCGTTACTCACGGGTAAACTGGTACTGACTTCCAGACTTATATAGGAATCGATCATTAGAGGCCGCAGGACAGAAAGCACATGCAAATAGAGCAGTGGCTTCTCAAGCCATTTACTGAAGTCATCACTAAAATTAATGATAAAGTAGCTTTTTGGACTGGTGCAGACTTATTACACAGAAGCCTTGTGTTTAATGTAAAGTTATACACGAAATGACATCATAACACCATAACGTTAATTACATCGGGAGCCGAACAGGCAAATGCAGAGTGTATACGCCAATCTCCAACAGCTTATGTGACATGCTTATAATACGTTTTGATTCTATCGCCAGTTGACAGAAAGTGTCGTGATGGTCGTAAGCAACCTGTTGCAAGTAGACGACGACCAGCTCGGGGACACTGATGCGGTGGCCCGATCCTTGTCGCGCATCGTCAGGTCTCTGTGCCGGCAAATATCCAATGTTCTCGCCGCCGGTGGAAACGTCAGCTTCGAGACGAGAAGCCTGGCAGTCAGAGCGATGGCCTTTCATCCGCGGGACTTGGCAGACGGGCTGGGGTTTGCGGCTCTTGGGGGAGAGAGTGCTATCGACTTAATGACTGGCATGCAAATTGACGTTTATGGTCCCGATAGTGAGATCCCCATGGAGCAGGTAGTAGCATCAGTGGAGCTTCCAGCGCAGATAGCCGACAAATTCTCAGGAGGTAGAGTGTTTATGAAATTATTATAGAAGCAGATCATCTCAGTTTATATCTGCCTCGGAAGATCATTGAGATGCACTGTTGGTATACCGTACACAAAAATGTTCCCATTGTTCATTATCCAAGTATTAAGCAAATGGAAATAAAAATGTTCCCATTGTTCATTATCCAAGTATTAAGCAAATGGAAAATAATTTATGATACTTTGCTGAGTGACAGATTTACTCGACAAATTAAATCTTGATGCAATTGTGTTCGTATGCAGCTGACTCGATCCCCGTGAGTTTCATCATGTACCAGAGCAGCAGACTGTTCCGATCTCAGCTGACGAACGCTACTCCCACATCGGGCGTTTCCAAGTTCATCGACAGCCGGGTCATCGCTGCCGCCGTAGATTGCGCACTGATCACAGATTTGCCAGACGATGCTCCGGTAGTCACAGCTTTCCTCCAGGATAAAGTGAGATTCAAGATTGCGTTAGGGAAATGAAGTATACCTGATGTAGTACCCGGATACAGGCTTCGAAGTTGAACCTAAAATTGATTTTATTCCGTAGATTTTATTTTAAAATTAATCGGTAGAGGCCTCACTAATTGGTATAATTGGTAGAGGTCTCACTTTTAAGCGTTAATCCAAGAAGCAAACGCACCAACCGTCAGTGGAACTTTTCCGACAAGCAATCCGTTTACTAGTGGAATACCGAAGTGCATGACCATGTTTGGATTTTTACAATAAAAAATCTCACTGCTGTTATCAGGCCTAAGAAAAGCAGTGTATGCCTAGGTCTGAGCATTCTCATTTAACTCAAGTAATGAGGTATTTTCTTTGTTGCAGATGATGAAGGATGAGGATACTGAGTTGCAAACTACAGAGTGTGTGTTCTGGGATTTCAGTCTCCGGGATGGCATCGGCGAGTGGTCGACCGAAGGCTGCCGAAGACGCCCCTCAGTTGGCGGGCGAACTGTCTGCCATTGCAACCATACCACCAATTTTGCTGTACTCGTGGTAAGCAAGCCAGCCTTCAGAGCCATTTCACTAGACTTGAGGCAATTAATGTACAGATAACTGGTTTTTGGCAAGCAACGAGCAGAGAGAGTAACAGAAAAAAAGATGTCACTAAACACGTCGGAATTATTTATTGATCCACATGAAGTTTCCTGAGCTTGCAAAAACACTTGCCTCCCATTTACATTTGGTCGTGAACATTTGCTCATGTGACTTGGCTCTAGTTTCAAACAATTCCTTTAGGCCTTCTCGACAACCCGATAAATGTAGACCTTCTAAAGTGATCCGAGGCCAAACCCTCTGGCACTTATAAAAAAAGAAGGTATTTTAAAGTCGCTGGGATTCGTATATTTATCGTCAACTCGAGATACAAAAGATGCTGTTGCCAAACGCTGCTGACAAAAGTTAATTGACACTTTCGATACCAAGTCAAATTCCGTGCAGGCATCAAACGTTTCTTTTGTATACACCCAGAGCTGCATTACGTACGTTGAATACACAACTAAAATATATCTTTCCAAATGAACTAACGCCCTAATATTTACAACACATTTACTAACGTTTATATCTAACACAGAGCATTTACGAGCCAATATCCAGTTTTGCCCTGGATGTCTTCAGTAAATTCGGGTGTGGTGTCTCCGTCGTAGCGCTGATCATCACCATTTTCGTTTACAGTGCCATAAGGTAAATATTGATTTGAAGCATTGACGAATATACCACACTTTTGAAAGTATGAGGGCGCAGTTCCATCTCTGGAGACAAACAATAGCCAAATTATCATGTTTATTAAAGCGATTTATAAACTTTAATAATCTGTTATTTGAAAAAAAAATGGTAGATTATTCATAAGATGGAATTTGCCATCAGATCCCGGCGAGCTCGGTGGTTGAGTGGTAAGACGTCTGCACTAGAAAGTAGGAAGTCGTGGGTTCGAGTCCCACCCAAGTGATTTATTTTTCTCACTTTCACTCGGGGGAGGGTAACACACTCAGTATACAGTGTGTATACATGTACGTCGGTGAAGGTCAATTGTAAAATATTAATTTTACATGTATTTAGTTATAGCTACATGTAAACTTATACCTGTGGTTCATGTACATGAAAAAGAGCGTCGTCACCGTACTTCATTAGCAAAATAACACAGCTCCCTTGCCTAATAAATAGGTACATATACGTTTTATTCTTTGAGAATTCCCTTTGGAGAATGTGGATAACGGTATGATACGTGAATTATCGGTTGATTTTATAATGTTCTGTGTTGACTTTAGGTCCTTGAGAGCCTTGGAAGCCAGCCGCATCCTCATCAGCTTCTGCTTCTCCTTGCTGCTCCTGTATCTTGTCTTCCTGGCCGGTGTTGAGAACACCTCCAACCGTGCTGGTTGCATCACTGCCGCCGTCTTGATGCACTACTTTGTGCTGACCTCCATGGCCTGGATGGGCGTGGAGGCTGCCAATCTGTACCTCAAGCTGGTCAAGGTCTTCAATTCGGACGTGCAGCACTTCATGATCAAGGCGTCAATAGTCGCTTGGGGTAGGTGTGCATCCAGCTCTGCGTCCAGTGCATGATGTCGATGGCTTGGTTTTGAATGACGTCCTTGAATAAGGGCTTTTACTTTCAACTTTTAAAAGAAACGTGTGAGAGACTATTAGTTTCCGGGGCGAGGGATTGTCCAACTGTTACAAAAAAGGGCGGGAAGGGGATATATATTCCATTCCCACCAATGCAAGCACGTCATGAAAAACTTTCAAAATATGCAGTCCACACCATCACACTTTATGCGAATCAACTTATAGTCAGTATCTCAGCCAGTCAGACAGACAGATGTCTTTCTGACAGTCAGTGACTCAGTTAAAGTCAGAGAGAAAGAGGCTGGCCCTTCGGGTCACTAACCACCCCTCAGACGTTGTTCATCAAAGCAAGCTATCTCAAAGGTTTTTCTCTCTGTTGCACCTTTACAGGAGTCCCGATGATTGTTGTCATCATCATTCTGGCGGTGGATTATACAGAATATGACAATCAAGATAGGTATGGTATTTACTTTTAATGCTTCATTTTCTTATCCATTATTTTTGCCAATGATGTTCGTTTAAGAAGGGAATACCAGCAGTAAGACAAACCAGATTTTCTACAGACAGGGGACAAAAACCCACGGATGGTATAGATTTTGCCATTTCCCCCAAATTTTGACACGCGACACAAATTTAATACTAATCGTTAGAAGTGTAAAACAGACTTGTATTAAATTTGAGACCGCTTTATTGTATTTTTTTTTACAGCTGTTTCCTGAAGGCTGGCCCTGCCTTTTACTTGGGTGAGTTCCTTTTCATTGGCCTTGTGTTGCTCTTCAACCTCTTTGCCTTCGTGCTCGTCATCCGAAAGTTGATGAGCAGCGCCAGCAAAACCAAGGGCACGTCCGACGAAGGCCAGCTGGCAAAGATCGCGTGGCGCCTGAAGAGTATGGCTTCCGTGACGGTGCTGCTGGGGTTGACCTTGGCCTTCGGCTTGCTGTCTGTCATCAAGGAGGCCAGTTTGGTATTCCAGGTCTTATTCTGCGTCTTCAACTCCCTGCTGGGCCTGCTCATCTTCCTGCTGTTCGTCGTCTGGCCGGAGAAGGTCCGAGAAGGGGTGAGTAATCTGGTCCGTAGAAGGCGGGAAGGATTCCCGGAGAGTTCCACTTCCAGCAATAGGCCAATTTCGACCAGCAGGACAAGGAAACCATCGGTAGGCCCCAGGAATGAGGGCGCCAAGCGAGGGGAAGCTGACTCCAGCATCTACGAAGTCATTGATATACCCTGCCAATCTAGCAAGATGGTGACTTCCAAAGGTAAGGCACAGCGCGTTTACCAGGACCTGCTTACAACCAACGCCCAGTCTAACACGTCACAAGGTAAGAAAATGAGCGTCTACCAGGACCTCAATACGACCGAGGACCAATCTAACAAGCGGATGAAGCCGAAGGCCAAGACACAGAGGGAACCACCGGTTTTCTTCAGGAGTTATTCAACCGGACAGAAGGAGGCCCCACTCTGCTACGAGAACACAGACATCGCCAATGTTAAGCCAAGCCTCATGCAGTTCAAGAACAAGCCCACTGCAAGCGGAAAGACCAAGAAACCAAAAGCAGTACCGCTGAAGTTCAGAAAGGATGCCAACCCACAGAGGGAAGCATCACGCCACTACGAGGACATCGATGTTGCCAATGATGAGCCAAGCAGCACGATGTCCAAGAAGAAGCCTACTACAATGGGAATTACCAAGAAGCCACCGGCGGTACCTGTCAGGTTCAGAAAGGATGCTACCCCCCAGAGGGAAGCTTCACGCCACTACGAGAACAACGACATTGTCAAGAAAAAGCCCACATCAGGCGGCAAGACCAAGAAACCATCTGTCACCTTCAGAAATGATGCCACCAAACAGGGACCAATTTCCCACTCCTACGAATCACCGTTGTCGTCTCAATCTGAACCCTATGAAGACATGACCGTGGGCGAAAATGATTACATGTAATTGACTAAACTGTATAGCGTACCCCCATTATGTGTCTAAGTGATGATACAATTATATGCATATATCAGGCATACCCAGAAAGTTTACTTCTATATACCAAGATTTACATTAATAATACTCTACACAGCTTAAATATGAAACAAGATGTAGCATCGACAAAGCCTGAACAACACACTACAATTGATTATCCCCAACAATTATGAAGTTGCATACATTAATGTTCCGACACCTCTATGTTCCGACACCTCGATGTTCACCCTTACCTTAATCAGGAGTAACATGATCTTATGTACGGGTTGTCGGAACATAGGGGTATCGGAACATAGTGAAGTAACCCAATTGTGACAGTAAACATTCCAACTATCTTACATCGGGGAAACGGGAAGAAAATTTGGCACGCGGTTCGAAGAACATAAGACCGAAGTAAAAAAACTAACATCGGGAACCATGACGAGGGCGAGAAAAACATCAACAGTAGGGAAAGAGACAAAATCGGCCATAACAGAACACGCTAGAGAGAACAATCGTGATGAATTGGGCAGATAGTGGAATCTTGCACAGGGAGGGCGACAAATTTAGACGTTGGATACGGGAAAGTCTATGGATAAGGAGACGACGATCAACTCTTAACAGAGATGAGGGAGGGTATGAACTGTCACACATATGGCACCCCCTCATACCCCAAGTACCACCCCCGGGGAGGACACAAGCGGCCAGACCACCATCTAGTGGCCGCAGCAGGAAACAGCGCCACCAACCGACTGGTGGTGCTTCGTTCTGAGGATGACTAGTGAAACTAGTCGAAACGTAAACGAAACTACGTAAGTAATTGGCTGTGTTATTAGAGAATTCATTTACTAAGTTGAACATTCACCAGCCTGATGAACTTCTTTCATGAGTAAACAATGGATTTTATTCCCACCACATTCTGCATTTTGAAATGCGGACCAGAATTAGCACTGAAAACAATATGCACAGAGTGCGTGTAACATCCAGGGATTATCATGGAGAGAAATATGACAAATGTTATGGCTAACATAAATATGTGGAAAAATCCAGAAGTTGGCATGACTCTCATCACACAGAAAGAATAATTAAGTAACAAAGTAATTTAAACTGTTTTAAATTGTGTAAAACATGCTCTTTTGTTTCCTTCGTTCATGTTAAATTGTTATTACACGTCTTATTGTGATGATTGTTATAATAATGTCATACTCAGATGTACTTTATTATTTCGACTCAAGCTAATTTTTTTAAATAGCGATAGCTTTATTTTTTGTTTTCATTGAAATATCTTTACTATTTGTGAAATACGATTGGTGAAATACTTAGTGGGTCCAGGAATAAACAGCATTTCCAATTTAATCATCATTATCGGTTGAACTTGAGGATCCTGGATGCCGCTTTTATTTCAAAATTTCGCATCGTTTGCTGCAGAATATGTCACAACGAAGAATAAACAAACCCTTTCTACCTGAAATTTTGTTTTGTTTAAAAATACAGGAATTTGATACATCTTAATCCATTTCTTCCTTTACCAGCAAAAAAAATCAACTAACTAAAACAAAAGAGGATGGCCCTCCCCCGCAACACGAAGGTCACTGAAAGCAATAAAGACCAAAAGACTACGACAATCAAAAAGTTATGCTATTACATCAAAATCATTTCGAAGCAACTTTGTACTCCGGTCTTAATAAACAAAAAAGTCTCCGGAAAGACAGATGACAATTCACATCGAATATTTATAACCTAAAATGTGCAAAGTATCAGGATTCCATAATACCCAGAGGTATATTCCAAGAAAAATTGACAGGTTCAATCAAAACAAAGTGAACGAATTTTGTTTTAAAAAAAGCCTAAGGCAAATTAAACTGCATGTTAAGGTTGGCGGATGTTTAATCACGTTTCTGTTGACGTATGAATTTATTGTTACACAGAATTTTAAAGGAAGCTTCTTTTTTTATTTACTCATAATTGTAAGAAGTGTTTACTGTATATATTGGACAAGATGGTAGATCCACTGAGTGTCTTGAGAGTGTGTTTTGATTAATTAGCTCCTATTTTGTCCAATATTTGGTCATTAAAAAAAAACAGGTTTCTACGATTTACATGCAGCCTGCCCCAAGCTTCATCTTTATTGGTTTAAGAACTTTAATACTAACTCAAATAAAAAAAAACCTTTTTGGTAAAATGCACGAGTTCGGTGTATCAGTTATACCAGATCTCATTCCACGGAACCAAATTTGGTAAACCAAAAGTTGCACGTTGTCTTACATTTTATGGAAATAAATGTCAATAAATTGCAAGTTATAGGCCTACATCGTATTTTGGTAAATTTGTTTTCGGCTTGTCTACATTTCTATTCCTTTTATGCCATTTGTTTTTCGAAAGAAAATGAAAACGGAGAGGATAGTGTTGAATTTATTGGTTTTCTTAAACTTAAGTCCATCGCAAGCATGCTGTCAATTCGTCCCGTACGCGGTATTCAATCGGCGGCATATCCTCACGCGCTATGCAGTGCATGTAAAAATACAGCGCGAACAGCGAATAGTGGCCGCACGAGGTCGCTGTTCGCGCTGTATTTTTACATGCACTGCATAGCGCTTGAGGATATGCCGCCGATTGATTACCGCATACGGGACGAATAACGTTGACGAGAGCATTGACCAAGGCTATCAAATGTTTAGCTCACTAACGCGATCGTATTGGCTTTAAATGACGTCATTTCAAGACCGAAAGCTTTATGGCGATACCAAATTTTCAATTGTTGGGGGGGGGGGGGGGGGGGGGGGGGTTCGTGGGTGAATTATAAGCTTCGTGTACAAGCGTCTAATTTTCGGAAACTTTGCGGTGATTTTCGTGATTTTGTTTCGGTTGGCGCTTCTTTTATTCACCGACATGGGCCAAAAAAAAAAAATACTTTAACAGTTTTAATTTGTTTTTAGAGTAAAATGATAGATTATTAATTATGTACAGCATATATATACGGTCACCGCACTCGACCTTTTGACTTTCTTTCATAAGCAAAACATGTGTAACTTCTTAAAAACATTAATGTTATAGGGCGCAGACATCTCCATAATGCATTTTTCGTATTCCCGAAGAGACGCCAAGTTGCTGTAAAAAAAAATGAAATGGTCGGAAGGGCGCCCTCTTCCTAAGGCAGAACAGATGCAACAAAAGAAGCTCAACTGGAATATTCGCTTGCAAGAGGATACGGCCATCTTTGCAGATAATTTTCGCTTACTGCCCACAGTTTCAATGATTATGACTGGGTTCACTAGAAAGTTAAGCTCTCTAAGAATCATGTGGAACTGTTTTATTTACTGCAGAAAGTGTGGAACGTACTGCAGCTAGGTCAAACACTTTCATCGCTTGCTTCTACACCTATATACTTTTCAAAGGACAAATCTGCGATATGGCCCTATATAGCCAAATATCTTTCTCACGATATACTGCGTGCCAAATTACATGCTGTTATCGCCAAAGGCACAATTCCCTCAAACATCTGCCCCCACTATCGATGCATTGTGTGCCCCACTATAGATGCATTGTGAGAGATTTTGCAACACTAAAATAAGCATACGTTCTCTGGCTATTAATTGTCTCGAAATGTGTTTTTTCATTCAAACTGACGTACGTTGCCCATCTGTTCGTGAAACCGGTGACGAACTGTACTCCATACATGCCCAGTGCGTTAATCAAGTTTCCAAGTACACGTACATTTCCCTGGAATGGGCCTCTTTAGTAAGGCCAAAAAAAACAAGTCTCCGGTTTCTGGTATGGAGCTTGCCCAAAAAGTGGTGCAGCGACGCGGGTTTTTTTTCTTCAAACGTCGGCTGATGACTGCAAATGGTGCCCGACTAAATAGTGGAAATATATGGGAGTCCAGAGAGGCCACATAAAGCTTAGTCTCTATCGTAACCCCATCTGAAAACCTGCAGCAGCAGGATTCCAGTCAGACCAGTGAATTTGGCGGTTTTGAGACATCATCTTTCATTGAAAAAAAAAACCCATTCATTTTGCCGACACGCATGGCTACGGCGACGCGCGCGCATACCAGAAACCGGAGACTTTTTTGGCTTAAAGGCTTAGTAGGATCTGAATACATAATACAGACACTGAGTACGTCGTTATATATTCGCATATGCCATAGAGCTGTATTACATTATTGTAATATAACTCTATTGTATAGATGCTCCCTCGCTATTTTCTCTGGAGGGAAAAAGGTCAGCTCTCTTATTTACACGCCACAAAAGCACACTGCCAGGTTCACTCAACCGTCACAATTCTATAACCATAGATGCACTATTAGGGGCTGGTAAAGGACGATCTCCTATTTATGGAATATATACGAGGAATACCGACCGATGCAAAGCAACTCAGGGACTCTTGAAGACGGGTTTAAGGTGAGCCAAATTTAAGCACTAATCTCAGCCATGACAGGTGGCTAGTGTGTAGGCCGACCCTGGCACAAACTCACTGTAAGCACGAGACGTTCCCGGTCTCACGAGGTTTTTGTTTGTACGGCAGCAAGCAGAAACTGGGGGAGCTGGCCACTTGTTTCTGGATTGGTTTCCGGACCAGCTGTTACATGGTCAGGACCACACGCTGTACGGGACAGTGTGGGCTCAGTGTGGGCTCACCTTACCCGAATATTTGGTACTCTCAGCGCATTATGAGAGTCCCAAAACCAAACCTTTTGAACTAGTCCGAAAATTTGGGACCCTCAATATTGGGTCTGAAAACTTAAGGTATTGAAAACATGCAATGCAACAAAATAGACTAGCACCTGAAACAACCAGTCCAACATCGCTTCAGTACTGCATCAATCAACTGTCAGCTGACTGTGCCAAAAGAAACATCTGGGATGTCGGGTACTAGGTCACTATTTCTACAAATTTCTCCATAGTCAGGCACCAGACTAGTGACAATGAATGAAGAAGTCAGTCTTGTCAAACAGATAGACCATGGATGGACATGTACAAGTCTAGTCTTTAGCCTCATTTTGAAATCACTTGACTTCCCTCTCATGTGCAAACCACTGCCAAATATTGAAGAAAAGTCTTCATTAAAAATTTGAATTGAGTCTACAAACTTGGTTGATGAAATACTGAGGACCTTTTTTTGCCTAGTGAAAGTTTTGGAGAAATTTGCTGGCTAAAGAGTGAGTAAAGTTGGCCTGATCTTCTTTTGCATCGTTTTAGCACTGAAGGCCCCAGTCTGGTATCGAACATGCAACGCAAGAAGTAGACTGGCACATGAAACGCGTCTACCTGATGTTCCCAACACCTAAGTTCCCCAAAGTCCTTAGGATTAGAGTTAGGTCTAGGGTTAGGGTTAGATGGTTTAATAGGGTTAGGGTTGGGGAACATAGGTATTAGCATGGAGGAAGGGTATTCGGGAGCATAAGTATTGGGGAACATATAGGTATGCACCCCATGTTACAACCCGTCCAACAACCCTGCATCAATCAACTGTGTCCAAAGCAACATCTGGAACCGGTCAATATCGCTACACATCTCTCTATTATGCCACCAGACTACCAAATGATCAATATTTTCACAAAGTTGGATATGTACCAGTCTAGTCCTAGACTTAAAATTGAAACCATTAATTTTGCATCACTTTCAGATGCAAATTGTTGAAGAAATATCTCTGTTCAAAATTGAACTGAGCTCAAGTTTGACGGGTCAAATAATGGTGATCCAGTCTTTGCCTCATATCCCCGAACATTTTGTAACATTTTGTCAGCTAAAGAGCGAGTTGGTCTGATTTATTTTGCATTTGTTTTTTGCACTCTAGTCTTTATCCTCCACCCGCATGTCAGTAATCGGAATGAATCTTCACTTTAAAATTGCTATAAACCTGTTTAATATTGCACAATCCTTCGTTTATGTATGACAGCCGTACAGCAGGTTGAAATATCTCAGTTCGTCTGATAACCCTTGCCAGCCGTAACCATGGAAATGGAGACATCACGGGAAACATCTCCCATACTGTCTCCTAGCAACGCTTCATTAAACGAAACGGGACCTCATTCTTTGTCTTTGAACCACACGGAACCAGCTAAGAATGGTGACGAAACATACGAACAACTGAACGAGCCAGATGACAGTGACGTGAGTTTTGTTTAAGCGAATGAGGCAGTTGAGGGCTCCATTAGCCTACGTGCGCCCCCTTTAGTCTAGAATCTAATGTTATTGAAGCTAGATTAGTTCAAAATTTACATCGCAATCTTTGTATTCTCGATTAAACCAAAGTCGGTAATACTTCGATAAATGCGACATTTTTTCCGTCCCAGAAGATGGCGTCTTGACAGCGCCCTCTGCCGCTCAACAATATGGTCCATTGATTGGTTAAAATTATACAACTGCGCATACATCCTTACCTTTTTAAATATTAAACACTTGATTGTTTATATAAACAGCAAATGGTTTGTTTACATTATGAACTTACATTATTTTCGAAAATTTGCATTGAAAAAACCTGTTTAGAAACGAGAATATAGATTGACGTCATAATCCGTTTATGCATTATTCATTAGCTTACAAATTTGTCTTGATTTTTATTGGCGGACACATACCAATTTTGTTTTTATTTTCTGCACAGAGCGACAATGGTTTGAATGTGTGGCAGGCCGTTCTGTTTCTCACCAGTCTTCTCGTTGATTACTCTCTCCTCGCTGTGGAAGCTTTAGTTATCAGTACAGGTAGGATTTGGACTTTGCAACCTAAAGAAAAATAAAGAAAAAATTCTACGCACATTCCCGAGATCCCAAAATAAGAAGGTGTTAGTCTTGTGTTCAGGCATGTAACATTTGTATGTATATGTATTTCATAAAGGCATTACCCGAATCAGTGTAGGATGACTTCCCATAATTGTTTTATAAGGCTGCATCCGAATCAGCTGTCTATAGAGCTAGGTCTAGGTCTGCGTCCCTTGAAAATACGCAGGGACGGGCTGACAATAGACGTAGCCGTACAGCTCTGGAAGCCTGTTTCGGACACAGCCTTTTTAAGGATCAAACTAAAAATTCTCTGGATCGTCTTTCCAAATCTCCGTCAACTTTGAATTTCAGGCGCGGATCCAGAGGGGGGTTTTGGGGGTCAACCCCAGCTCTGTCAAAAATTATCATACAAATTCTAAAAAAAAAGTCGAAACACCCCCCCCCCCCCCTGTGACACCCCAAAAAAATTATACTGGTATAATGTCCGCCTGTTCAAAATACGGTACACCATTCTGTAATCTAGTGTTAATAATCGTCGAATTTGAACAGCGCCCCATTGAAATCTGGTACGGAGGAAGTGTCCGGAGAAAAAAGCCTGTGTACATTTTCAGGGTTTTTTTTGCTGATGAACCCCCCCCGCTAAAATTCCTGGATCCGCCCCTGAATTCCGAATAAAAAGGCACGTAGTACTTATCCTCGATTGTAGGACCGATAAATTTCATTCAGCCATCCTTGCTACATAATAAGCTCTCCCTTTCGTAGTTAATTTTAAATATGTCATATGTTTTATTACAATTAATGGTCTCTCCTTGCTTCCGTAGGCTGGATAAGCCTCTTTCTGGCGACCGTTTTATGTAGCGCAATTGTTTACACTGCCATACTGATCGGCCGTTGCTGGATCATCGTACGGGGAAGATGGCAGAATGAGCGGCATCCTTACGGAGCGATCGGCTACGAGGCTTTCGGGTCATGGGCAAGGTCAGTTGATAACGCCTCCGAGACGCAAGGGGGCGCCATTACGTAGATATAGAGATAGAGGGCGCTGTTTGATACAGAAACCTCATACGGCGCTTTTGTTATTTGAACATTGAATGTCCTGTCACTGGTACAGTGTGGGGGTCAATATGGGTAATGAAAGTATCTCACGTGCAAAGAATTATTCGGAACGACACAAAAGCGATCCGACCTCTCATTGGGCCCAAGTTAATGAAAGCAATTGTAAACGTAAAAAAATAGCCGAGCTTTAACGACTTTAGGGAAGTTTGAATCGTCAAGGCATAATTAGGACAATTAAAGACACTTCCAGGCAATGCCTGTCTTGTTTCATGTATGAGATCATGTCACCAGGTTAATTGTCCAGGTTTTGTCTAGCTCAATTCCAATGGGAGACTTTTGAGACGCTTGGTGGCACCAAACAAAAAGGTCCTTGGTTACGGCATGTTTAAGTTGTGCGCATGTTCAATATGACGTAAGCAATAATTGCAAATGACCGTTATGTTTGCTGCCACCAAGCGCCTCAAAAGTCTCCCGTTATCTGTATTTTATGTGTTCTTATTTTTGTGAAGACGTCTTGCTTTTGCCTCGATAGGGCCGTCATTAATGTGGTCGTGGATGTGTGCTGTTTTGCCACTGCTACTGGTATCTTGACGCTGACAGCAGAGACTCTCTTCGTGCTCGGCGGGCAGGCGCTTCACGGCAAATATTGTCTTCTCCCGGTCGTGATTGCCGTGGTCGCCTGCCCGTTCATGTGGCTTGGGACTCCCCGGGATCTGTGGTAAGTAATCACGGTAACTCTTTATTTAATGTGCTGAACAAAGTAATTTTTTGTAACATTTTGTTTTGAAAATTACTCTCCAATTGCCAAAAACAAATGAACTTACATGCAGATTTTGCGGTAGTAAAGAGCTCAAAACCAAATGTGTATCAAAATAATGTGAAAATACTTCTTTGTTTTCGGCATTCACATATTACGATTATTATAAGCCCATAGACATATCGTTTCTTTTCTGGCATCTGGGGTTTTGCCCTGTGAAAGTTATTTTCAACTTTCTATTCGAAGCCGACATCTTTAGTTTATTTGAAACCCATTATGCTTGGTGCCATGCTTTACTGAAGAATTAATGATCTTCAAAGGACCCGCCTGATTCCCTCTTTGTCGCCGTTGAGGGGGTAGTTCCAGTGCGTATGAGTCCATCGTTATGCATTTTTGACTGTTATTCTTTAGGCAATTGGGTGCAGGGGGCGCTTTGACTGCTTCCTTGGTGTACGTACTGATATTCATCGGTACAATTGTCGACGACGAAAACACGGAGGCCGAACCAGACTACTCCAACTTCACCAATGTTACCGTAGGGACGCCCTCTAGCGTTGGACATGTACGCGGTACTTTGCTAGTGCACCTGGCGGAGATTTGCGGAATCGTCCAGGTCGCCCTTGGTATACATTACATTGTGCCGGGTCTTCAGCGCGACATGAAACAGCCGGAGAAAATTACCAAGACTGTCTGTGTGTCGTTTGCATGTGAGTGATCCTCAGACAGACTATTGACTTTTATTATACGTCTTGCAATGTATCATTTTATTATATTTATCTATCTATTTAATTGATTTTTTTAAGCCTGGGTAGCTCATTCAGTAGAATACACTTGTCTCCTTTCGGGCCCAGCAGAGAGCAGACAATGTAAAGAAATTACAGTTTTAGATGTGGGAGGAAAACCCTAGAAGAATATTCTGAGGAAAACCCACGGAATCAAGTAGAGACTGACAATCCAATCCACATTATTGGCACAAGCTGGAATCCAAACCTGGAAGGCAAGGACAGTATCGCTACGTCACCCTGACGTCAAAGTTTCAAGGCAATTAATAATGACGATTTATTAGTTGATAATTAATTTCATTTTACCTAATGCGTTTTTGGTGCGTTTTACGAAGGTTTGTCTCGCTCCGTTTATAATTAATTGAAGGCACTTGAATTCTGGTTTTGTGTGGACATTATTTTGCAGAAATAATCAGAGATCTGTCTCTCTGTTTTTCTTTTTTAATAAACTTGTGCTACACTTGTTTTTGTTGTTGAGGAAGTAAGTGTTTATATAGTAACTTTTATATCTACGACTGTTTATTTTTTTTACCGCCAGACACATTTGCTTTAGCTATACCTGTTCTGATTGTAACGTACGTCTTTCAGCGAGATCGTCTGGCTTACGCGACAGCCGACACCACAGTTCTTGCCGTGTTGACCCCAGGGCCGCTGTCCGTTGTCGCCGCTGCGCTGTTTCTACTCCGTAACATCGTAGCTCTAGTCACAGTTAACAACCCACTCTTCCAATCCATGGAGGAAAGACTAGATATTGCTTCCGGTAAAAACAGTCCAAATTATCTTTGAATAATTTCACAGCGTTTGGAGGTCAGGACATTTGTGATTGAAATCTACCCGCAGCCAATATACCCACTGATCTCTATATGATACCGACTGGATAGCGTGTCGCCCTATGCGTGTGCACAAGACCGTGGCGCCCTTGCACACACGCGGTGGCCATTTTGAAGCCCCCTCAAAGCCCCACAGCGCACGGATCCGTATATAAAAAGCACAGAATTATTGTAGTTTAGGACGCGATTTTGGATCTTCAAACAGGTTTATTTTTTATTCATTTTGCGCACAGTTTTGTTTTACTCACGTTAATATTTGTTTATAATGATATATATATTTTTGTTAATATTTAATTTTATTTTATGTATTGGCATATGCTTCTAGTGGCCAAAGGGAGCGTCAAAATGGCGTCCAGTGACTTCATTCCGCACGGCCCGAAGCGCTGTCCAGTCAGTATAGAGATCAGTGAATATACCGCCATCAATGTGGTCACGTGGTAGTTCAAGGGGAGCATTTCGTGGAATATAATTATGTCCCATCATAATTAGGATGCAATGGCATGATGGGACGTATTCCCTCAGAAATGCACCAGTGAATACCAGGAGACCAGAAAGATGTCGGTGTCCTTAAACAGCTGCGCCCCTGAAAAAAAAAGCTAAAAACTTTGAATAACCCGTTCCAAACACATGTTAAACGCCGTTTTCTTTCGCGAAACTACTTTAAAATTTCTTGTATTTTTTTTTTAAACTCGTTAATTTTTGTTTTATAAAACAAGTAATAAAATACGAATCTGTTCTTTCATATTAACCTTTTCTCTTTCGTCGCTTTTGCGGACGGCGACATGCGCAAAACGGCACGGGACTCAAACGTTTCCCTTGGATTTACAATTTTACATTTCGCTGGCTCATCACATATAATCTAAGCATTTAAGCACAATGTATAAAACTAGGCCTAATTGCTTACAATATAGTACCAGCGAAAATTCTTAGCAAACACTCTACCAAGCAATACGCAACAACATTTTAGTTGCTAATACTTATAACCCAAAATGTCATCATCTCCATGTCCAATCTTTTCTTGTGGCTTTTCTGCTCTAGAGTTTACGTGGAAGCGAGTGGCATTGCGGACTGTCGTGTGTTTCATGCAGCTCTTTATTGGGGAGACTATACCACACTTTGGTGTCATCTTAGCCCTGGTAGGGGGCGTCTGTTACCCCATCCTTATCTTCTTGGCTCCCGCCATTTGTTACCTACGGCTTCGAAACATCCACACACCCGAGAAGTACAAAGAATCCAAGTAAGTCACGAAAGGTGGACTGACAGATAGACCGACCTCATTATTTTGTTTTTAACTCGTATGTTCTTTTGGTTACAAGCTTCACGATGGAACCAGATCCAAATGCGAGTGGAGCGACAGACCGCCTTAACGATTGTTTGTCGACTGATCGATATTATTGTGATCGCCATTTTGAACTGTCCAACTGACGGAGTGATGCGATTCGGGCGTTTCACAATGACCATCAAGAGTCCATTTTTCAAGTTTACGGTAAACAAAACACGGCCGATTGGAACGAGTACTAGAAGACAACTTGAGCTAATTTTTTAAGGATTTGGGCAAAGCACCATGCCACCGTTCAAAAGGGCATAGCGATACTCGGATCATATGCTTACAAAACTACTGACCGGACAAAGTAACGATTTAAAATAACCCGCGCTGCGAATTTATTCTCCCACAATACAATGGGGGAAATGAACGCTCCGTGGCAACTCTTGGTGGCGCACTGCATTGTGAAACGCCCGAATTGGTAGCTGGTTGACCCTTTAGGGGTACAGACAAGTAAATCGGTCCGAAATTGCCTACGCCGGCCAAATCACGATTTGCATGCCCTCAAAATCTTCAGTATTTGAGCATGCTGTGGGCCATGAACTTGAGGGTTTGTAAAAAATATCGGTGGAAGCCGTGCACAGGACTGGGAGCTTGCAGTTCTGTGTAATTTGGATGTAATTTGCAACCTAAAAGCGCTCTATTTTGCAATGAAATGTAGGCATCGTTTTTCAAAATGGCGATGGGCTTCAGGACAATTTTCAGGGGTGATCATCTTCAGATGGAAATTTCTCCTAAAAGTCATCAGTTGACCCCCAGAAAATTGAAAAGAAAATGAAAGATGATGAAATAAGTTTTAATTTGATGTGTGTCTCGAACACCTTGGAGAGTTGTGAGTATTTTTCCCGAATTTTTGAAGTGGGAGCATTTACCATTGAGGTCTATGGAAGTTTATTTACTGGTCTGCTACCTTAGAATCGGTTCAACAATGATGTCCATTCAAAGTTTGTACTGGTAAAAGCCTACATGCCCGTATTTCTAAACAAAATTCAGAGTCTAGCCAGAATTGATTGAGGATTACGTATAGGAATGAACACCTAAGCCATCTGAAATTGGTTCCACATTACACCAACGATATTAAGATGCATATTGGTATTCTTTTCTATTATACAGAGCAATATGGATACTGGAAACAGCCGTCTGCTGGCTGATTATCGTGATCACGCCCATCATGGCGGTGGTAATACTGTACGTAATGGGAACAGGCATATTCCAAGGCAAAACAGTCTTCACTGTTCCGTGCTTCATCAATGCCACACTAGCTCACGAATAATAAAGAATGCTTGAACGCCATATGGTAACCATTTCAACCATTAGTACACGCATGCGCATATTCTTTTGAAGCGTCGTGGTTATAATTATGAGCAGAGATCCGACGAACGTTTCATGGTTAAAATCTCCAGGTTAGCGTGAACGGCATTGCTCACAAAAAGGTGAACATTACAGTATTATATGTGTGGCTGGGTCTTATTGATTATCTAACTATAAACAAATCTTACATAAATTCTAATCGTAACGAAATTAGAAACTAACAACATGTATTGACATTCCTTTAAAAAAAAACTGAAACAAAATGTAATTATATTGCTGACTGACACGCCTTGTTTTAATTAAAGTGCACATTACTCAGTTGAGAATTAGCATAACATTGTGATTTATTTATTTATTTATTTCATTTCTTTGCCCAGAGTATGCCCAAACAGTTCAAAACTGGTTTCCATTATGGCCCTGCATACAATAAAAATGACAACAAACATTTGTATAAACACAACGTAACGCAACGCAACGCAACGCAACGCAACGCAGCGCAGCGCGACGCAACGCAACGCAACGCAACACAACACAATGCAATACAGGAAATTCATGGGTATTTCGAACCAAATTGAACTTTTTCCTTCCAAACCTAACCTTTTAATTGACGTTGTTAGATGGTCGTTTTTTTTACTTGAATATAATATACATGTACGAGGTTTAACTGAAAAAAGGAGAAAAATAGTTTGACAATTGCCGTGCCCGCTGAAGCAGATCGATGTCACAGGCGTAAAAAAGTATCCCCCCTTATTCTTTTTTAGATTCACCCCGCAAACCTTTATTCTGATTCAAAGCATCGTCTTGAATATTCATTTTCATTGACCAATCACTTTCGCCGTTACCACAATAGAGATTCGGAATACGGAGCGCGGCCCGCGTTAGCGCCATTCCAATGCTAACCGGAGCCTAGGGAACACCTTGTCCTAAACTGAGCTTCCCTTTCCCGTATTTTCATCTTTCAGGTAATTATTTTTATTAATTATATTATTCACTTTCCATGGTTGCTTTAGTAAGATTCAATCTTCATGTAATCGTGTTGTATTTTTAAGATTCCTATTAATGATTGTAATTTTGTAAATATTCTAAGTGATTCCAATGATAACCGGAGCCGAGGGAACACCTTGTCCTAAACTGAGCTTCCATTTCCCGTATTTTCATCTTTCAGTGTGAGAATAAATCACCACATCAGAACTGAGAAGTCGAGTCCTCTTCCCCTTTATTACTGACTCTTATTATATCAAGGGTCACATCTATACTGAACATATTAAACCTAACCATACATTCTCGCTACATAAGAGAAATGTTATCATGTACTCATGATAAAAGTATATAAATTTGTATAATTGAAGTTTAAAATAAATTCTCCCCGACTTATTTGATCGTATTCATGCGGATAAAATACACCCTTTCACCGACAGGCTATACAGAAACTAAATCGCATTTAGTTAATAAAGAAACAAAATTACAGCCCACAAATTTTGGTTTATCGTTGGAGCGTCGAGCGAAGAGGCGGATCTGAATGGAGCATTTGTGCGTTATAACGGGACAAAATTTATATCCAGTACAAGTAATAAATTAAATGGACGCCTCCATCTCAGTCCGGTATATATTGACATTAAATTTCCACGGACATTAATTTCTTTATTAACAATGGTAGGCCAATGTTAAGATGGATCCAACTGTTTCCGAAACTGCAAATTTTATGACTGTGTAAGCCCATTAAAGCAGGGGCGTAAATCCGGGGGGGGGGGGGGGGGTCGGGGTATATATCCCCCACTTTTAGACCAGGGGATGGGCTATTGAATCATCCCCATTTTTTCTTGTTGAGAGAAAAATGCGGATTTTGAGGTATATTTCCAACATCCCAACAACTAAAATGTATTCACTGGCACCGATACTGTTGAATGTCCGGACCTCATCGGATCTCTGAAATGTCACCTCCCCTAGAGTAGTAAGTTATTTGTGGTCATTCCTTGCTAGTTGTGTCGGAAAGCGCGCCGCATCTGTGTGACTTTACATCAAATATTTATTACATGTATACATTGTATACATTGTTATACATTTGGGCTCGTGGCGGGCGTGCCAGGTTTTCATTGTTGTATAAAGTTGCCACACATTTTGGCATGCGGTTCAACGAGTCCTTGGCAGCGCACGTGGTACGTGTAGTTGTCTACTAGCATTCTGATTGGGATCGCTTGTTGTCAGTGCAAGGCGGACATGAAATGGATCTTGATATATTGAGCCGAGCCAAGAGGGTATGTCTCCATGTGTTCTTATAGTAGCTTAAATGTAATAACATTTGCTTTTGCTGTAATTTTCAGAACTGGACGGATTTGGGGGTTGGTATAGTTTATACCTATTGTTGCTACACTGACCTGTTGTGTTCATAAATGCTTGAAAAACCACGTAAAAAGTGCTGTTCTTGTAGTCTGGTTCCCTGATCCTACTTCAGAAATGTATAGACATATCGTGGAATTGCCGGGTCAGGGAACCTTGAAAATGACAGCACATCAGGTGCCGTGATTTTTCACTTGCAGTATAGTAAGGTATTTCATAATAATTTGGTAGTTTTGTTTCTTGATATGTTCGCAAATGTTTTATTATACCTTAAAGAGTATAGTATTTCGATTTATTATTTTTTTTCTCAAAATAAACACCCGCCAACTCTTTAATTCCCTACGACCAGACAAATAATTAGAATGTAAACTACTCATTACCAATATGCGAATTAAGATAAAGAAATCATTTTCCCCGGGCAAAGAAGAAACTAAAATAGGGGGAAAAGATTCTGAATATAACCCATGGGAATGAAGGCTGAAAGGCGTCGTGGGTAAACTTTCACCTTGGTTCTGAACAATAAATCACTTGATAATAAAAAACAGGTTCTTTTCCCTGAACTCCCATCTTCTTTTCATCAAAAACTTCCTCCGAGTTGACGGTTTTCTTGGTTCAATACATAATGAATTGAACGTTGGGATTAATTGCACAGCTTTTTTTTTTTTTCATTCCAAGTTGTGTAGACCATTGGATCCCTGACAACCACCTTACTTCGTAAATTATGTAATCTAACCGCAGGTTTTGAAGTATTTTTATTCCCCAAATTTAACAGACATTAAATTGAACAAAATTGTGACAATTATGTAATGTATGTTTCAAATTGACTTGATTATATACTGAAAGCTAATCTAAATGACTACAGAAAGGCTAACCATTTTAAGTACTGCAAAATTGTAAAAATCTCGGAATATAAACATGGTGTCGCTATGAGGTGGACAATTTTAATTAACAAAAATGCATTGTAGGCCCCATGGAAACTATATTTAAGATATCATTGTTTACAATTTTACTAGTGCAGTGGCGGATTTGGGGGTGCGCCAACCGTTCAGAAGGTTGACTAATGTTATGATATATTTTGTACTAGTAAATGGGGCCAACGTTAATAAATGAAATGCTTGAGTTCTTAATTTTATTCTCAAATAGCCTTACAATGGAGAACAAAGCATTACAGATTTCAAACTTTTCCCAGAAGCATATTACCCCCGTTTCCTGAAAGCTATATCCGCCCCTGGCTTGCATGAATCGAGGCAAGTTTCTTTGTACAGGACAAGTACAGAGTATTATTCTTAGTAAAAAGAACGTATATGGTCACTTGCCAAAATGTCATACAATTTACATTGCTTGTTATGCTTTCTCTCTGGTTTTTCTCCTGTTTTTTTTTATTAGCCCATATGTGAGCAATCAACTTGGGGCCCTGGCATGGCCTTCAACGGTAAAGGCACAACTGACCGAGTACCAGTGCAACGATACCAGCAAGTGATGTCAGCAACCCGCCTTGAGGGGTACCAGCTCCATTTTCGGGTGTTATCGCTGGAGGTCGCACTTCGGGCTGCTCCTCTTTTGGGTACCAGTCTCCACCACAGCGAGGTAGATCGTTTGGCAGGGGAGGGAGATCATCGTCTGATCCCACGTGGATGACAAGGGACATGCCAGACTGTTAACAATTAAAAAGAGGCATCAGGCAAAGTTATACAATTTGTGAAGGTAAGTAGTGAGTTAAGCACACAAGGTTATGTTATTAAGGTCTTCATGTGCCATCCTCGATTCATATTTGTTCGAACTAACCTACCCCCTTAACCCAATTTTTTTTTATAAAGAGTCTACACACGACCAATCGAGTTAGCTTTTCATTAGATTTGCAAACATTCAAGATCATTTTCGAAGTTGGTAATTCTAATTTTGAGTTTAAAAATACTGAGCTAGACGGAGATCGTACAACGAAAGACACTGATTACTGGGTGAATTGTCAATCTCGTCACTCAGTAAGTTAAACGCTGTTGTTTGAACAGTCACAGACGGTAAAAAAAATCCATCCTCTTCCCCTGCCATGCCTTTTACATGGGCTAGTCACTAACAGTCATATCATATTTCAAGTATGCACTGTGACTAGTCAAATTCAGTCAACAGGCAAAGGCAAGCAAGAAGTAGGCACGGCTGGCGCATCAATCACCTACAGTCAAAACATAGCTGTATAACATTACATAAACAGTCACAGCCAGTCAATCTTGCTTATGTAGGTTAGGAGATTTTAAATGTTGGAAAAAAGTCACGTTGATTTTGACTGAAAGGACAACCTTGCACCAAATGTATGTTTGCATAGGAGGGGTAATTTTTCCACTCGCAATACGAGAGTCAACAAGGTTTTGTTTTTGTAGCCGGGATGGGAGGGGTGGTGAAATCCGGGCGATTCACAATGTTGTGCGCCACCAAGAGTTTGTCATGGAGAGTCCATTTTTGAAGTTCACGGTCGACAAAACACGGCCCGTTTGAATGAGTGTCAGTAGACAACTTGAGTTAATTCTTTATAGATTGGGGCATAGCGTTCTTCCGCCTTACAAAAAAAAACACCATGTTGATAAAAAGAAAAAGGAAAAAATAATACTCGAATCATACGCTTATGAGACAACTGACCCCCCCCCCAAAAATTCAAACTTCCCGCGCTGAGAATTTGTCGACCATCTCCCACAAGGCACTGGGAAAAATCAACTCTCCTGGCAAACTCTTGGTGGCACACTGCACTGTTAAGTTTCTTGTTACCAAAAAGTGGATTTCCACATGGCAGTGGAAGAGCCACCAGCCCGGGTTGTCTGCCAAGAAGCGAATCACGACGTAACCCCCGTCTGGTACCGGTACGGTATCCTTCACCGGCGCTCGCTGCGTTCGCCGAGTGATGTTCCCTGTTGTCAAAACATACAAAGTCACAGGACTTTTAAACAACTGGAAGGCAAATTTGATGCTAAACCAGCCAGGGCTGAGTGTTATCGAATTGGCAGCATGCTGTGAGGTAGAATAACACCGTGATACTTTTTGTTTTAGTTTGGATGTTGTCTGTTTATTTTTCATGACTTTGGTACTCAAGGGAGCTCGGGTTATTACAAACTGTAAATTCTGTCCTACTGGACTTGTGTACAAGGAGTAAGAGTTCATTTTGAGACTTCCACAAGCCAACCCGTCAAATTTACTTCAGCGAAATCTCGAGCAGATGTCATGCAAACGAGGACATCGTTTGTTCCTGCATGGAAGCGGTTTTCTGCCATGAGTGTGCACACTTCGTAGTGAGCAGCCGGTATTATGCTTGTTCAAAGCATTGAGTAGCCGTCGGAGATATACCTAGCACGATATGTGACAGAGGGGTCTCCCATCTCCTTATACACTAATATGACCAACAGATATGACCAACACAAAGAGGGGGGGGGGGGGGGGCTGTGTCACATATCGTGCTGAGAGGGATTTTGTGTTAATATCATTCAGTAACAAATAATTGCCCAAAACGTGTACTCGTGCATAATTCTGCGGGAACATACATACACGCCTCAAAGATACTGCAAGGCAAATGTCCACAGAGGCTGCTTTGTCGATGTCCTGCAGAATGTGTTAAAGGAAGGGGAGTTTCTCAAAGCCAGTGTTGCAGTCGGGTCCAGCACAAGTCATCACAAGTCATCCAGTCCCAAATCAAGACATTAGCCAATCAAATGAACATTGACAAAGGCTTTGCTTGGTCATTGTTCATGCCCTGTTACTCGTGAAGGGAATGGCGATTTACTTTGTGACCGGACTCGTTACAGACTCGACTACAGACCTGCTCTTTATATTAACCTGCTTGATCGAGACGGATCACCTCTTCCACTGTCGTGCTCTCGCCAATCTTGCCGCGGGCCAGGACATGGAAGTTGTAGCCGTGGATGTGCATGGGATGGTTGTTCTCAAACAACCCCTCGTCTACCAAGACAAGCTCGACCACCTGCGTGAGAAGATTTAGGATGTGGCTATTATTTTATCGACACTTTCGGCATAATGATGTCCCCTTTAGATGCCAACACTTGCTAGATTTTGATGGTTGCACTCTATTGCAAAAAACAGTTTAACCAAACTCTTCTGTTTAAAAAAACAACAACTTAAGAATAGCCGAGTGGCATGTTTTGTAAGACAGCTACCCTAAGGTGCAAACATTATTCGTCTTTCCAACTCATCTTGAACCCTCTGCAAAAAGGAAGGGTCTTTGGATCTCTAACCAAGGTAAATGTTGTAGTCTCATTATCTATATAATATATAAACACATCATGAGCGAGAACTGTGGCGCACGTGATGATGATGGATAGCCCGTTTCTATACTTTGTATTCCTCTCCCCTAACCCACCAAAAATGCACCATAAGAAATGTTGACGAGTATTTAAAGATAAACAAGTTAACCTAGTAGCCATTATGGTTTTTTGTAGCAATTATACCTGTCCTAGGTCCACCTCAAGGACATGCGTACATTCGCAGAATTGCTCCTTGCAGTGATCCTGCATAGCCCGAGTACTCTCGAAGGTGCAGATTTCGAATTCGGAGATCTCGCGAGACTGGGTGAGGAGCGGAACCACGGGGGGCCTGAAAGTGACGCGGTTGATCTGCGGGGTCGGTATACCAGTGAAGACGGATGGGTCCCCCGGAGCGCCGTAGGCCGGGTTGTAGATGGGATTGTTGTAGTTGGGGTTGTTCACCTCCTTGAAATCCAGTCCTATGTAGTGGACCACATCGGCATTGCCAATCGCGTCCTCGCCTCCTGAAAATGACCAGGAAATTGTCGTTTAAAGGTAATACAGACATATTTAGTTTCTCCCCGGTGTTATAGTATGGCATTTTCCATGCACGGTTCGAGGACCGTATTACAGTTTGAAGTACATTTTATGGGCTAATAGGGGTCCAAATTCACCGAACTAGAAGTTTAGCTGTCTATCAAATTTAGGTTGTAAAGTGGTCGGAAGACTTCAAACAGCAAATACTTGTGCTTGCTTACTAGTCTCGATGACAGACTGATTGGTTATCCATGCCCTGCGGTGAGGCCAGCTAGACTCAAGGATTTCGTAAAACAAATACGTGGTTCTTGTCAAAGGCCTGGAGTTTGGTGAGGATACTTAGGGCCAATAGTTCAACTCTGGTTAGAAGGTCTCTCACCACTTTTTTTGGCTTTGTTTGAATGAGGAACTTGTGAAATATGAAATTTTCCAACAAATGTTGGAGTAATTACGAAATTAGTGCAAAACGGACTACACTTTTTTTTATAACACTGCTTGTGCGGGAGGTAGACCATTGGTCATTAAAAGAAACGTATCGTTCCGAAATATCCCTAGGCTTTGTTTTCTAGTTTCATTTTCGAATTTACATTTCGTTTTTTTGTCTTTTCTCATTTTGTCTGGATAATTTCGTCAATCTACTGGCAACAGTAATGGCATGTGCTTACCGGCTGAACTCAGCTCATGGACGTTCACGACAGAATTGGAGCTCTTTGTGTTAAAGGGATTGAGCTGAACCCCCGATGGTTGGGGTCTTTCTTCCGGCGGATCGGGATGACCCTCCGCCCCATCGTAGACCACGAGTGCCAATTCCTCTAGGTGCTTACAGGCACTCCGTCCCTTGACTCTCAGCCAGTACTTGCCGACCTCCCGTTTGGCGTCCAGGACAAAGTCGTACCGTTCGCCGCTTGTCAGGCCCACGGAGCCCACCTCCAGCGGTTCCACAGGTGCGCCGTCGCTGGCGATGATTGTGAGATTGTGGCCGTCGACAGAGACTTCCAGCAAGCATTCCATCACGATATTGCTGACAGTGCGGAAACGGTACCTCTGTCCCTGCTGGACGTGAAAGACGTGCCGAGGTACATAGACGGTGTCGTTGGAAGCTTCGACCGGGAATCCCAAGGAGCTTCCCCTTCCGTTGATCAGAAGAGACTCCGAGCTCAGTTTTGCGTAGTCAGCGCGGAGGTAGACCCTGGCGTAACGGTCGATGAAAAGCTCGTCGAGCCAATCCTGGAGGATGAGAAGATGGTCCGGTCGGTCTTGGTCGTACATGCCGCTGTGCACCTCGTTCGGGGCTGCCTGACGGACAATCAGAAAGCCGCTGGCGCCGTCAACTCGCTGGACCCCGTGCGCGTGCCAGTAGAAAGTCCCCGCCAACTCTGCCTTGAATTTGTAGGTGAAGCTGGACCGGTAGGGGATGGGACACTGGGTGACCAACGGGACCCCGTCCATGTGGGGCGTTCCTCGTTGGTGGATGCCGTGCCAGTGGATAGCCACACTCTCGCCGTTGATTAGGTTGTTCTGGACTTTCACTTCAATGGTGTCGTGTTCACAAACCTTCAGATATCGAGTATGATTATACAAGTCAAGCCATAATTGGAAAAGAATAACACTTGCGCATTCAACCATGGGTTGATGAGAGAATTTACAAATGGAAGAAAGGGATTTTATCACGTCTACTTTTTAAGAACAATCTACATGTAAGGCCACACACAAAAACTCGGTCTCTGGTCAGCGCGCGCGTGGATTTTAATCATGCGCGTCAACCTTTTTTCCCTTCAAATTAACGCGTAAGCTACAACAGCGCCCTCTATTGCTGCGCCTCCTCAAATGTTTGTACCAAGGAGCACCAAGGAATGGGGAAATTGCACCAAGGCAAATGATAAAGGGCACCAAGGCAAATTATGGAGGACACCAATGTATAAATGAGGACACAAAAAACCAAAATAGTACCCACCTTGTCTGTACAAACAAGCTTGAAAAAAAAGCCACCAAAAAAAAAAAAAAAACCGCGTCGCCGCATCAATTCCGGAACTTCGGTCTGACCAGAGACCGACTATTTTTTTTGGCCTAACTAATGATTTGTATTCGGTTCAATCACAATTCATAAGCCAGACCTCAGGTCCGGTCCTGAAGGCCAGTATGAAGAAATTAGTTTGTCACAACAGTTCAGTTTGTAATTCGACCTAAGCCTGGATGACTTGTAACTAACCTGTACTGCAGGATGTAGCTAAAGAGTTCATATATCGACAGATAAATACTCTTGATGTTTGGTGCAGTGTTTTAAAATTTTTCAACCTGCGTTGATTAAAATGTCAAATCCCTCGATTCCGATTTTCCATTTTGATCACATAAACACGGGACTTTCACAGGGAAGACTGTGATGTTTGCAAAATTTGTTATTTTTGGCAAACAAAAAAACGTGGTCATATGCACCGTGCATTTTATTTGTGCCAACCAGGCAGTACATTCAGTAGTCTCGCAACATACCTGAATACTGGGGCCGGGAAACATCTTGTTGACTACCGTTATCGCCCGTGGAAATCCGTCCGCGGGAATACACTGTGGACGGGAGCAGTGGGTCTGGTTGTGAGGACAGTCCATGCAGTCGGTTGACATGGTATGAAACCACTCAATGGTGAAGTCATAGCGGCAGATCTTGGGCCTTGGTGGCCACTCGCATGTTCGCAGGCACTCGTGAGTCTGCACCGCTGTCGATTGTTTAAAAAAAATTAGACTGAATAAAATTGATACTTGGGAAAAGTGCACAATGTGACAAGGAAGGAAACCATGCCTTATTGCAAAAGCAATTTCGGCAGCATCCTTCCATCATTAAATGAGCTTTTATTGACTATTCAATGTTTTTGGATGGTGTTTTTGGAAACCGTGATAATTATTAAATTGTTTTTCAATGGCTGTCCATTGACCGTAACAAAAGAAAGGTATATACACGGTATTTAGAGGCCTAATGATAGAATCTGACGGCATTTCTGGCATAATCTAAGCTGACGGTTGTGTGCTAGAGGTTATATCAGCGATGTGTAAAAATAGAAGGCACATGGAATAGAACGGTAGAAAATAAAGTGAAGTGAAGTGAACAACAACAAAAAAAAAACACGGTAGACTGTTACGAACTAAACCCTTCACATGCACCTTTCCGTACCCCCACCACCAATGGTACGTCCCGTGCCCATTGAACAGCGTGAAATCGTCCCAGAATTTTGTTGACCCCAACTTATTTTCCTCGGTGAATCGGTTCACTGGCGCCCAATTCAAACCATGACCAAAAGAGGTGAATCAACGGGGGCGTTGTATTATAGTCAGACTTGTACCTGCAGTTGCTCTTTTGTTGTACGTTATAGAAGTGCAGTTCACCTGCTGCACCCATAACCATTTTTACATAATGTACATGGAAATGTTGAGCTACAGTGTTATTGGAAATGCCACTGGAGGCAGGTTTTTTATGGGAGGAACGGTAACATTCAATACTTAGGTTGGCCCGGCACGGGGACACCCCTCCGCGATCCTTACGTTCGAAGACTTAATTTTATCCCTCCACCTTGTGCCCTTCGGCTCCCATCGGAATTCAGGGGAAAGAATAAAATATAAAAAAATATAAAATACTGTATGAAACATGTGGCGTGTCCCCTACAGTTAATGAGGTCAAAAGTGATTCTGCTGCAATTAGCCCCTAGTTACGTCACTGGGAGACAGTACATTTTGAAATGGTGATCAAGTGACAAACAAATACTGTTTTTCCTTTCATATCGAGGTCTACCCACTTACCGAGAGAAAAAGTCTCATTTTAGTTGACGGTTGTTGATGGCATTTAGTGATATTCATTCAATGATATAAGTCCTATGATATGATATCATAATGACATCATATGATATCATAATGACGTCATGATATACATAAAGACGTCATCATATACATAATGATATCAATAATGTGTATATGGCACGTGACCACTACATGTGATTTTTGTATACAATAACATGACATTACCACTGGGTGTTATTTGCTCATTGCGAATGTGTATAACTGGTTGTGCTCAGTGCATGTATTCTACATTTTATTTTCATCACTGACAGAAAGTCATTGCTCACCTGTAGCAACCTGCAGTTGCGGCACGAGCAGAAGGCTAGCAAGGCCCAGCAGGACTGGGCAAGGACACAGCAAAGACATTGTCATCATCTTTTAGCACGCCGGTCAGTAGACTTCCTTCCAGAAGGTAAGAGTCGGTTATTATGAAAGTAAACCATTTAAACAAAATTGTGATTTTCGTTTGACCCGGACAACAAATTAATCTCCCCCGTTAAACTCGGTTCCTCAACGCTCAATAGGTATGTTTTGGATATCGGATTGAAGCTGAGAGTTTTTTCTTTCAAATACTAAAAAAAATCATGAAAACACTAGCACATTGGGTTGTTGAGAAAATACCAATTACATATCAGCGACAACTTTGGGTGAACCGTAGTTGTCAGTAAGCTTTTTGACATAGGCCTAGAGTAATGGCGGTGATGGCAGTAGTATATTTTATTAGATTTCATAACAAAAGTAACATGACATTTTCATTCACATCAGGAAATATCTTCAGTTACATATCAATATTAATGGCATAAACGTACGCATATACGCTTCACCTACCTGTGTTGACAAAAACACCCGAACCCTAGCACAACCAGATCTAGTTTTATTTGTGAACAATGAAAGTGGGATTTTGCCCGTAAAAGTGCAAACGATCAAACGAAATAGCTCTGCATGCCGCAGTACATTGAATCACTGAGTGTTGGGGCTCGCGGTACGACGCACTCAGGCATATCAAGCAAACTGGGACAAAAGGCAAGTCGAATAATTCATAATCAGTTTTAAGTGCGATATATTTTTTTCCCGACAGATCTTTTTAAAAAGTGTTGTTGAGGTCGGTTGGTTCAGGTCAAGTGCACTGCACTGGCAAGTCACCCTTCGTCCAATAGATTACCCTGAACTAGGTTTTTAACTATATGTTTACAGGACTGATAGTATCAGTCATGGTCACACAGACATGTATGCCGGATACAGACGCAGTTCAGGGACTTGATACGACTTTTCACTATACTTGCGAATGAAACGCATACATGTACAGACACATCCCTTGCAACTGCAAGGTGCATGTACATTTTCGTGTACCAAATTCAACAAAATAATTATGGTCAGTGACATTGCGTTTCTCATCAAGCGGTTCTCGGACTATACATGTACATTTCTCTCTGTCCTCTAGGGATATTGTTAAATAGACCCCTTATACTTAGCGCCCTCACTTAAGACAAATTTAATGCAACAAAATTAATATTCATCATGTATAAATGCCGAAGACAGTTTACCCAATCCTTTTGGTCGAGAGCCCGTCACGTGGCCGGTTTTAAACGGTTGATAAAGACATGGTGGGCTGCTCTTAAAACATTTTTCAGTGTCACGTGAAATTTAGACTCACGGTGAAATCCGGTGCCAGCACCGTCGGTTGTACCGTCACAATCCTCACGAAGACATGCGCAATGCTACCAGTGAGTCAGTATTTCATAGTCCTAAATTCACACTACACCATTACATCTGCGGTCTGCGCGACATCACGCAGTACACGCGACGCGCGCGCCAACCTCCATATAAGGAGTTGTTAACCAGATAGCCGTACCATTGTATAGCTGGAGGGGCGTTTTGTTGAATACAATCGTTGGAAATTTATAATCTTTGACTTTTTTTAATATCCTTTTAACCACCATTCCCTCCACATCACATCTGGTTATATGAATTAATAACAATGATCACACATCAATAATTTTTTATAATGGTACTAAATGTAATACTAGCGTTACATCCGTCAGCAAATGATACTTATAATTCCTATTTTGAAATCCCAGTAATTAAATAATGACAAAATACTTTACTTAAAAATGAATAAGAAATAAGAAATAACCAAAGTTGTAAAAAAGGCAAAAATCTACTATCTACTACCCACTTTACCTACGAGACTGTCTCAATAGACTCTCGTTTGAATTACAACCAATTTAAATGAAGACAAAGTGAAATATAGGGGTCAGTTTGCATAATATATTTAACAGGATACTCCCTATTTGGGATCAACGGTGATGCGAACAAAGTGGAAGGACTGCCATGGTGCCATCTCTAAAACGACTTTGAAAAGAGTGGCAGCATGACACTGGCGAAGACGCAAACCAAAGCCGGGATCCCTGTGCGGTCTTGGGCGATGGCAGCGCTGTTAGGCATCGCGGTGGGTGTAAGGCCCCCAGTCATCGGGTCCTCTTTCGGGTACCAGTCTCCACCGCACCTCGGTAAATCCTGCGGTATCGGTGGAAGATCGTCATCCGAGCCCACGTGGATGACCAGCGACATGCCGGCCTGCATGCAAACAAATCAAAACAGGTTAATATTTCCTGGATTCTTTAAAACAGCATCCGCATCTATGGATTATGTTAAGATGTCAGAGAGTTTGTAAGATGAGCTGTATGTTGAGTGGTGTAGTTTTCCGTATTGGTATGGTCGTCTGCACCCTTATACCGAAAAGCACTTCCCCGTCCTTCCACACTGACACACCTGATATCAGTGCAGATCCCAACTCTGCCCAACGCCCAACTCAAAATCTTGGTCTTGATAGTGAACAGTTTTCAGGTCTTATTCTGCCATTAAACTGTTGGATCCAGTTTCTTGACGAGATTAGGAGTGCGCCACTACAGCACTCGAAAGGTCGAGTTCAAATTATGTTCACCATTTTTCTATCGGGTGAGGACGAGCCAAAAAATCATGTTAATAGCCAAGATCTACTCTGGTGTGACAGGAGTCAGGTAATATGGCCGTGTAGATCTGGATCGAGTATTCGGACCAACGGCTTCATCTGTCGACGGCAGGTGCCCACAGAGCTGTAATTGCAGAAGACCAACGTCAATAGGCATAAATATGTGCTTCAGACGCAGTCTAATAGCCTAAGGATCATCTATCAGCTTCTGTCAGTGAAGTTTGATCGAAGACAGTTGGTTGACTGGTGGTTGACTTGTAACTTCAGTTGCGCCTGCGCACTGAACATTAGACCAACGACGAATAAACGAATCTCGGTCGTGAAAAGACGAAAAAGCTAGCTCAACTATCGCGTTGACCAGCTTGCGTTCAATGAAGGTTATTTTGTCAAACTGGTCCGTGATCAAATTCTCTCCCCGTTTACAAAGAAAAAACATATTTACCAGCATATGTAATTCCACGTGGCAGTGAAAGAACCACCAGCCGGGGTTATCTGCCTTGAAGCGAACCACGACATATCCCCCGTCCGGGACAGGGACCGTGTCCTTCAGTGGTGCGTTTAGGTATCGTCGAGTAATATTACCTAGAAAAAAGCGGTATACATGTATATTTTAAATTCATGTTTCCTGTACAAGTGACTGCATTTCGGTTTCCTTTAAAAAGTCTTATTTCTCATTACTTCTTACGTGAGGGTCAATACCAAACATGACATGTTAAGGCGCTCAGTGATGTGTTATGGGTGATATTTATACAAAAGATTCACATGCAGGTTCTTGAACAGAGCGGCCGCTGAGAACCTATTTTGATTTTAAATTTAAGCGACAATGTACTCTGTGAAGGGGTGTATCATTCCAGCCCACCTGCTTCATCGAGGCCTTTCACTTCATCAACCGAGGTCATATCTCCGAGTTTGTCCATGGCCAGAACCTGGAACCGGTAGCCATGGAGGTGCATTGGGTGAGAATTATTGAGCACAAGGCCGTTGTCGATCAACACCAGCTCCACCACCTGCAGAAACAAAATCTCTAAACTGAGGGTAGATGTCAAATGGAGATATCTTACAGAAGGGATACAGGAAAATGTCTTGGAACACAAACACCATGTTCCTCGCTAAACGAACATCCCCAAAATATTTTTTTCCCGTACTCGTCACTATCTTTCACCTTTCTATATTCAGAATCTCTATAAGACAGTGTCACATTTGAACTCAAATTGAGTACTTTTGTCACATCTGTGGTGGTGCTCCCAAGTTTCTTCGACAAAATTCAGTCAAATGTCATTTGTCTTGTCAACGATGACAGCCTCACCAACTCGCTCCGGCCTCTGTCCCACCGACGCTGTGTTTAAGTCTTTCACCGTTAGTACTTTGGCCACTAATCACAAGAACAGAAATCAATCATTTCCAAATCTCACGCACATGTTCGTTCTACAAGATCTACGTCACCCTCTTCACAGTCTTAATAACGGAGTTCTCGCACTCATCCTCCTCATTGTTCGCACATCCAATTGTGTAACTCTCTACCACCTTAATCGTGCTCCCCACGATCGCACAACCACGGTCTTTCAAGAGCTTTACCAACAAGCTCGATCTCTACATTCCTAGTCTCATGTCATGTGTCCAGAGTCATGTTGGACTATACATTGGTGCTTCCTGCCGTTTCTTGACAGTATCTATCGATCATGACTCAGACACCGTCTAACAAAATGTCAAAAGACCATTGAAATACAGACGGTGGTATTCAGAAACCTGTATTTGTGCTTACCTTTCCAAGTTCAATCTCGAGGACATGTGTGCATTCGCAATGATGGATACGGCAGTGCTGCTGAGCAGCCTGCGTGCTCTCGAAGCTGCAAAACTCGAACTCGGAGACCTCGCGCGACTGCGTCAGAAGTGGCTTCGTCGGGGACTTGTAAGTCACGTGATTGAGCTGCGGGGAAAGAGGTCCCCTGAAGGTGGACTTGTCCCCGGCCACTCCAAAAGTAGGATTGTAGACCGGGTGGTTGTAGTTGGGATTGTTTATCAACCCCAACTGAGAGCCAATATAGTAAACAACATCAGTTGTTTCTTCGCCAGTCCACGTGTCATCTCCTGCGATAGAAGATTTTTAAACCAACAAAAAACAGCAAGATTTACTTATTGATGCAATATCGGCAAGTGTGTTTATTAAAAAGTCTTTATCCTATCCCTTCGTGAAACGATTTCAAACTTTTGAGATAATTGATAGAAGTAAAGTCAAAACAATTCCTTACTTGTCGTCTGATATTCAATAAGTATACATCAAACTCTAATGATAAAAAGATGTTATGGCGTCTTCCCTGAGACTTACCGATTGCTATCAGCTCATTCGTGGTCACAACACCCGGTGAGCTCTTCATGTTAAAAGGGTTTAGCAAAACGCCCATCTGGCTAGGCGTCTCTTCTTCAGGCGGGTCTGGAAGACCATCTGCCCCCTCGTAGATAAGCAAGGCCAATCCCTTCATACCCGCACAAAATTCCCGTCCCGTGATTCTCATCCAATACTTGCCAACTTCCTGTCTTGTGTTCAGGACAAAATCGAATCGTTCACCGCTCGACAGGCCCAATGCAGCGACCTGGATCGGTTGGAACGGCGCGCCGTCGCTTGCAATGACAGTCAGATTGTGTTCATCGACGGAAACCTGAAACGTGCACTCCAAGCCGGCGTTGGCGATTACACGGAAGCGGTACCTCTGATTTCGCTCCACGTGCACTTCGTGACGGGGCGTGTAGATGGTGTCATTGGACACTTCGTGGACAAACTTCGCATGCCGCCCCTCCCCGTTGAACATTAAGGTGTCTGGAGTGTCGTCGAAGCCGTGAAGGAAGAAACGGATGTACCGCTCGATGAAGATTTCATGGATCCAGTCGTGTACGAAGATTACGTGTTGGGCTAGGTCGTGGTCGTACAGGCTGCTGTGGACGTCGTTGGGGGCGGCCTGACGAACGACTAACGATCCAAAAGCACCGTCGGGTAACTGAGCCCCGTGAACGTGCCAAAAGTGCGTGCCAACCGTCTCCGCCTTGAATTTGTAGGTGAAGCTGGACCGGTAGGGGATGGGACACTGGGTGACCAACGGGACCCCGTCCATGTGTGGCGTTCCTCGTTGGTGGATGCCGTGCCAGTGGATAGCCACACTCTCGCCGTTGATTAGGTTGTTCTGGACTTTCACTTCAATGGTATCGTGTTCACAAACCTGACAAGTCGATGAGTAAGACAAATAGGAAAACAATACCTTCATTTGCTGGATGCTCTCGAAAATACTTAAAAGCGAGCCATGAAATTAGGTCTTTGTAATGAAATCCAAGGTGAGCACAGTTGTCTTTAAATCTTTGGTCATTCTTGATGAAAAGACGATGTTTCGTGAGGTTTCCTGACGTCAAATGTGTTTAATAAAAAAGATACAAACAATATAATATTCCGGTATAGACCTAGCCACGCTTGTTTATAAAACTAGATGATGGTCAAGGGAAGCAGACTTTATCAGTAAACACAGCATGATATCAGCTGAAAATTGAAATACCAGTGGTTTGAAAGTGTTGGCATACTGTTTAATAATGGGCAAACAATACGGGAAAGATGCGGAGGTATTTGTGTTTCCTACTTTCAAATGGACCTTTATCATGCTTCCACCATTTCAGTCATGCTCCCTGTATCCAATAACAGTATTGAATGATAATGTTTTTGTGCAAAAAGGAACCAGACTTTTTTCCTTCCAGCTTCGTTGCAACACGATAATGGTCTATTGGTGCTTGTCAGCATGACGTCACATACATCATGTGACTTGAAGTACTATGTCCACTTATAAACCATTCATTCATGAGGTTTCAGGATATGTTGATTAGCGTATAGAATGAGCGGACAGCTACCTGAATGCTCGGTCCTGGCAACAGCTTGTTGATCACTATGATGGCACGTGGTACACCATCAGCTGGTATACACTGGGGACGATAGCAGTGGGTCTGGTTGTGAGGACAGTCCATGCAGTCAGTGGACATGGTATGAAACAACTCAATGGTGAAGTCATAGCGGCAGATCTTGGGCTTTGGTGGCCACTCGCACGTACGTAGACATTCGTGAGTGTCCGACCGATATCCCGCTGTCATATCAAACAAAGATAAGCTATAGCATTGCGTCATTTTGTCAATTGTCAACCGAAAGGACTTTAGTGCTCTTAAAAAAATCCTTTTGTTATGAGACATGATTGCATGAATGAGAAAGTCAAACCACATCTATCTCACACGAGAAAGTGGGATAAAAGTAATTAGTTCTCTCTTTCGACTGTCATGTCAAACGCACATCTATCCTATTGAGCCACCGAATCGCTGTTGAAAAACCAGAACCAATAAAGTTCGAAAAATTTGCCCACAATGCAGGTTCATGCATTGTGATTGGTATATGCTTTTACATGTATAATAATTATTGCATGGTAATTTGAATGAATTATCATTCATTACCAGTGCAAAGAGTTCTCGGATGAAGCCCCCCCCCCCCCTCTCTCTCTCTCACAATTCAAGCATTTATGCTTGGTATTGCACAGCCACAGACCAATTTGCATCGGTTCTTGATTTAAGGTCCAAACACAATATTGTAATGCTCATCAGGGCGTGCCGATGCACATTGTGCGCGTAAAAAGGCGTTGCGTTCGTCACGTTTAGCGCACTTTTTTTGTATCTTTCCCTTAGCACGTGACCCTCCAGGCAAGACCGCGCGTGTGCACTCGCTGCCGATCTAGTATGTTTATTTTGTGTGGTACTTAAGAAATGTCACGTAATTGTGGTGTCGGGATTATATTCTGTGGACTTATGGGGTCCTTTGCATGCATGTTACATGTAATATTAATGTTAATTCGGGCATCATGCAGTGATTTGGAGAATATAGGTAGTATTTCCTGCCAAAATATTTGTATTTAATTATAAACTTATTTCAAATATATTCAGGAGACCACTTTATCATAGGGCCTACGTAGTTGAGAAAGTACTGCTGCCTCGCATTCTTATTTTTATTTTTTTTTGCTTTTTGAATTTTTTCTTCAAATTACAATGTATTCAGAAAAAGATAAGATCATTACTTTAAAGTTTGACATTTTTTATTCGCACATTGATGTTTTCTTGATGGTAGCATCCAAACAAATATTTTTGAAATCTATATTTAAAGGTTAAAAGAGCACAATAATAAAACTGAACAAACCTTTCACATAGTGTCCTTCTTGTATGAGAGTGTACATACACACTAAAGCGGTGACCGAACGTATCCACACAGTTGATGGTAACATCATGAAAGTAGAAGTTGGACTCCAACACTATTAAGCAAAAAAAAAAGTATAAATTCTTTCCCGGATATAATAAGAATCCAAGTTATTCTTTATGCCAACCCCTTCAGGACTTGGGGATCTGCTAGCCTGGCAATCTAGAGGACACTATCTCCTCAAACGGGGTCTATCGCTATCTTTCCCACACTAATGACCTCGCACGTACGACTTTTTGATTCGTGTCATGCGGCATTGATCTTCCCTTCTGAAATTTGTTGCTTCTTTCAATTGTCACTGCTGCAATTGATAGGTATTATAGGGTCACTACAATTTTGTACGAAGTGCGGAGGAAACGCATGGATGCGTAAACACAACAGTATTGTGTTTATCAGGACAGTCAGTGGACGTGTCACTCCCAGAGCCCTGTTTGGCCTCAGTTTCTTGTCCCATGGTCACGCACGCATGGCCCGAAAGCCTACGCGAGATTTTACGAGACTGTGTTCGAGACTACAGAAACACACCGACAACTATGTACCACTATCGGTCAAGATGACGATGTTAGTGACAAGTTGAAATCGTGTGCTTTATTTTGATACCAACTATAACTGCTTTTGACCATTCTTTTATAGCAACAAAAGCGAGGGCCGAATGTTTTAGGTGTACATTCGATTCTTAAAAAAGACCAAACAAAATGGCAAGTATCAGTATGTAGAGGATAGTGTACGCTTCATTTACATGTGAAACACGTACAGGAGCCTTTTATATTTTCGGTCCAAATCGCCGGTTGAAAAATGAAGACTTTTGCGAGATTTCATCGATTTGCATGTATACTGTAATGCTGCACGTGCGTACGTTGACCTAAAAAAATTGTAAAAAGAACTGCATGCAATGAATGCTTATGAATATTAAGCAGGCCATCTGAAGTTCGACCAATCAGTAGGCGTACATCTTTATTCGGGTCACAAGGTCATACCGTTTCTAGTTGCTTGAACAATGGCGTCCATCTTTCGCGTTGTGAAAATGGAGGTTGGCTGTAAACTTCGGGTGTACATGAAATTCTTACTTATGACAATTCACTAGATTGTTTTTGTAGATGACGGTTCATTCTTTAATTTGATTACCTCTACATTTGGGGGACTTTCGTCGTTGTCGACAAAAAGGGAAATTTCATCACGTATCTTTTTAGTTAATTTGCCCTTGAAATAATATCGTAAAAATGCATCGAAATCCTTTTTTTGAGAAAACAAATACCTTGATAGATGTATGTAGTAGGTCTTTTACTACCTAAAACAGCTTTGTTTGTGTGGATTTGTTGTGGTTTGGCATGAAAATTGCGAATTTTCTTAAGCCTTATTTACGGCTATGGTTCGCTAGCCTTGCGTTACAGTCAGTTTTTGTGGACGAGAAATGCGGCCAGCTACGCGTGACACTGGCACTGACTAAGGAAGGGAAGCTTTTGTATTATATTCCATCCTGTTTTCGAGTCTATCTTTGAATTGTTGACTGTCCCATTATAAGCCACTCCGTATTGTGATTATCCTTTTTAAATATTCCCACAGCAATCTGGGCATGGATAAAAAAAATGGCAGCACGTCATGCACATTATGGCAGTGCGAACCGGTTAACAGGTGTTATTTTGCCTTAAATTATAGGCTTGTGGAGAAATCTTATTTTTTGTCTATTCGCATATTGTTGGGGGAATGTATTTCCTGGTACCATGCAGTCCTGGCATGCAGTTTTCCGACTAGACTTGATGACAAGGCGTTAGGTGTTCGTATTTTGTCCGTGAACTTTAGTCGAACTCCATCGGCGCGGCTGGTATAAGTACGTAATCGGCCGAATTGCAACAAATCTAACGACTTTACGATTACGTTCTCGAACCGTTATTCATATATGCGTGCAGTTAATACATATACAGTGCGTTTTTGCGGCGAGATCCTATGGCGCACCGCTATGCAAATGAGGGCTCATTCATTCCGTTACATGGGGACATGTTTGCAGATCTGGTGACGTTTTAACGACCAGTACACGCAGCTTGGTCAATTGTGTGTAGAAATAAAATGTATCATTGTGATTTACTTGATTTATTTGAGTCGTGTATGCCCTATTATGAATTTTGTAATGTTGCACTGCACAACACAAAGTACAGACCCACGAAGTAATGAGAATGATCTTCCGTGGCGGCCTAGAATACACTCTGGAATCTGAACCAATCAGGGCCCAATTTCTTGGCTCTCCTTACAGTCAGCGAAAAATCCCTGCTTACTATAGCAGAAATTCCTTGCTTATGGTAAGCGTATTTCACGCGTTAGCGAAGAATGTTGGCTTCTGCGCATGCGTACATCCCGTAACTAAGGATTTTTGCTTACAGGGTTAGCACAGAATTGTTCTGCTACAGCGCGGTTAGCACAAAATAGTGATTGTAAGCACGGAATTCTGTGGTTAGCAGAGCCAAGAAATTGGAGAAGTAGGATATTTCATGATATTTTGATATTTTGACAGTTTTATTTTTGAACATTTGCGAAATGGTCTCCAGTACCTTTACGTTAATAACGGTTCATATATCTCGTTGGAATTTCACCAAAGGATCAAAAGCTAACGTTTCTCTCACCTTTCTTTAATTATTGTTTTTATTCAGATAAAACCAACAACCTACATTACACATAACAATTTAAGTTTCATAAAACGGACTTAAAAATACAAAACACACAATACGATCCAAAAACACCTAAAACACAAGAGAAAAAAAGAAATATTAAAACAAATACCGTTAAAAACCCTTTAAATATGTAAGGAGCGTATACGGACAAATTGTGGGTAGGACGCAGGGGGACATGCTGACTTTACGTCGGATGCAAGGGAAATGGGGATTGGACTGGGATAGAAGTATACAATATTGAGCATTGGGTATAAAGACATGGTCGTACGTAATGAGCTTCATGGGTCAAAATAAGCGGTTTTATATAATAATAGAAAAAAGAACATATTATTTATCGAGAACACATCCAACAAACAACGAAAGAAACAACATACCTGTATCAAGAGTACAACCACCGAAAGGATCGAGGGCATGCACTTCTACATGTATAGTTGTGCATGTAGTAGCGTATACCTGTACATGTTTGTATGTTTGTATCACTATCGTGTCTTTACAACCCATCGTGTGATATCTTTTATACCTAACTTTTCAATAGAATTATAAAGGTCTGCTAACGCGTTGAATGTCACTTTGGCTGTTCACGAGAGCGTAAAGTTTGTTTGTCCTCCGGAATGTAGGCTTACAGAGAAAACCAGTACTAAGTGGTACAATCAAGCGGTACAAATTAGACGCATGCGCATCAGTGTCACAAAACTGCAGGTATTCCATAGAAACTCGCTTGCAAAGCTGTGACACACGCGTGGCATGGAAAAAGTATAACGGGCAGAGTTCCATACCGCCTTGGGAAAAGATATACTATATTTGTAGTGGGGGTGGGGTGGGGTATTACACTTGCCTAAATACTCCCTTTGAACTTAATACGTGTGTGGTATTTTCTGGACTTTCTGGATCACAACATTGGGGGAAGAAATCTTTCCTGAGTTATGGCTCATGCAGAAGACTTTTTGTCAAGCCGACAATAACTGTCGCTTAAAGTTTAACCACTACACTGGGGTCCGACGCCTCATAAGTCCCACAAAATCTCATACCCCAACCAAATAAAGGCCCATAAGTCCAACGCCTCATAGGTCCGACGCCCCATAGGTCCGACGCCCCATAGGTACGACGCCTCATTCACAGCTTTGCTTGCACGCATCGCCCAACGTAAAGGGCACCGGTTACCGCTAATCGCTTTCACAAAATCTTGTGACGGAACCACAGACGTCGTAAATTTAATTCATGACATAATGTTACATCCAAAAGACTTCATAAAAGTCAGTAAACGCTAAAATCATTGATAGAATTCTTTGCATAGTAAGCTTACAAATATAGTAAAGTCATGTTGCCAATTACGTAGACTTGCAAGATATTTTATCTCACAGCAAATAATACCTGGAAGGGTAAAACGCCTCAATTCCTAATTCTGATTATAAGGGTAGTCGATGTAAGACATTTTATGTCTGTAAGCAAACGTGCAGGTTTTAATCGATAATGAAATTAATGAAATTTCTTTAAATACCTTTGTTAAAGGGGCATTTCAGCATGAAATCCCGAAAATGTCATCTTTTGGATTGTTTACTTGTTCTATTTCAAAGGTCTGGTCGAAAAGATACTAACCTCATGTCTTACTGTTCCCAAGAAAAGACGAAAACAAAACCCGGTTCTTTACATCGGACGCGATGGACATTTTGTGGCATACCCATACGTATTTCAAGCCGTGTCTATCTAATGTACCGTACACGTTGTGTTCGTATCACACAATACACACAGCATCAATACAAAAATGTTGTTTCTTACACGTACGCAGAATGCGAACCACTGTACGGCGGGACCCACAACTAACACTCGACAGCTCGATTTTTGAGAGTCAAAATTCTTACATTCCGAAATTCCTTCTCGCATGGTTCTCGCAGGAATGACACAAAACGCCCAGACTTTAAAGTATGGTTGTGTGGACGTTGCGCGTTGATATCCTACTTTTAAATGCTTTTTCCAAATTAATATAATTTCGTTTAAAACGCGTTTTGTAGCCCAATTGGGCGCATTCCAGGCCGAAATTTCCCTTTAAAAAAAATTACACAAGGCTTTAAAAATATTTAACAAGGCAGACATTTTAACAACCCTGATTTAATAATCCCGGTAATCGCAAACAGGAGTAAAAAATAAATCAAGCTATGTTAGCTACAAATTGAATAATATACACCACTTGCTCCATAAAATACCTAAAATGATACCTCTATATGATTTTGTTTTAATTACATTACATAGGTTAACTAGGGATCTATTTAAGAGGTGTAAGAAGATATCACAGAGTGCTTCCTAGTTAAGAGCAAGGATGCTGCATGCCGTCAAAGTGTGAGAACTTCCATTTCTAACATGACTTTGAAAAGAGTGGCAGCATGACACCCAAGACGCAAACCAAAGCAAGGGTCCCTGTGCCACCCTGTGCGATGGCAGCGCTGTTAGGCGTCTCGGTTGGTGTAGGACCCCCAGTCATCGGGTCCTCTTTCGGGTACCAGTCTCCACCGCACCTCGGTAAATCCTGCGGTATCGGTGGAAGATCGTCATCCGAGCCCACGTGGATGACCAGCGACATGCCGGCCTGCATGCAAACAAATTAAAACGGGTTAACATTTTCAGGATTCTTTAAAACAGTATGTTAAGATGTCAGAGAGTTTGTAAGATGAGCTGTATGTTGAGTGGTGTAGTTTTCCGTATTGATATGGTCGTCTGCAACCTTAGTACCGAAAAGCACTTCCCCGTCCTTCCACACTGACGCACCTGATATCAGTGCACATCCCAACTCTATTCACTGCCCAAGCTTGGTCCCGAGAGTTGCATCATTCAGGCCCCTGCCATTCAGTGCTCCAATAGTTTTGTGGTTCCAGCATATACATTAACCTCATCACTATTTGTAGGAACCAATGGTGTCTTGAAGACGAACAGCGCAAACTGTTCGAAACGTTGAATTCATTTATATTTGAGAAAAACACAAAGTCACTGTTTCACATTACTTTTTTTTAGTTCGTTCTATGTAACCTGGGTAGCCCCACCAGTTATCAAAGAACTATTCCCCGTGGGGCCCTATTCTCACAAAACCGTCATTTCAATCTTGGCCCAATTTCAGAGCGCTGCTTAACAACCTAAATTGTATGCTTACCAAGCCTCCATCTGTGTCAAAGAGACTATAAGCAGTAAGCACAGTAAAAGCACGCTTAACCCCAAAGGATAAAATTGCTTAAATCAGTGACGTAATGAAACAGATCTCCATGCGCGCGCACCGCGCAACCGTTAAAGCACGTCCACGCCATGAAATACTGCTTAATTTTAAGCAGCGTGATTTTCTGATATAGTAACTAACTGTTCAGCGCAGCTAGTGTGGCTCTTGCATACATATTACACAGAGTGTGGAAGAGACATTTTGTGGGGAGGGAATGAGTATAAAGCTAATGCCAAAGCCCATATCCAATGGTGTGACAAGGTCAACAGTTCTTCTGCAACAAGTAATATCGGATATACCTCGTCTCCAATTAAGTTCGATCAAGGACCACGGGTTGACAAATGGCTTATTCGTGACGTATGTTACACCTGCGCGCTAATGATAAAATGCGAGGGTGTGTAGACTGTCACACGTCACACCAAGCCCAGCTTTTGATAACCAGCAAACCTACCGATCTCGATCGGCATGGTCGCGAAAAATCGAAAGGCCAGTTCAACAATCGGCGACCAGCCTGCGTTTGATGAGGGTTACGCCGCCAAAATCGTCTCCTATTAAACTCTTTCCCTTTTGCAAAGAAGAGTATACTTACCAGAAAATGAAAGCCCAAGTGGCAGTGAAAGAACCACCAGCCGGGGTTATCTGCCTTGAAGCGAACCACGACATATCCCCCGTCCGGAACAGGAATCGTGTCCTTCAGTGGTGCATTCAGGTATCGTCGGGTAATATTGCCTGATGGTTAAAAAAGAAGTGTAACCATTTTTGTTTTCAAGTCTTTTTCCGCTTAAAGCATATTTCACATGCACTTGAAGCTCCTTAAAAGTCTCATTTATAGTCATTTTTTTCTCATGAGATTGAAATACAACACTCTGCGTCCCGTACCTAATGACATTTCGCCAAAATGATAGCGTCGATACCGGGGGAAAGATGCAGACCAAACTGTGCCATCTGCCAATCTCCGCACGGAGCAGACGATCTAACTAACTTGGACCAGGAAACCAAACTATGGTTGACCAACTGCAAGCAGATATCTCAACTATCTACCCGACAAACGAAAAAAGGAGAAGATGCATGGGCAGATTCCGCCTCGGATCTTTTTGAGTTTAAAGTTTTCTAGTCGAGAGAACCCTCTAGGACAGGTTTTGTCTTTTTAATTCAAGCGGCAATGAAAGAGGTTATACAGTGTGTCTAACGATGTGTATAACAGGTGAACAAGTTTAGGGTACGCAATGAAGGGGAGTTTTATGGCAGCATACCTGCTTCATCGAGACGTTTCACTTCCTCGACCGAGGTCGCATCGCCAAGATTGTCCATGGCTAGGACCTGGAACCGGTAGCCATGGAGGTGCATTGGGTGGGCACCATCGAACACAAGACCCTTGTCGATCAACACCAGCTCCACCACCTGAAGAAAATACCAACTCAAAAGTGAGGAATCTTATCAGCAACAATAGTTGTCAAGTTCAGGCTCGCAATCACAGAGGAGAGATGCAGTAAAGTGTGGATTCCAAGACTACAACCACCGTGTTCCTCGTCAGGGTTCGGATTTACGTACCGTTGCACTGACTCGGACACGAAACCAAAATGAACAGCAGGAAACACTCTGAAAGCAGCATTCTCAATCGATTTTTTTCGCCTACCTTTCCAAGTTTGATCTCGAGGACATGAGTGCATTCGCAATACTCGACCTCGCAGTGCTCCTGGACGGCCTGTGTGCTCTCGTAGCTGCAAATCTCGAACTCGGAGATCTCGCGCGACTGGGTCAGGAGAGGCTTTGTTGAGTGCCTGTAGGTCACGTGATTGACCTGCGGGGTGGGAATCCCATGGTAGGTGGACAGGTCCCCGGGCACACCGAAGGCAGGATTGTACACTGGGTGGTTGTAGGTTGGGTTGTTGATGAACTCGAACTGAGAGCCAATATAGTAAACTTCATCGGTGGTTTCGTCGCCGGTCCATGTGTCATCTCCTGCAAGTAGATTTTACACAAACAAAAACACTTTCATGCATTATTTTCAAATGTGCTGTAATGTAAAATATCCTTCTGAAAACGATTTCACATGTCTTGGTATCTACTGATAAACCGAGCATTGATCTGGTGATCTACCATTAAACTGGAGAAGGGCAAACATTATCCTGATCTTTAAAAAAGACACTGGTCTGGACACTCAACAGTGGCGCTTACCAACCCGGACTCCTTTAAGAATGCCCATTGTGACAAAACCTAGTGTTCAACCCCTCTATAAACCACACCTCCAGTTTAAATTCCTTGATGGAATATTTTGGAGGACACCAACCAAGTGAGTATCAGTGGCTCTCTGATATTCAAATTAGAGTACATGGACAAATGTTTGATGGAATTTAAAGTGGTACTGGGCCTTGCCTGAGGCTTACCGATTGCTATCAGCTCATTTGTATTCACAACACCAGGTGAGCTCTTCATGTTAAACGGGTTGAGCAAAACGCCCATCTGGCTAGGCGACTCTTCGGATGGTTCTGGAAGGTCTTCTGCCCCCTCGTAGATCAGCAAGGCCAATCCCTGCATATCCTCACAGGAATCTTGTCCCTTGATTCTCATCCAGTACTTGCCGACGTCCGCTCTTGCGTCCAGGACAAAATCAAATCGTTCACCGCTGGACAGGCCCAGAGTGCCGACCTCGATTGGTTGGAAAGGCGCGCCGTCGCTGGCAATGACAGTCAGATTGTGTTCATCGACGGACACCTCAAACATGCAATCCATACCGGCGTTGGCGATGACACGGATGCGGTACCTCTGATTTCGCTCCACTTTAACATTGTGACGGGGCGTGTAGATTGTGTCATTGGAGGCTTCGTGGGCGAACTTCGCATGCCGCCCCTCCCCGTTGATCATTAAGGTATCTGGAGTCACGTTGATGTCGTAGAAGACTACCGAGCTGTACCGCTCGATAAAGACTTGGTGGATCCAGTCGTGGACGAAGATGACGTGTTCGCCTAGGTCGTGGTCGTACAGGCTGCTGTGCACGTCGTCGGGGGCGGCCTGACGAACGACTAACGATCCAAAGGCACCATCGCTTAACTGAGCCCCGTGGACGTGCCAAAAGTGCGTGCCGACCGTCTCCGCCTTGAATTTGTAGGTGAAGCTGGACCGGTAGGGGATGGGACACTGGGTGATCAACGGGACCCCGTCCATGTGGGGCGTTCCTCGTTGGTGGATGCCGTGCCAGTGGATAGCCACACTCTCGCCGTTGATTAGGTTGTTCTGGACTTTCACTTCAATGATATCGTGCTCACAAACCTGGAGAAGACAAAAAAAATGGCAAAATGGAAAACAGCGGACATCATTCACTGGGGATATACAAAATCACATATTTGTTGGCATTTCCTCGAAATTGGGCCTTGGTCATGAAAGGCGACCACAGTTGTTCTTCTGGGTGTGAAGGCAAAGAGGGCAAACGCAAGTTTGTGTCGACACGGCTGGTATCTGCTTTCAAAATCCACGGCAATTTCGCAGCGAATGTTCGTGATGTCAAATTTGCCTAATAAAAGATACCCCCCCCCCCCTAAAAATCAAATTTGATATCAGTAAAGACCAGGTCACCAGTTATCCAAATTTCTATTTTTTGGTTGAGTGATTCCAATTTTTCGGGAACTGTTCTCTTTTGCTCTGCGTGTAGGCTCTACTATTGAAGCATACAATAGGTGGTTTCAAAGAATTGACATTTACTAATTAGGCTAATGTCAGCAAAAATATGACAAAGACGATAAGGTGTTTGTTTTCATAGTGATTACCTGTCAACGTGATGTTACAGGTGTCTTGATCTACAGTCATGGGCCATAGAAACTGTCCACTTGTGACAATTCATTATGCCGAAATGTGCTACTACATAGGGTTGGAATGAGCGCATACCTGAATGCTCGGTCCTGGCAACAGCTTGTTGATCACTATGATGGCACGTGGCACACCATCAGCTGGTATACACTGGGGACGATAGCAGTGGGTCTGGTTGTAAGGGCAGTCCATGCAGTCGGTGGACATGGTGTGAAACCACTCAATGGTGAAGTCATAGCGGCAGATCTTGGGTTTCGGTGGCCACTCGCACGTACGTAGGCATTCGTGAGGGGCCTGCTGCTGATATTCCGCTATCGTAAACAAAAAATCAAAGCAATGGCGTGGAGTGGGATTATGATTTAGGCTGGCGATCACAATACTGGTCACCGCTGACGAGGTAGTGAGTGACGTGGCACGCCTTCGGATTGTATGTGGATTGTACTGTACGTTTAATGTCATGTAATAAGACGAATTTCAAATTGGAATTGAAACCGAGGCTGTCAGTGCTAAGCTATTGTATGAATTGACAACCTTTTCTTTGAAAATTCTCCTAACATTGCACGGGGCCCTCGGTGGAGGGTACATTTTTTTGGAATACAAACACGATTGTGTCTTTTTTGGGGAATGTGCCGGTGAGCTTTTAATGTTAAAAAAGGTTTAAATGCTACCAGACCAATGGATTTAATTATTGGTTTCAATTAAGCAGATTATATGTGTGCAATCGGCTCCCGTTAGTACGAGCTCATCCAGGACATTCCGGTTAAGACGAGCTAAACTGTTATCAGATTATATTCTGAAGACAGCTTTAGATATTTACGTAGATGAAAAAAAATACGGTGGGCCCTTTTTTTTCTGAAGGTTCGTTTGCTGGTATACAATTAAGGAACTCGGAAAACAAAACTGGGCTTCCTTGAAGTTTAACTTGTTAAGGCATGCTCCTGTTTTACTAACAGAGGAAACTTAAAGCTTTCTGACAACATTCTTAAGACAACAATGAAGAACGATAAACAAACCTTTGACAAAGTGTCCTTGTTGTGCCATAAAGAAGCTTGAAATACACACTAGAGCAGTGAACCAACGTATCCATGATTGTAGCATCATTAAGGCTGATGATGGACTCCCACACTAAAGCAAAGAAAACTAATTCTGAAAAACTTCACTTTCATTCTTGCGTATTACCAGAACCGATTGCCGTTTATAATTCGAACCCCGCTAGGACTTGGGAATCCGCTTAAAATAAAGTAGCCTTTCATCAGAAAATTAAAATTCGATACTGGTCACTAGGTAACAGCAGTTTCCCCATTGCATCACAGATTTCCCTGACAGATAGCTAAAAAAAAATTATTTAACCGACCTACAATCCCGGCCAAAATGATTGGGACACTTCCTGAGCCTGCCACGGTCACCACTCCCCCGCTTCCCCGGTCAATGTTGTTTCCTCCAGCTGATGGAGCACACACCGCGCAATGAAAGACAACACTGAACGAGGGCCGGGGGGTTGGGGGCCCAGCGAGGTTTGGCCAGGATTGTAGGACGTCAGGCTTTGTTCATAACCTTGAGTTACTTTGGGGTGTAGGTCAGTAAATCGGTCTGAAATTGCCTTCGCCGGCCAAATCACGATTTGCATGCCCTCAAAATCTTTAGTATTTGAGCATACTGTGGGCCATGAACTTGAGGGTTTGTAAAAAACATATGGGTAGAAGCCGTGCACAGGACTGTGAGCTTGTAGTTACTTTGAATTTGGATGAAAATTGGGCGGGCTAAAAGTACTTTATTTTGCAATGGAGTGAAGGCATCGTTTTTTTCAAAAATTAATGGCGATGGGCTTCATGACTATTTTAAGGGCTGATCATCTTCGGATGGAAATTTCCCCTAAAATTCGTTAGTTGACCCCCCAAAAATTGAAAAGAAAATGAAAGATGATGAAATAAGCTTTTATTTGATGTGTGTTTCGAACGCCTTGGAGAGTTGTGAGTATTTTCCCCGAATTTCTGAAGTGGGAGCATTTATCATTGGGGTCCATGGAAGTTTTATGTTTACTGGTCTGCAACTTTAGGACGTCATTATACCTTCCGCCCTCTGTTGTTATTTCCTTAACCATCCTTGGAAAATAATTCCGCCTGGGGCTCACAGTCGAGGCCTTTTGTGGTCTACCGCTGCAATAAACGGCCTTACGGCTCGTGGTAGAATCGCCACAAATACGTTTTCACGGAAGGCGAATTGCGAACAAAATATGGGGTTGGTTGACACTAAATGGAAGCTTTAGAATCTGTTGATCATGACATTTGGGTCTTTGAATTGTCACCTGTATTAAACTGCCATGTAGGTGTGGATGACGGTAGGAATATGCATGGAAAGGGCCATCATTTCATACATGTATGGCGTTGCAAACCAGTTCAAAGTTTCATTTTCTTCAGATTATAGCCTATATACAAAACGGAGAGATCTTATTTCTCTTTTCACACAAGTGTTGGGCAAGTCGTGTGAAATAAATTTATCTGTCGATTCCTTAATTTTAGATTAAAAAATTAACACATTTTTGGGATGTCTTTACTTGTACCAGTCATAGCATAGGGTGTCCCCACTGGAAATAGAACAGCTACTCTCATCATAAGTGGTAAATAAGGGTCAGGATCACTCTAGTACGAGCAATCGTGCGCCTGCTCTTGCGATATAATTGTCGTCTTCTAAGAGAGAGATTGCCAGATAAATTTCTATTTTTATTTTGTAAATGATGTATTTCCAAATATCTTTTTTTTTTAATATAAACATTATACATGTCAAAAAGTGTCCTTCTTTGATCCTAAATAACTCTGTTGTTTACCAATGGATTTAAACAAAAATTTCAGATCATGTAAACAAGGCATGACCAATGTTATTAGTTTCATCAGCTTTGTGCAAGAGGGTGAGATTTAAACGCCATACGAATAGCGTACTCACTTTCAGAATCTGCCATCACTTTCGACTTGGCGTCTCCCAATGTCATACAGCGCGGGAGACGGTGGCGGAAGGCGCGTGCTGCGGCCGAAAGTTTCTGAATGAATGCAGGATCACCCCTGATGTCATTGCACACGTCATCGATTGTTTGAAGCAACACACGATCGAGGATGGGTGCAATGACATCAGGGCCGATCCTGCTTTCCTTCAGAAGTTTTAGGCTTCAGCACTCGCCTTCCGCCACCGTTTTGTTTGTATGGCGTTGAAATCTCACCCTCTTGCACAAAGCTGATGAAACTCGCTCCATAAAATGTGTCATGCCTTATTTAAATTATCTGAAATGTTGGTTGAATTCCATTGGTAAACAATAGAGTTATTTAAGATCAAAAGTACGACATTTTTTTGACAGGTAGTACGACAGAAATATCATGATAATTCAAACTTACTTCACAGACCACAGCACATCATCTTTGTGAGTGTAGGTCTACGCCTGATCATCAAACAATTTGAAATAAACAGTTGAATGTGTGAATCTGTACTTTCGATTTGAAAAAAGTTTGGAAAAAAAAACACTGTTCACAAAAGGAGTATGTTATATGGAACTCTGTTCAACTGCTGAAATGAGCTACGCCTTATAATGAGAAGAAATCACACTTACCTTGACTAGAAGTAGAACTTCACTACTTGGGAGGCCACGCACTAGTATTTGTTAGTACAGATTTCAGGTCGTCTGAATATATAGTCTGAGAAATTACGTTGACATTGTATTACCTACTTTCCAAAGTAGGAATTCTATAGGTTGGCCTACTCGATGAGTGCGCGCTGCTTTGACAAATCATTGATGCGCGAAGGTCCTTTCAGAATTTCGGATTTCGAGTTATAAAAGGCAAAAAAAAAAAACACGTTTGTGGTGCTGAGGGGTCTGTTGAACTTGCTTGTTCCTAGTAACTGATGATTAATAGTACATGCATAAAAAGGGGGAGGAAACGAAAACACACAGTTCAACCTTTATAATAGATCGATCCCAAAAAATACTCGTGTATGATTTTTTTTGTGTAATTTCGTAACATGGTTACAAAAATCTTTCCCCGAATTATGACTCGTACCAGCTACTTAATATAGAACAGAGATCACTTTCTGCCAACGAAGCGGCGACAATGATGCCACTACACAACTGTTATGGCTGATTTCTTTCCATTCATGATACACGCATAAGGGTCATAAGAGCTTGTTGAACAAAAAGAATCTACCGCATGCTGGGATGTTGTTCCATCTATGTAAAGTAGTCAGGAATATTTTAGGCTTTTATTTTTTATGGAATTTTTATGCACATAAAAGGGCGCCATAAAATGTTGACAGCACCCAACATAGAAGAAAGGGCATTGTAATACAATTTTTGTTTAGTCTATGGACTCAAAAACCGGTGAGGTGTAATTGACACATGTTTTTTATTTCAAATAATATATTATTAGAATGAGCCAAAATTTGGATGCTCGTCCCTCTTTCTCGCAAAACACTAATAAGGAAGACGAACAGAGAACAGGTTTTCCATCTCAACAACCCTTGGTTTAGTCCAGTCAAAAACAAGCGCGATCAGTTGAAATGCAGCTAATAATTCTTCACCACCAAACCTTCAAAACTACAACGAATTCAAGTCGTGAACAGAAAAGAAAAAAAAATTACAAAAAGGAAGTTAGCCTGCCGCATCCTGTCGTGGCATCTGGCTAAACCTTTCCCGCTTTAAGTGAAGAAAGTAGCCATGCAGCCTGTTTCCGGGGCGCGTTACCGGTGTATAATGTGCAATTTGGACTCTATGATAGTTTGATTATTTCATGAACATTTCTTGCACAGTGTCTTAAACTATCTGTCCAGCAATCTTTTCTTCAATTTCCTGCTAAAATAACCCCGTTTTCTGCAGTCTTTACGGTTTATGAAACGAAGAGTCTTGCCTAAGAAGTAGGCTTAGGATAATATTAGTGTTAGAGATTTACCTGCATGTAGGACTCTTAATACAGCTGATATTCGACAAGCAAGATTTCTTCTGATACAGTTTATTTTAGATTACATTTCCTGACGCTCCGCATAATGTTATCATTTCTTAATCGTCACGGTAGGTAAAACAGTACTATTGAAGCAACTTGGTGATCAAGCAAACTACATTTTCATGACTCTACATTGACTCCAAAAATGTTATACAAATTATATCTTTTTGGGGGGTGGGGGGAGTAGCGTAGCCCCATGCCTCCCTTTGATCAGTTGAGGGTGAACTCTGAGCCACTGCCGCGAGTTACCACTGCAGGGAGTCAGCGGGGTGGAGTCGCGGGCTGTTCTCAGTGTAGAACTGGGCGAACCAGCGGCGATGCTGTGCGATAGAAGGATCCTCCTTGACCAGTATGGGCTTGGGCCGGTAGGTCTTGTTAGCCCAAACGATCACATCTCCTTTAATCTATAAACACACGACAAAATAACACAAACGAAGAGGCAATTTTACTGACCGAGGGCGACAGCAAATTCCACATAGCGCCCTCATTGTGTTTAGCATATATCATTTTTTGCACGGTTTTGCCATAGTTGTTTTCGCAGGGTAACAACCCAAGAAGGAGTAAAAATTGACATACGAAACAAAAATGCACTCTTGCTCTCTTTTGCTTATTTGATTCATTTCGCTGCTCTACTTCCTTGATCAGTGAAAATAGCAAGGAATGTGCGAATGAGCAGCAAAATGAGTAAAATGAGCAATACAAAGAGCAAGAAATGAGCGGCAGCGAAACGAATAAAATGAACATTTAAAGAGCAAGAAATGAGCAAATGAGAACTGAAATGAGTAAAATGAGCAGGGAAAATGTATACGTGTCAAACTCATTACCATACATAAAATGGGTACGGTCAATATTATTTGAATTTACGCAAGCCCCTCACACGCGTGACATCGACACCCCCATGGTAAATGGCAGATTTCCGTTACTCATATTATGCTAATGAGGGTCACGTGGGGCCAAATGAAGCCTTCTGTTTGGCCGAGAAGCCTCGAATTCTTGTAAGGCGGACTTCACTACTCCCCGCCCTCTCCCATATAGTTAGTGTTATGTGCGTGGCTAACTTGCAAACGGCGATAGGTCAGTTATCTACCAAAAACACAATTAGGCCAGAAAGTAATGCCTATGATGATTTGTGTTGCTTTTGTAAAGAAAAAATGGGATAAATCCAGGAGAAAATGGCCCGATTTGTGCACCTCTGTGCAATGGCAATATTGCTTTTGCTTCTGGCCCCCCTAGGCCCATTTATGCGCATGCGTGCATAATTTTAGTAAACAAAAGGTTCATTGGGAGAGGGCGGTTGGGACGAGCGAAAGTTGCCAGAAATTTGCAATAAAATCTACTCACCCCCAAGTAAGACCAATACACCTTGAGTTTCTTGAAGAGCCGAGTCGCCAAGTTGAAGGGAGAGGCCGGAGCAGAGTACATCATGAACACTACTTTTTGCCTGAAGGGTCCCACTGGTACGCACCCCGTGAGCATGAATTCATTAGCATCAACATAGGACAGACCAGGCCCGTACTGTGGATTGCAAATCAATCACATTATAAGGCACAATTTGTATTCTCCAAGAAAGCTTTGCTGATACAAATTGTGTCCAAAGGGGCCATGGGCTAAAAGGGGCATTTTCTAGAAGGGGCAAAACATATTTTCCCCAAAATATTACTGTATTTCTGAACATATTCTCGATTTATCAGTTTTAGAGGGGGCAGGGACATTTTGCCCCCCCCCAACTCATTAGATTTACACCATTATGAATTCGCGCCTTTTTTTCTTTTCTTTTTTCTCTTTTTTTTTCTTCCTTTTTTTTTTTTTTTTTTTTGCTTTTCCAGGGGTTAGGGCAAGCGCCCCCTTGCCCCCCCCCCTCGCGACGCCCATGAAAGGAGCCATAAACCTTTCTACATGGCTACAATTTGGTTCGAGACACACACAAAAAGACAAAATATTGACAGAATATGTACAATTAACAATATATTGAAAATGTATGAATTACCACCCAAAAAGGCGGGCGAAATAAAAGAAAAGGAAGCGGGTGGGGACGAGAAACTGGTTAAGTTTTTTTTTGCCTTAAATTAAAAAAAAAAAAATAAAAACGGTCGCCATAAAGTTGTGAAATTTGTTGACACTAGACAAACGTACCAATGATATATACTTCATAATGGGTGCCGTCACTGTATTTGTATGAATATTATAGCCTACCTATTAGAACCATGGCTATGTGTTTACATGTGCTACTACTCTCTTAATTCCAAAGAGTGAAAATTCACTTCACGCAGTGAAGATTCAATTCCACAGTCCAAAAGTAGGGCCTAGACGTTTTGGAGTGAAATTTCTTCAATCGTAAAGATCGAGGTTTCACTCAAGCTTCAACAAAGTGGTTCTTTTTTCAGACTATTTCAATCGAAAATGAGAGTGATTTTCACTCTAAAACGTCTAGTCCCTAATTTCACTTATTGGAATTTAGAGAGTAAAAGTATAATGTAAAGCGCCCCCTATAAAAATAATGAGTCCAGGAAGTTAAAAGGTTCTTTTTTGTTTCAAATGTTTCAAAAAATATTTTAAGATATATGCACACTTCAAATGTACACGCTATATGATCGGAATTCAACGGGAAACATATCCTGACGTATTAAAAAAAAATGTCAAAAAAATATCGAACCTGTTCGTGGTAAATTTTGTTTCCGGGTATGAACGCCCAATGCATCGCCGTCTCGGAGTAGGTCGTGCTGAGATATTTCTTTGTCGGATGAGCCTCCCATTTGACATTGACAAAACGCTTCTGGAGGACTTGCCTAAAAGGTTTATAAAGAAACGGAAAAAAGAGGATTAAGTGTTTCTTATAATGTGCAATATCCCACAAAAGATACTCCAGCTAAAATTCCTAAAGAAATTAATTGGTAAATTATTGAAAAGCCGAATGTATATACCTCTTTGATAGAGAATAGCATTGTATTCAACCATTAGTGCGCTTTGTTAAGTTTGATTCGGACTATCGAACCTTTGGACTATTGAACCTTCGGATTATTCGGACTAACGAACCTTCGGAATAACGAACGTTCGGACTATTGAACCTTCGGATTATTCGGACTAACGAACCTTCGGAATAACGAACGTTCGGACTATTGAACCTTCGGATTTTTCGGACTAACGAACCTTCGGAATAACAAACCTTCGGACTATTGAACCTTCGGATTATTCGGACTAACGAACCTTCGGAATAACGAACGTTCGGACTATTGAACCTTCGGATTATTCGGACTAACGAACCTTTGGACTATCGAACCTTCGGACAATCGGGTTGTCACCATTACTACTCTACACTTACGGTCCGTGCACGTAATCCAGATGCGCCACATCACCGCCGTTTTCCACAATATCCTACGAAGTAATTTAAAAAAAAAAGTTTTAATATGATTTCACAAATTGCTTACAATTTTCATTTTCATTCTATTTTCAAAAACCCGCGTGCTATTAATAACCCTTAATGGGCCGGGATATTTCGACCATCTCTCAGCTGCGCGGCAACCCGTGGTCCGATTTTTTAACATTTTGGTATCAAAAGATGCGCAAGGCTCCAGGCAAAAATCAGAACAGCTCGGGTCGCGAAAAAAAAATGTTCACGGCTATCGCTTGGTTGTAGGGAAAAACAACATGCTCATTATGGTCATTGACTACAATAAATCGGTTGCAGGGAAGAAAAAACAAGGAATCGGAACCGGCTGCATTATAAGGGGAACCAACCAGAAATCCAGTCTGGGACCCAGACTACACCTCACCTGGATGTGACAGTCTAAGTAGGTTTCCCAGCAACCACTGTACACCAACTCGCCAGTCTTGATTTTCTCGATCTCCGGCGGGTACCAGGACGGCTCCTCCCCTTCCGCGTGGTACCATATCAATATCAAACCATTGATTTCCAGGGATCGATACGTTTTAACCTTGACAAAGTCTGGCACTGTGGCAACAAGCGGTTTAAACAAAAGTCTATGATACTCGTCAAATACAAAAAAAAACATTCTAAGACCGAAGAAAAAAGAAAGTCCTACAGCTGTTGTTGAGCAATTTGTTCTCCAAACAATTTAAAAAAAACATTTGCTACGAAAAATCTATAACAAAAGAGAACAATCCTATTTCGGGCATATCTGCAACACACCGAAAAATGGCTTTTATTGTGCGCACAACCCGCCCTGCAAGAGCCAAAATATTGTCCTGCAGCCCCAAAAAAAGTATAGATACAGTTCAAAAACTAAACATTGGCAACTGTAATTATCATCATAATAATAACAAGTATACCCTTTGGGAGACAATTCAGCGTCATAAGTTATACCTTGGGGAGACACGTCGAATTAGGGAGACATTTCAATGTCACCCTCATTCCAAATCCCCTACTTAGAAGCCAAAATTTAATGTCGCAAATAAACTAGATAGATTGCTCGTGGTCAAATTAGTATACCGAAATTCGTGGAGGTAGATAAGGTCAAATTGGGGTTAGGTGTCACTGAAGTTGGACAAAAATATGTGCATAAGTCTATAGGAATGTCTCTCTGATAACCTAATAATCGGTAATTATTTAAATTATTGCTACAAATGTACTATTAGGGAGACACGTTAGCGTAGAAATTTCGATAGTAGGGAGACACGGGCTTAATAGGGAGACACCTAGGTGTCTCCCGATTGGCGCAGCCCCCCTTTAGAGGAAAAATTTTGCTGTCCAAATTAGGTTATATTTGTTGCTCGTGGTCTAATTAGTAAAAATACCGAAATTCGTGGAAAAAGGACAAGGAATATTGGGTTAGGGCACATTTAAATCGGAAAAAATTTTGTGCACAAGTCTATGGGAAAGTCTCCCTATTACCCCATTGCCGGTAATTATTATTATTATTATTATTTATAAATTTTTTTTGGGGGGGGGGGCGGGCAAGACAGGAAAAAATACCTTTGTCTGCGTAGGCGATGTGAACGCATTTGCCGTCCTCCCCTTGATACGTCCATCCATGGAACGGGCACTCTATGCACTCCCCCTTGACTTTCCCGCCAATGGCCAGATTGGCGCCAAGATGAGGGCAGTAAGCATCCACGATGTACACCTGTCCGCTCTCCCCGCGAAATACGGCCACGTGCAAGCCTGGGGAAAAACAGACGCGTCCTTAAAATATGTATACTTTCCGAATTGTGACTTTTGGTTGTTTCAAGCACAAATAACTTCGTCTTTTTTGTGGTGCGTCGGTAATCTTCTGAAGGCTTCTACTTCGTGCTGATTGTTTTGTGCACAAACAGATCCACTTTACGAGTAGACTGGTTGCTGGTCTCTACATTATCGACTCCAATAGCGGGCGGCAACCAGTCTACCCTGAATTATTGTCGGGCCGGCCCTAAATAATTCCAAGTGTGTTATTATTCCATACGTAAACGTTAGCTGATTTTGTTTCAATAATGTCAAACGCTGCATTTCAAGCGCATTAGCCTCAAGTACGCCCTTTAAGCAGGCGTAGTCGGGGGTTGGGGGGGGGGGCTATGGGCAGGGAGAGGGGGTTAACCCCAAAGGGGCAGGGTTATTTTGACCATCTCACAGCCGGGGAATCCGCCCTCCTCAGATCCTGGCCATCAAGTGACGAAAAATTATGAAACTGCATGCATAGAACAACTTAATATGAGCATACCCAAGAAATTTCATGACTATAGATTAAAGGGTTTTGAATTATCGGCTAATTAATTGTCCATATCAAAAAAAGGGTACTCGTGAAAAATAGGTGCTCGTGAAAAAAGCGCGCTCGTGAAAAAGGCAATCGTGAAAAATGGGCAATCGTGCAAAAAGGGGCTCGTGAAAAAAAGGGCTATCGTGAAAAAAGGGCGCTCGTGAAAAAATAGTTGCTCGTGAAAAAAAGGACGTTCGTGAAAAACGGCACTCGTGAAATAAAGGGCGCTCGTGAAAATTAGGCACTCGTGAAAAGGGGGCTCGTGAAAAACGGCGCTCGTGAAAAAAAGGGCGCTCGCGGTGAATTTTTTTCACCAGTGCCCTTTTTTTTCACCAATGACCTTTTTTACACGAAGCACGAACGTCTGTAATTAAAAGCGCCACCTATTGTCCGATGGTGTTTTAGGTGTAGCCCCTCCTCCCCCCCCCTCCAATTTCCGGAGGCTGGGCGACAGGTCAAAAAAACCTGTGCCTCTCAGCGAGAATGAGGTTAGTGCACTTTTTTACCTCTTAACCCCGCCGCAATCAAAATGACCTTGCGCCACTTTCAAGTGTTTGTCACTGCCACAGCCTGTTGAAATAGGTCTAGATCTGTTTGTTTGTTTGTTTGGGTTATTTGTGGCCAAATCAAAAGCTCGGACATTGGTCCATTTGTTTGTTAGTGTACGCTCCGTTTGCACTTTGGGCCCGCCTTGACCCACCACTTGATTAGGATAGAGCTAGATATTTATCCGTCGACATTCGTCTTTCATGGGTGTATCTAGGTTTTGGATCCATGTTAATTTTTGTGCGGGGGTTGGGGAAGGGGTAGGTAGGGTCAGTTGCCCCCTGCGTCGCGCGGGATACATATTGTGTAATGTTCCCTACACTGCCGCATTTGAAGTCTCTGCATATTGTCTATACCATTTCGTGCATAATTATATTGCTGATTGATGACTGTACACAAGTTTTATTAGATAGACCCACGTTTCTACAGAACGTATAAACTAGCTAGGAATTTCATCGGTAATGTTGCTGCCTCCAGAGGGCCAGCCTAGTGCCCTATTTGTACCCATCTCACTGTCCGAACGACTGACTCACGTACTCTGTGTCACCTGGATGTGAACCGGGCAGTGCTATCGTAATGGGATTACTTTCGTAACGCGAATGAATTGGCTAAAGCTGACAACTTATTGTGTAGACCAGATACATGACGACCTCCAGGGAATGAATTGAGTAGAATATTGTGCGCTCTTGGACAAGCTTTACTACGCCTGCCTTGCCTTGTTTAATTGATAGACTTGTGGTATGGTGCTTTATTACGTACCCAGGACATGTGCGTATTTCGTCTCCATCTTCTTGACCTGCGCAGACCTGAAGACAATGAACCAACCGTTGGGATAGACGGGAGGTATGTCACCGATCTTCCGCGATCGTTTCATCTCTGCCACCGCTTCTTCCTTGGACAGCCCGGCCTGGGCTTTGTCGATCAAGTAGGAATCTCTCCCTTCATCGCCGTAAAACTCCAGAGGGCTGTAGATGAACGACAACACGGCTGCCGTCAAGTACGCCAAGCCAGCCAGCAGGCCGTACGTCGCGTAGAAAGCCGGCCAAGAGATGCTGCCATCCTCGGAAGAAGAGGTCGCGGGAATCAGACCACCTCTGCAAATAGCGATCGAAACGAGAGCAGGGGCGACTACGTACAGCAAGAGAGAGTAAGCAACTGCTGTTTGGCCCATTGTGGAAAAGGAATCTTGATTCTAACAAACAAAGTCCAAGTTTCCACAAAGGGAACGTAATGTCGATCGCGAATATTATTGAGCACTGTATGTCACACACTGGAGCACGCTCTTTTATAGGTCAGCGTCCCATGTAGAAAAAAAAGGTAGTCACATGACGTCGCCAATCTCATTGGTTGCATATTCTATGCCGTACACGATGGATGGACGAACAAGTTGTGCGCTTGGCGGTAGTTTAAAATTTGACACCGACACTTTGTGTATGGGTCCACGCATTGTAATTTTTATTGATTCGACAGCTTATTAGCATAATATAGGTTAGTATTAAAAGTGTCCACATTTATTACCGCATGCCCAGCGGTCCATGAAGTCCCCTGTATAACCGGAACAATCCATGTTGGATAACTGGTCATTTTTTATTCTCTTATTTTCAATGATAATTGAATAATACACGTTAACTGGAGAAAACAATGTTGGAGATAACTGGAGAGACTTTGGCCTCGTTTTAACTCGTAACCCATTTTGGAGTCCAAATATCGCTCCTTGTTGAAAACGTAAAATATACTAAATACTATGATCTTTAGCATGTAACGCAATTGGCCATTTGGAAGTTTGGCGGCCACAATTGGAGGGCGCTGTACGGTAAACTCTATGTGTTCATTATGTGTATGGTATTCGCTCCATCCAAACAGCGCCCTCCTCTGATGGCAGCAATGTTATTTGCAGCATGGCAAGTACTGCATAACAACTACTGCATAATGTTGCAGATCAGTAAGCAGACTGCCATAGACCGTTTCTAATCTAATGCCGACTACCAGTCCCGACATTCGAAGTCTGAAGGACACTAAGACCGGGAACCAGTTCAGCCATCTTTGTCTTTTGTGTTTTACTCACTTAATTTCCTGTCCAAAAAACTCAGTTTTCTGCAGTCTTTACAGTTAGTTTCTGAAAGAAGAATTTGTCTTACCAAAGAAGTAGGTTGAGTTTAATATTAATTTCAGAGATTTACCTGCATGTTGGACTCTTAGCTTTGGATTTGATTTTTACATGGGATTCAAATACATGTGTTTTTAAGGAGATATTTATGCGACTTGATTTTCAGCCGATGTTTCATGTTCTTTCATAATTTAGAATCTCGCCGTCAATCTAAACAGTTTGGGAGTTTACCTGTGATGTTTAATTTATGTATACTATTGATTCTTAGCCCAGTTATTTCAGTAAAAAGAGGCATTTGTCGTGATAAGATATTGCCATTTTAAGAAGAATTTAAGGACGGATTTTGCAAGTTGTACTTTTTTACTGTACATTTTGCAAGATAAATTTTTTTGACCAGTTATGCTACTTTCTTGTTCACTCAAGGACACAAACTAATTTGTGTAAGTCAGTTTTGTTATTGCTTCCCAAGTACATCAACATGTACAGCTATATTAGCAACGATAATGATCTTTGACCACAACAGCATTGCTTACTATTAATTGTACGTATATAAAGTAACTTGGTACACAAGCAAATTACATGTACATGACATTATTATCATCATGGCATTACGTAGAATCCAAAAACTTTATAGAGTTAAAATACAGTGTTGTAGTCGAGTACTTTTTTCCCGAGTACTGAGTACTGCAATGTACTTTATATGTTACCGAGTACGAGTACGAGTACGAGTACTTCTGATTACGAATACAGGTCTCCGAGTAGGAGTACTTGTAGTACATCGTACTCGTACTTGGCAGTACTCATACTCGTACTCGGAAGTACAAGTTGTACTTCCGAGTACGAGTACTTCCAAGTACGAGACCTGTATTCGTAATCGGAAGTACAAGTACTCGTACTCGTACTTGGAAGTACTCGTACTCGTACTTGGAAGTACAAGTTGTACTTCCGAGTACGAGTACGAGTACTTCCAAGTACGAGTACGATTACATGTACTTGTATTCCGAGTAGTAGAGTATGACTGTGCGAGTTTATGATTCTATTTCCGAGAACGGCCATATACGGCAAATGGTTCATTGTGCGTAATTGGCCCAGTCACTCAGACTTATATGCATGTACATACCAACTCACGGCTAGCTGTTAAATGTGTTTGTCCGGACGTGCACAGAAGAAAATCAGGAAACTTCGATTTCTCCGCAAGCCAATCAACCATAAATATTGCTAAATGTGGCCGGGGTAAGTTAAGTTATGACATTTTTTTTTCTCGAGTATTGCTATTCGAGTACGAGCACTTTGATGATTGAGTACAATTTCGACATGTCGGGTACAAGTACATGTACTTTGCTGCCCTAGTAAGAGTACCGTCATTTCGAGTACGAGTACTTTGACATTCGAGTACGAGTACTAAAAAAGTACCCGAGTAGTACTTGAGTACGAGTACCGAGTACGAGTACTACAACACTGTTACATTTTTTTTTTTGGTGGGGGAGTAGCGTAGCCCCGTGCCCCCCTTTGACCAGTTAAGGGTGAACTCGGAGCCACTGCCGCGAGTTACCACTGCAGGGAGTCAGCGGGGCAGAGTCGCGGGCTGTTCTCAGTGTAAAACTGGGCGAACCAGCGGCGATGCTGTGCGATAAACGGGTCCTCCTTGACCAGTATGGGCTTGGGCCGGTAGGTCTTGTTAGCCCAAACGAACACATCTCCTTTGATCTATAAACACACGACAAATAAACACCAAAGAACACATAAGAAATAACATTAAAAAAAATCAATAAGCCTTTTCGGAGTTCCAACTGCGTGCATTCGTAACCTGTGACAACGCACATTATTTGTCTCAAATACCCTTTGACAGTACCCACAATGCACAAACAGCCTTTTTGTAAAGTCAGTGGCGCGATGATGTCAAAGGCCATTTGAGACAAACAATGCGCGTTGTCACAGGTTACGAATGCGCAGTTGGAACTCCGAAGGCTTATTGAATGACAGGGGTGGTTAAAACTACAATTAACGCCCTCTTATTGTGTTTTTGTATATAATAATATATCGTGGGGAAGGGAATGGACATCATTCGGGGCGCTCTTTAATGTGGTCTGCACTGGATATCCATCTTCTTACAATAGGCGGTAAATATATGCTTATACAGGTTGTCCCACCAAACAAACCAACAGACCAATCGGGCATGTTTTCAGAAAAGTGGGGTAGTATTCAAAATCGTGTCCAGTGTTACAGCTGAGTAGAATGTCTTCTAAATGATTTTTAGTTGGTTTCATTAGGGTGTTTTGTTCAAAAAGATACAGCAATCACAAAACGGGACTTGAAAAACTACTTGGGCCATTTGTATGTAATATATCGCCTTGTCTTCCAAACAAACTTTGTCCGAATGATAAACTGATAAGTTGCACTAATACTTGTGACCCACCCTTTTGTGTGTTTCTCTACTAACTGCGCTTTCTCACTTTCAAGAAAACTGGCCCCAAACGATTTTCAACCCTTGAGTTCGATCAAGCATAGCGTTTGTTCCAATGCATCGATTGGAATGAAATGAGGTTTAGTTGGTAGACTGGTCATCTGACTTTAAGAGGTAATTTGAAAATATTCCAAAGCTCACATGCAATATACTTTCATTGGTTGGTTTTCGACTATTAAGGTTCTTTCTGGAACGAGCTGTACTTGCTCGTCTTTGGCACTAAGAGTGACAAGCTGGTAAGCTTGTCCCTTCCACACAAGGTGTAAATGCCCCCGTGTGCATATAATGGCTTCGCTATAGTCTCCACCGTACCGCCCTCTCTCATAGTTAGCTTCCCAGAGTGCATTGCGTATCTGTACAGATGTTTTTACCAGCGGTTAGCCACCACCAGCTCACAATGAACCTGAGACATAATTACGTCATGCTTTGTTTACGTGTGCGCTTTTCTATGGGAGCAAGGTGGGACGAGAGCAACCAAGCTCTGCACATGTAAATAAAGCGTGACATCATTATGTATTAGATCTATTAGGAGAGGGCGACGGGGACCAGCGAAAGTTGCCGGAAAGTCGCCAGAAATCTACTCACCGCCAAGTAGGACGTATACACAAAGAGCTTCGTGAGGAGCCGCCTCACCAAATTGAGGGGAGAGGCTGGAGCAGAGTACATCATGAACACTACTTTTTGCCTCAAGGGTCCCACCGGTACAGGACCCGTGAGCATGAATTCATTGCCAAAAACATAGGACAGACCAGGCCCGTACTGTGGATTGCAAATCAAGAACATTGTAAAGCACGATTTTTATTCTGTATGTATGCATTTTTTGAGGATGAATAATGTCGGTTTATTAAAAACAATCATACTAACATTTCAAACTGAACAATTTGTTGGCTGTACCCTGAGTATACGTAAGGCTAATGACGTAGGGCCAACTTGAAAAAAAAAAAAAGAAGGAGTTTTTCGTCCGGGCTTTTTGAAAAAAAATATAGGTGGCGGCCGAGTTTTGTAATATTTTTTTCCCAGGTGGATTTTCTAAGAGTGCAGAGTGATTCTTCCGTTTTCTCGACTCTTTTACTGATACAAAATTGTGTCCAGAGGGGTCATAACCCTTTTACATGGCTACAATTTTGTTAGAAACAAGTAAAAAGACAATGTATGACAGAACAGTATATATACAAAATATCTTCCCAATGTATGAATTTGAAAAAAAAGCATGTAGCAAAAAGGAAGCTGGCGGAGAATTGAACTTAAATAAAAAAAAAATAATCGGCGAACTATAATTATAATATACAGAGCCTCCTATAGTCTCAAATGAGTTATGAGACCAGAAAGCTGAAATTCTTTAATTATTTTTTTAACTTCTTTCCAAAATATGTTAAGATTCTCGCGTTTCAAATTAACATGCTATGGTAGGAATTCAAGGGGAAATACATCCCTAGTGATTCAGTACTTGATATTTAGCCGTGTAACAGCGGGGCCGTTGTAAGTTAAAAAATAAAAACAAAAGCGAACCTGCTCATGGTGAACTCTGTTTCCGGGTATGGACGTCCAAAATGGTATTATCTCGGAGTCGGTTGTGCTGAGATATTTCTTTGTCGGATGAGCCTCCCATTTGACATTGACAAAACGCTTCTCGAAGACTTGCCTAAAAAGGTTATAACGAAACCAAAAAAAGAGAAATGTATATATGTGTG